CTATACCAAGTAAGTATGGATGAGAGAACTGGAGCAAAATGTCTTTTATCAAAAAAGGAAATTATATCTAGTATAATTATTAATTTTCCATTGACAAGAAATCATTATCGAGAACTTGTTGACTCCTTTCTTACAATCATATTATCAATCATAAATGATGAAGGGACCCTATATATTGCTTTGTTGATTAGATAGGGCAATCGTACGTACATGGCATTATATATAGTGTCATATGCGTAACACTGTTTATCAACAAGTACAAATGTTGCTGCAATACAGCAATTGAGAAGCTCCGCGCAAAAAATGCGCTCATTACAGATACCTTACCAAATTATACCTACGCACAGGTCATGTTATATTCAGATTAAGTACTATTGTAGATTTTTTTCGAATGTTTTGTAAACCATTTTTTTGCATAATTATACTTATCTTATACACTGTCCATAATTAAAAAGAGGGGCCAGATATTTAATTTGAAAAAATGCTTTCACTGATGCCTACCTATTAAGGAAAGTGATTCCATTGAATACAAACAAGACTTACAAGACTTGTAAATGTTATGTGACATGACAGTACTGTGTTCTGTTTGTGTCAATACTGTAGTCAGTAATATAAGATGATAAAAATATCAAAGTCTGTTTTTTTATTATTATAATTGTAACAAATATACAAAAGTAACAAAAGGGACTAATATTATTATATAGTAATATTACATGCATTTTTTTCATGTCAAATTAAAAAAATGGTTTCTTTCAATACTGATAGAAGACTGTGAGCAGGTATTAGGAAATTCACTAACATCATGTTCGTGCGAGTCAAAGGTATAAAAGCTACTTGACATTAGTGATATATAAAAAGCTATTGTTAATTGAATTATTGGAAGATCAATATACTTTTTTGCTGAATTGCTTTAAAACCATTCATAAAAAACAACAATACACCTCATGTTCAAACTGCAGATCAAAGTTTCTGTTGTGTTGTTACCAATGATGCGATCTATCTATAGTCTATGCTTAATGAGGGTCCAGCCGCCCGTACGCGCACTAATGCAGCTTTCGCTGTCGAGTACGGACCCTGGACATGTCACCAAGCACAAAGTGTTGGTAATTTACCTCCGTGCATTACCAATGATACCAATGAAATGTAACCATATATACTAAAGTTATAATTATTTCAAAACAACCAATATATCAACATTTTATTTTCATAAATATAAATTAAGATTAATTATCAAAAGCAAACTTATTAAAGTCTTATGCCTGAAATCTTCTTTATATTGCCAATTCAATCACTAATAGTATACTTGATATGCTGTGTGTAAATGTAATTCAAAATGTAACAAATTATAATTTCATGTACTACTCAAAAAGGTTAATAACAAATTTATAACCTATGTGTCAAAAATCAGAACATTTATAGCTATTTATAGCTTTCGAATTCATGTACAGCAGAACTGCTTTCCGGTTCTCATTCATTAATATGGCATAAAGCGAATCACCGAAGGGGGAACCAATATAATAATCGGATGGAGTTATTGAATCCGAATTTATTTTCAGCTGTAAATCGAAGGGATTAATTGATAAAATCCGAGCCCATGGACAAAAAATAGTAAACACAAATAGCTCCGTGCCTGTGGGCGCGGAGCAATAAAATGTTAGATGATCGAAATTTCGGACAGAGCCAGATTTAAGACAATAAACATAGTGTTATGTTGTTAAATCAGAAAAAACATTTCGAAAGTGTTGCTGTTTGCACATTTTCAATTTCCTTTCAGATCTGTTTGTAGAAACGATATGACAAATATGTATATCTATAATAATCACCTGTCAGACAATTTGACATTAACTTGGCAAATACTACTTACATGTCTACTCGTATATGTCTAAGATTTAATGATATTTCTATTATGGCTTGATGATATCAAGGACAAAATGCGGACAAAAAATATTTTCTGCATTAAAAAACTTTTTTTTAGATAAATATGAGTGTTGCTATATTCCGACAATTCGACAATTTTATCATTTGTATAAATTTGAAACTTTACAAACCACACAATTAAAGTTATCAATTTTCTCAAGACATAACTATTTTGGGACCTTTCTGCTACGGCGAGGGGATTGATTATTATTTCTTATTTCTTATTAATGTTTCTTTTATTTTTTCAACAACATTCTCCTTATTGAATTTACAATATTTTACAATTTACAATATTTTATTATATGATATTCTTTTGTTTATATTCTATACAGACACTAGTAAAGGCATTGACACTTAACCAAGTAAGTATGGAAGAGAACTGGTGTAAAATGTGTTGAACGTTCGTCAAAACAGGAAATTAGATCTATATCAAATATCCATTGACAAGAAATAATTACCGAGAACTCTATAACTCCTTTCTTACACTCATGTTAATTATCACAAATGATGGACAGCTCCTACATGTAGCTCTGATGATTGAATAGGGTCGTTGAACGTCCATGACATTATAATTAAGTATAATACGAGTTACACTGTGGGCTTTTATCAATTAACCTTTAGACTATATTTGGATGATCCAAAATTTGGACAACATAGCAGGATTCAAGACAAAAAATGTTATGTTTGCAAACAAGAAAAAAACAATTTGAAAGTCTGCTGTTTGCACATTTTCAATTTCCTTTTAGATTTGTTTGTAGAAATGGTATGACAAGTATGTATTTCTTTAAAGCAATCACCCGTCAGACAATTTGATATCTATTTGGAAGATACAACTTACATGTCTATATATCTAAGATGTTATGACATTTCTGTAATATATTGAAGATTTTAAGGACAATGTGTGGACAAAACATATTTCCCGGTTATTCAAAAAAAAATATTTCTTGTCAAAAATACCTGAGTGCTGGTGAACGGAAGGATATGCTAAATTAATGAAATTTCTCAAAAGCATTTTCATTTTTCTTCCAAAACCATATTATCAACAAAGGTACATTTTATGTTTGTGGTTTATTAATACATGTTGTACCGGATTGTACATTTCACATTTTCTCGATACATATTATATGTAGATCAATGCCAATTTTATTTTACAATTTAGGAAAGATAAAAGCTGTTAACTTTGAAGGAACTATTGCATGATTGTATTGATAATATAAGATCTTCATTTTGAATCAATAGGGTATACAGTAAAAATATACTTTTCACTTAGTTTGACTTATAATCAATAGAAGAGGACACAAACAAGTTCACTTTATTGTCTGAAAGAAAAGAATGTCAATACATGATAATGGAAGTTCAAAACGTAACGTTTAAGATTTGATATGAAATAATTTGTTAAAAATGAGGTACTTTGCTTTCTAGTGAATTTGTACCACATATAATGATGGAATAGTTCACTTAAACAATGTTTTTTTTTCTATACATATATCTAAAATGTTTAACTGTCTGATCCGTTATATCACATGAAATATATTATCAATTTACCTGCTGATGTTGTCCAACGTGTTTTTCCCTACTGTTTTGTTTGAAACAGTCCATTCAATATTTTAAGGAATTTCGAAAATAAAAAAAAAAATAATAATGTAAAAACTGAGTATAGGCATTGAAGGCTGACCCATTCCTTTACTTGTGACAAACCCTTATCACTTCTGGCTATAGCTTTAGAGAAAAACTAGTGTGTATTATTTATCTATTGCAATTTGTTTATCTAACAAAGTACCTATTTTGGCAGCAACACCTTATTTCTTTCGCGATGCGTATAATGGTCTCATTGGCCTTATGTGCATCAAATAGTATCATTACAAAAATCGACTTGCATCTATATTAAGAATCATTCAGTGAATAACTGAATTCAAAATTCATAGTTCTACCTTTTGGTAGATAATAACATTATCATGGTAACATGTACCGTGTCCGTACTCTGAGTGCTTGAAAAGGCGGATGGACCCTCCATTTTAATTCAATGTTTGCGCAGAAAATGAATAAAATAATCTAATAGAGATAAAGAGTGTTAAACTAATTGTTTTAGCATTTTAAATCTCTACTGTTGAAAGTCTGTGATGTTACTTACCCGAGCGCTTTATATTCCCTTCTGTGATGATAGCCAGACGTTGCTTTTTGTCAATATAGACATAAAATAATTTTTCGAATGGAAAATATTTTTTATTTCGCACCTTTTGTCATACAGAAACGAACTCTTTTTCAGTTACAATTATAATGTCCTGATGACGACAACAAAAGTTCGCTATGCATTTTAAAGCACGCAACCAATCTATCATGTTGATGTTACATAACATTTTCAAGCACCGCTGAAACCACAAAAACACCCTCATCTGTTTTGCAAGATTATTTCTTCCTTCACATTTTGCATACTCTCTTTTGGGTGTCAACATATGATATGGGGCTGACAAAATATAAAAGCACATGTCTGCATATCTTGATTATTTTCAAAAGCAAATCTTTATAATCAAAACAGCAGTCAGTATTGTGTTAATAAATGTGTGTAGGTACTTTATTTATGCAATGCTTTCGTAAACATTAACAAAATGTTAGAATTTTTTCGTGCAAGTGTCACTTCCTCAGAAACTGTCATAAAACTAATGGAATTGAAGTGTCAGATTTGATGTATGTTGTTTTTTTAGATTCCAATCTAAATGCATACATCTTGATGATAATTATATCCTTTTACTGAAGGAATTTTACTCAGTACAAATTATGTAAAAACAGATATAACATCGTTATTCCTTGCAAAAGCTATGTATTCTCAGTATTTCTAGATGTATTTTTCCTTTTAAAACCTAGACAAAGGTATGTGAAATTTTAGTTTTACATTAACGAAATACATATATAAATATTACGCAAATTTAAAGTAGACCTACAAAACAAGTCCATATTTATGATAATAGTTTTAACATTATGTTTTCCGACAGACATCTTTTAAATTTTGAAAGGTATAGTTTCAATGCATATATAATAATTTCTGTTATAGAAATTCACTGATTAAAAAAGAGATACCACGCTATAAGGTAGATGTGTCTTTATTAAAACATATTTGTTATTGATTTGTTGTGCAAAAGAAACAAAAACAGTTAAGTTGTCTCTTGGATATGCATCAACACCGTATAGTACTTCAAAATATATCATTAAGTAAACATATTTCTGTTATTGATATAAATATTTCAATGATAGTGTAGAGCTTAATTTAAAACAGTATTCATTCTTCAAAAATCATCCTCATATTATCATTCTCAAAGTTGTCTGAACAAGAAATTTTCAAATGAAGGAGTAAGCCTGTAAAGAACATATAAAATGGGGGGATTACCATTAAAATGAAGGAACGAACTAAAAATTTTAATAAAAATTTATTGCATTAATTTATGGGGTTTTTTTTAATTAAAAGTGCTATTATGCGTTATCCATATGTTCCTGATGTTTTACTTTTTTCACCATACAGCACACTTTTTCTCTGGATTCATGAAACTGTTCTTCTTACATCCAAACGCTGCAGAAAATTCCCGAGTATTTTGCAATGTACCTACCACTCTAAAAAAACAAGGCAAAAATAAAACTTTAGCACCAAATTTATATCTTTTGTAACATACCTTCCTAGCAAATGCAGCGGAAACTCCCACTGGAACTGACGTTCTTGATCATCTAGCATTGAACATCGCAAAAGCAAAAAAAAAAAAAAAGAGTACACAGCGGGAAAAAAAATCTGACGAGTTCAGTCCAATACGGTTTCTCGACATGTGTTTAAGACGCTTGCAAAATAACAAGACAGCAATAAATCAGATGCTTTTGTTTTTAACGGCTATTATCGACGGTCTATGGTATATTGAAAATGATATTGGCACTCTACTTTATAAAATGTATACTGGAGAATATTGTTTATAATACAGACAATTTATGGGATATTCACGTGATGCAATCCAAAAGCAATAATTGAATATGAATACAATGTATTTCTATAAATTACATGTTGATAATGTACGCTCTCTTGTTTTTTTTTTTTTTTTTTTTTTTGTTTTTTTTTTTTTTTTTTATTTGTTTTTTTTTCCAAGAAAGAATTTAAAAACGAATTACCTAAATTGACCAGGACTGTGAACACCAGTGTTAACGGCACTAATGATGTTTTCTTTTCTTGCATTATTACACCAAACCTGTGAAAATACATGATATAGTGTTCAAAAACTTCAGCATTACAACAATTATTAATTTATTTTTTTTCTGAACTTTATCACAAATGGCTGAACTTCAGATAAAAATATACAAAACCGTATAACATACTAGCACAATTGCCGGCACCTGATGTTTTAAACATTGGCAAAAACATATAAATAGCATTAAGAGGAGACGAAGCATATCACCTAACATACATCAATTTTATAATTATTAACACACATACACACACATATTATTATAACATACAACGGAATACATATCGCATTTTGCTTATTCTTTGAACAGTATACAGACAACGGATTCCTTTGTTAAAAATTACCTGTGCATAGTTGATAAAGAATAGCTGATTATTGGTAAAGTTAACTCCTGGTAACAAGGCTTCTTCTTTTCCACGTTTTTCCACCCATTTTCTGTATGCCTGCAAATTATAAAGAAACAATATTACTAAATATGAATATATATTATCAATAAAATACTTAGCATTAACAGCATATATGTAATTTGATTATGTCCCTCATTCATTTAACACTTCATTTATTAATAAAAAGCCTTAATATTGTCCTTGTTCCTTTGAGATTTTAAAATTTAACTCACTACTGTTAGTGTTTATGATTGTTAATTACAAATGTCTGGAAAATTCCATTGGAAGCATTAAAAACAGCAAAATTTCAAATTGCAGACTCGGATTGATTGCGTCTGTACATGAGTACACGAAGACTCAAATGAGCATGCGTTTTCAAAGAACTAATTTTTTTAGTTTGCCCACTGATCAGCATCATGTACATAATTCAAATTAATATGATCTCATATAAGAATTAGAATGAATAATTATCAAGTGCACCCAAGGTCGCCTGTCTACGTTGTCGTTTTCCAATGAACGACATAAAATATATTATTTTTTTCTTATTATTGTTTTAAGTGGTTTTTTTTTGCACATTTCGACACCTTTTCGACACAATACGATATTATATTCATATCTATCAAATGTACATTCTTTTAAATGTCGTATTCGACTATTTGTCAATTCCTTTTATCAAATATCTTTTGACGTTATGTTGTGCACCGTGTGCACCGTTCACAAGCATACACAACCAAAATTGAACTGTGTTTATATTCACCCTGAAACTTTGTTTAAGGCCACCATTGTCTGCTATATTCTCTCCTTGCGTATTAATTCCATTTATCTGAAAGTAACATGTGACTGAGTAATAAATGTGCCTTTTAGAACATTGTAACAGATTAATTTCCAGTTCAATCTTTTTGTTTTGAAATTCAGAATATTGGATCGTTTTTTTTTTTATTGTGCATATCCTTTTGTTAAGAAAATGTTACCATTCTATCATGTTAATCTATCAAGGTAAACGTTATCACAAAATATAAACTAATAACAATAGATAAAATACATGGTGGTTTGTAGCGGACTTTACATGCAAAAGTTATTTCAGAGAGCTGTTTCTAACATATATGTATATAAGAAACCCTGTATTGTCAACCATATCATTTCAGTTTTAATTATAAAAGTGTATAAATCTATATATATAAGATCTCTTTTCGATTTATAAAATATTGTTTATATCATAATTAAAATTATCATAGCTTCAGAATACATGAAATAAAATAAATTTGTCCGTATATTTTGTTAAAAATGAATGGAACATGTTCCAAATAATCGCTATGTACACTATTTCGTTCCGGAATGTTTTATTATGATTTTTGTACAAAACACATATGTGTTAAATAACAGTTTCATCTTTGTTACAACTTTTATGACAAATTATCATAAGGCAATTTTTACCGTTTTCTAAATTTGTGCTAAATTTTTCATCAGCTTAAGCTTAATATCCTTTAAGTTAATTAAAGAATTTACGTTTTTGTAAGTTAACATATTTAATTAAATGATCCTTACATTCAAACCTGCCTCTGGTACAACAAACTCATTATATTGGTCAATTATACACTGAGCCTTTTCTTTAAAGCGTGTAATAACTGAGGTATTCCACCATTGGTTGAGATTGCCAGTTTTATCATATTGTCTTCCTGTGTAATAATGAAAATAATTCATGTAAATATTGCCTTTCAAACTATTCTTCTGCTTTGTATTTGAAATAACAATATTGCATTGTCCATTTTTACATCGAAATACTGACATGTGCTCCAAACAGCACGACCTCTATTTCAGCAGCATCCATATGAGTCTTGTAAAATAACACGGGCATTTCCAGGCTGCCATAGCTAATAAAATGGTTAAACAGTCCTATGTATAAAGTGGACAAAACGTTAACAATCAACAAAATAATATTAACTAGAAATGTCTCCATAGGACACAAATACCAAATAAATCCACAAGCATCCAGGTGTACATATCAACATTCTCGAAAAGTTTGTTTTTTTACTCTAGCTCAAGCACTTTTAGTCCTACATGTGACACAACATGGGAACTCACGCAAAGACGGACAATGGCAGATATAAATCCTTCCACAATAATACACTCATTATGTCATTTTTTAAGAACGTGTATTTTCAGAAACAAAGATGATTTTACAATGACATGAGATTTTTTTTCTAATACAAATTCCATGACTTATCAATAAATTTATCATTTATTGTCAATTTTAAAAACATATTATCAACAAGTTAATATAATAAAAAGAAATTATTTCTTCAAGGATAAATTTGTAACAACAGAAATAACAATAATGGTATTGTAATGAAAATGAAAAACAATCAGTCAAAGAGACACTATCTATACGGAGTATTATAGCGTCTTTACTGACTGAATTCATTCCCTTGCATAACAATATCTAAAGTACATACAATAGAATCAAATGCATCAACGCCTATATATTATGCTAAAATATGATATTTAGTACAATACAGTCTCTTCTGAAATGTAACCATCTTTTGAATACACAGAGAAAGAAATGTTACATTCTAAACTCTGTATTCTACAGGAAATCAAAGTATGATTACATCAAGTCATTAAAAAAGATTAGTCTAAATTAATTTGACAAGTAATAGTGTATAGAGCTTCCCAAACAAAGTTTGAACATGCGCTCAAATTAGACATATTTATGAATTTTTTACTATGTTTCAAATTTCTGCAAAAAAATATTTTACCAAAAGACGAGCAGAATATTACTTTTTACCCAAAGACGAGCATAGTATATGTATATCTTTAAACATCTTGTAACACTTATTTCATTGTAAAGTCTAATAGATTTAATTATTCTTAAGTAAAAGGGCTAACTATTTATGAATTAAGAATATACACAATTGTATTGTTGAAAATAGTTCAACCTTTTGGTTAAGAAAACCATGATAGCCTAATGAAAGAATTTAACATTTTTATGCCACAAACAAATATTTCAAATGTTTTACCTCTATCATCAAAACCGTGAGTTATTTCATGTCCTATCACAGCACCTATTCCACCGTAATTCATGGACCTGTTATATGTAAAGTAATATATCAAATTGTTTTTATCTCTATAAAATATTTAAAAATACAAACCAAGTATATTTCTGTATGATATTAGAGGATTAAATGTTCATATATGCAATAAGCCAAGACAGGTTTATGCACCTTTTTCGTGGAAGTCCTGGCAGGTAATTAAAAACTCGAGATTCATTAAGTACGAGGGTTTCTGCAAAAAGGTGCAGTAATTATATTTATAAGTTAAATAAAGTTTAGAAGTGCATGGTATTAGTGAATTTAATGTATTGTACATACTTTAAACAGGCAGATAGAATATTCGGATAGTTATCATATTTGTAATATGTCAGTCTCAGCTATTCAACGACGTTACGTTTAAATGCTCTTGAACCAGTAATGCGAAAAGATGAATATCCGGAAGTTAGTTGTATGTCAGCAGTGGATTTTAATAATTGTGATGATGCATACAGTGACTAGCAATACGTTTTATGTTTCAGTGTTTAAAGTTTCTTTTTGTGATAATGTATATTCGATTTTCTTTTAAATTGGCGTAGATGATAGAGTGATGTAAATAAAAATTAATATAGCTTACTTTGGTTGACCTTTGTCATAAAAAGGAGGTTGAAGAATCCCTGCTGGGAACACTGAAATAAAATAAAAGGAAACTTAGTGTAAGAAGCACACACCTTTTTATTATTATCTTTTTATTCATTAATAATAGCAACATCATAATTAACATTAGTAACAACAATACCAATCAATAACATCATAAACGATTCACACATTATCATTATCATGTTTATTATTATCATCAGCATCACAAACAACATTAATAAACCAAATGCAGTCGTCAATAAGAACAATAACTGTAACAACTGCGTCATCAACAACAACATCACTATCAACGTCATCGTCTTCATCATTTTCGATAATAATAAAATCAATATTATAATAATGTTAATCAATACAATTATGGAGAAAAGTGATCGATTATCTATTACAAAATATAGTAATTATTCATACCATAACAACTTGAATTGCCCTGATTAAAAATCTTTAAGATGAGAATGTCATGAATATTTTGCTTTGTGATCTCTGACCTTGAATCAGTTTACAAGCAAATTCAACATTCACCCTTGCTAAAATCGTCAGTATAAGCAACAATACGTTGTAGATTTGATACGTTTGTTTTAGATTCATAAATACTTACTTATAGCATTTTGCAATGGGCTGTAGAATGCATTAACAATAGAAGGTGGGGTTGTCCATCTAAAAAAAATATGTTTACAAGACTCAGTATTGTAGTGTCTTAAAATGTGTGAATAAATCGCTATATGATAGATATGTAGCGCACTTATACAGTTTTCAAGAGCGCAACTATATATTTAGTAAATTTGAAAAGATTTTGTGTGTTACAAGGACTTTTCATTTAAATCAGAGGCGTTTTTAGGTAACAAGATAAAACCATTTATACGATAAACATGAACTTAATATTCCAATTACTACACTCTGATGTTACCCTACATTTCGCTGTCTGCAAAGAAACACTGTTAATTTTTAACTTGCTATTTATATATTTGTTAAATGATTTACAATTGAACCTTATTTTATTTTTAATGAAATGTATTTTTAATGAAATTTGATTACAAAAAATATAAATAAAAAGTGATTTATCATACATATTTTTATCATATTTCTGTCGCAATTTGGTCAGTCCTTCAGCCGATGACCTCTTCAAATTGTTTAAGACGTTCATGAAATAATCGTCCCTGTCTATTGTCACCTAAAAAAACAAGTAATGCAAACGACGTTTCAAAACAAACCATCCGGTATGTCATATTTAATAATACAATGCCTGTCATATTAAATAACCCAATCGACAAATATTGGTTTCTATTCACATAATTGACTGGGATCAAGTTTTTCTTAAAGCGGATAATAAATCAATAACCCATAGTCCGGTGGCCCTTGCGAGTAGTGCAGAAAAAGATCACGTCTGTGCCATCTGTTCATTGACAGCACTGTACTAAATATAATATGTTTTCTCTAAAATTAATGATGATTAAGCGATGGACAAGTTCGTTGAAAATATTAAGCTTGGTAAATAAACCACATGTTGAGCTACATATAAAAACCCCTATCAGGTAAAACCTATCTGCTTTGACTTACAAGAGATGTTGGGGTTCTTTCTTACCTGACATACGACACAGAATTACACCTATAGTATTTCTGTTAGGCTAATATTTAGCTGAAAAGTCGCCAAAACTCTATATTTTTTTACAAAGCGGAATAATATAAGGAGGCACATAGGATACATTTAAATTAAACAAAGGGGAAATTTATTTTAGCAATGACATACAAAAAATAAATTGACTCGCTTCTTTCACAAATTATTGAAATGAAAAACACTCGATAACTTGCAATAATAGAAATATTTTTTAATATGTTTACGTACGTTTTCATATAGCTTGTTGACTTTCTCATCAACTAACACGTCATCTGGATAGCCGATCCATTCTTTTATTGCATTTGCCTAATAAAACAATTTAAAGAGCCCTTTTACATGAATAAGCAAGTAAGTGCGATTACCCTTACCGACAGTCAATTAAAAATGTATTTAAAATGTGATAATCATAGAAAAAAATATGGTATCTTATTGCACTAATGTGCATTATGATACATATCTTGGAAGAAATATATCACCCATTTTAGACCATAAATGAGCTGCTAAATCGTCACATCAAAAGATATTAATTAATTTGCTACTGTTGATAGTGATATTCTACACATAAATAAAAGGATTTGTGCAATAAATTCTATTTTCTTTCTTTCAAAATATTCATGAACAGGAAGCAAAATTTGCTAATAGCCGGAAATCAGTGTTTACCTTTTCACTTGCAAGTATTCTTGTTCCATCATCCATCCACTCTACTTCATCTAACAGCTCATCAAATGCGTCTCTGATGTTTTTAATCATATTAAGTGCCTTGAGAATATAAAATATGTAATTAACAGTCACTGCGATAAACCTAGATTCAAATACAAACTATATTTGTATGGAAGAAAATAAACAGATGCTAATTGGCTTTTATTTAAACTTCAACCAAAAGCAATCATAAATATCATTTTTTAAAAATCTTATTTTGTCTTTAAGTAACGGATCTGTCAGTCTTGTTTGCAAATATATTAGCAGACGGTTTATTCATGTGGTAAGCAACAAAAGGGACCAAACTTTTCTATAACTACGGCAATTTGTTTAAAATTTCGATAGTGTCTTTATCTAAATGAGTTGAGACATTTTGTTCCATGTTATTCATGTACCTAAGTTTCAATATGATATTTTAAGTATTGTATATCACATTCGTGTGCTATTATGTTTTGACATATTGTGATTGAAACAACACGTGTGTTCATTAAAATAATAATTGTTACCCATATTACAATATTTCATTTTTATTCTCGGTGGTTTAAAAAATATACTAGAGTTATTATTTTTTAACACTTACTAATTATTTCTGGTGACTATAGAAATAATTATATTGGAGTTAACTGTACGTACTGTTTTGTACACTTACTGAAGTTTTTGCAGATTCGTCAAATGTTTCCTTGACAAACATGTGTCCTACAGCCATACCGAAGTTATACACCGTGTAAGATACACAACCTTTCCACCTGGCAGAGGATGATGCGATTCCATATAAAACCTGGATAGCAAACAATTATCACAGATATTCCAATTATCATTATTACCTGGAACAGACTGGATTCCATTAATACTTATCTATTCAGATTTATACAGATCAATACAGAGTTATCATTTCAAAAAATATAAACTGTTTGAACATACTAATTTTACTCTGTTGCCTGTTCGAGCACAGACATAGCACCTTAGGTGTTTCTCCATCAGTAAAAGTGGAAGTACGATATATGACCTATATGGTAGACGTGAAATCCAAGAAATATATTTAATTAAGATTCATCCGATGCTTTCTGGATTCAGTAATAAATGAACTTCTTATTCTATGTAAATGACTTTCTAAATTGTAACTTTTAATACCTTATTAAAATCCGTCAAAAGTTCTCTAAATCTGCTATCAAGATTGGAAGCACGGTTTTGCACAATGGTCCATACTACATAATTAGCAACTGTGCTGAAAAAAAGAAGCATAGATTATATATTTATGTCCCGAATGATTGAATTGAAACAATACAATAGCAAGTAAAATAATTCATCCTACTGCAATAAGTATGATCCTATGGGATTTATATTTAATTGATCAATCCTAATGGAATTGACAGCATATTAGAACAAATCTTCTGCAAATTAAAACAATTCTACTTCAATAAAAATAATTTAGGAGCAACTGACATCAAATTAAAACAATCATACAGTAATTTAAACAACCCGTCAGCAGTATTTACCAACCCGTCTGCAGTATTTACAATCATACAGCAATTTATAACAAACTAAAACAACTATACAGCAATTGAGAGCAAATTTAAATTATCCTAATTCAATTGATAAAGTCCTACAATAATTGGGTGCATACTGCAATAATCCTACACCAATTGATATCAAATTTAAAAAAAAAATCATACAGCACTTGCCAGTAAATTAAAATAATCAATCCATCCTACAGCAATTGCGATCAAATTAAAACAATCATCCAGCTATTGACAGTACATTAAAACAATTCTACAGAAAATGACAACAGCTAATTCTTACTATCCTAAAGCAAATAATAAAATCCTTGCATTTGGCAGCGAATTATTATAATCCTACAGCAATTTATATAAGATTAAACTAATCCTACAGAAATTGATAGCAATCTTACAGCAATTGTCGGAAAAATAAAACAATCAATTCTACAACAATTTACGGCAAATCAAAGTAATTCTAAAGCAACTGATATTATCCTACAACATTTTATAAGTCATATGACGGAGAAAAACGACCAAAAATAATAAGGACGACTAATGTGTCCAAAGTAGGTACCGTGGGAATCCTTTGTGCATGTGTAAAAGCGACTAAATAGCAATTATTTAAGATCAGAGTATTTCATTTGTAACACTTGGTTACTTATGCCTTTAAATCTAAATACAAGTTAGAACATATTTATCTGTAAGAAAAAAATGTATATAAAGTTGTTTCCAGGTTGCTCGTTTAAAGTGGAGATTTTACATATTCAAAACGTCAAAAGCAAAAATATGAGAACAAAGGTCAAATATGAATGGCTGCAAAATATCTACGAGTTTTCTATCAAAATATATGCAGCCACATAGATAACATATATTCATTAAAACATTGTCATTCTTGATCAGTTGTCATTTTTTCTTTGGTCAATAACATGTACACGCATTCCTTTTGAAATTTATAAATTTAGAGTATGCAATATGTTTATAAATGACAGCTTACCGTTTTCCATGTTTTTGAAGAACATTAAAGAGTCTCTTGAAGTATGAAACGTCCAGCACAATGACCTGCTCGTTTTCATCCAATGCTATTCCAACATTCTCTATGTCAAAAACACCTTGTATGTATTCGAGCCAGTCGAACTGAAACAGATATATGATGCATGAAGTTTTACCAAATTGCACATCAGGACAATGTCAAAGAACCGTAAAAAGGCCAAAAATAGAGAAAAGCAGACTGAAGCCTAATAAGAGAGCCCAACACGGCAAAACTGAAAATCTTGCAGACTCGATTTAATTGAGCTTGTTCATGGATGGTAGTTCTCTGTTGTGCTTGTTCGCTATATGGGCAAAAAGAGATTAATGGGATATAGTTAAAAACAAAGTTAACAATACGTCATTTTATAATTTCATTTGTTTTAACATATTTTTTTTCAATATAACTATATTAGACATATGAACATTTTTTATACAATACATTTTGGGTTGGGGCAGCATTTTAATTTAAAAAATAAGAAAATCAATCCTTTGCATGGTATAAAACTGTATACTAATTAAGGAAAATATGTAGGCGGTATGATAGCTCAGCCGTTTGGGCTATGGCACTAAGGTTCAAATCCTTATCAGGCAGCACGTTTGTGTGACCCCCCTCCCCCCGTCACACATTGTCTAGACCTACCTGTACAGTGTCCGTTGTATTTGGCTCTGTAAAATTCTGTTTTAACTGTGCAATTGTCATCTTATTATACAGGGCATCGAAATCTCGTCTGTCTTCTGGCTTTGTTGTGATCTGAATTCAATTAACGGTACAAATCCCGGAAAGTTAGAATTATATTTCATTTTGAGGAACGCTAATAAAATTAACAATCGAGAATGATCTTTTTACATCGGAATACCTGCTTCTACTAAGTTATATAGATGAATATGTCATTAATTTGGTTTGTGATTTTAAAAAACTAACAAGGATACAATAATATAATAATCGAATAAGATATTCTTGAGTTAAACCAAATTTTTAGAGACTGGAACGTAAACTCTGGCTTAAAATCTCTTTCAGCAATACCACAATTATGTTTACCTTCAAATTTCAATTGTTATTTTTAAGAGGATAATGTTCTAATTATGTATGACTTAACAATATTTAAGATATCTATCACTAATAAAACGTAAGATGAATCACATCTATTATGCATATTATTTGTATTTTACATTTGCAAGATCTATTTCCAAGTCGAGCATTTGCCGCATCTCTCTATCTGCAAGATTCTCATCAGCTCCGAACAGTTTAGCTATTGATGACGCAAGAGTGACGTAAGCTTCGCGCATGCGCGCTAATCCATCCTGTAGATAATACAGGCGTCCAGGAAGTCCAAAAGATGGTTGGTCAAACTGGGGAGTGAAATACATTTATGAAAGTATAACAGCGTGAAAACCAGGAAAGGTTTAAACACAAGAGAGTATATGTTAGATATAACAATGTGGGAAAAAACTTCTCGAAAGACATACATAATTTTTTTTTTCAGAAAGATCTAATTTAGGCTATATGCTCCCGTCTCTCACACGAGCAACTTACGAAAAAGACGACAAGGCCGGGTGGTAAACGTGAAAAGTAATCAACCTAGTAATCTAAGGATCTCTAGCTGCGTGGGTTCGAACCCCGTGAGGGACAAGCCATTGTTTCCTTGAACAAGAATCTTTATATATTTGCTCAGTACTGGTTGCTTTGAGAATTTGTCTATAGGCTTATAGCTTCTTTATATTAAACATGTTTATCCAACGAATAGTATGTCACAAAGTATACTTACATAAATGATATACTGTTGTGAGTTCCTTATATCCGGGCTTACGTACATATTAATAACTGGATTATTGTTGTATTGCCGTAGTGTTATCAATAACTGGGACAGGCTAAAATTACTTTCTATCCAGTTTCCACCAAGTTTGGTACCAAGCACTGGCCAGCCACCGAGCTCTTCTAGTAAAGGTACGGCAGCTGTTGAATTTCTCTTCTCAATTGTTTCTGCACAAAAATGTAAACAGTAATTTAAATAAACAAATGTTTTGAATAAAAGTATTTATCTACATATAACTATAACAGTTACACAAATGAGAATAACACCATTTGTTCTTACTATATTTGCTAATATCTCTTATGTCACTTTTAGAATACTAGTATATGATTTGCTTTTTAAATGTGTCTTCGGTTTGCTGTCATTTTGGTGCAGTAATATGTTAACTACTATCATATTCCATTTGGAGTTAACCCGTTACTGCAATAAGTTAAGGACATGTCGTTTCGACCAAATAAATGATACTTTTATCCGTTTCTTACACAAACATTTTCTAATTTTGTGATTATACGCCGTTAATTTGTTGCTGTTTTTGTGGGTTTTATTTGTTTTGTTTTTTTTTTAATTTTTTTTCACTTAATGGCACACAATTTTCACATTAAAAGGTTCCATCATAAAATCAAAAATATGTAGATTTAACTAAATTCAAATAGTACACCGTGTTAATATTCAAAAGTTAGATTCTGATAATTCCAGAACTAGATGGTCGAGGAAAGAAATCATTTTGCATAATTATTCTTGACGCTTTATATACGCTTTACGCTTTATATTCTCCACTGAAATGCAAAAGCCTAAAAACAAACAAAAAAATAAAAGTCTCATATAGATCAGCTGGGGCACTTGACACAAAAAGATTATAAATTATACTCTGTAATAAGTTGAAAGTCGTATTTATGTGCGAATTTAGCCCAATGTGAGTGCAAAGCGTCAAAATGCTTTTCAATTTTCGGTCGTTTTTCACAATTAGAATTATTATTCTGGAAAAAACAGCTTGAGCAAATGATCTGAAATTTTGCAAAGAACTATTGGTCAAGACCTACATTAAATGGAACTTTATTCCCGGAAAATTATTTCTAGTTCCGTAATGTAAAAAAAAAAACCTTAATGGAGTTCCTTTAATGTAAACACTAAAACGTTTTGAACTTACCTAAATCTAAACACGAAGCATACAAATCTTTAGCTTTGACAATACTTGAAAAGTTTTGGTACGCCTGGTTATCATCAAGCAGATCTAAAATTAAATAAGAGTAATGTATATAACTTTATAATGAGCAGACAATGACTAAAGATATTTTTTATACTGAACAGATGCTGACAAAATAATTTTTATACTGAGCAGATGCTAACTTGAGAATTTTTATACTGAACAGAAGCTGACTGAAGATTTTTATACTAAGCAGATGCTAACTTGAGATTTTTTATACTGAACAGAAGCTGACTGAAGATTTTTATACTAAGCAGATGCTAACTTGAGATTTTTTAAAATGAACAGATGCTGACTAAAGATTTTTATACTAAGCAGATGCTAACTTGAGATTTTTTATACTGAACAGAAGCTGACTGAAGATTTTTATACTGAGCAGATGCTAACTTTAGATTTTTTTTTTATACCGAACAGAAGCTGACTGAAGATTTTTATACTGAGCAGATGCTAACTTGAGATTTTTTTTTATACTGAACAGAAGCTGACTGAAGATTTTTATACTGAGCAGATGCTAACTTGAGATTTTTTTATACTGAACAGAAGCTGACTGAAGATTTTTATACTGAGCAGATGCTAACTTGAGATTTTTTTTATACTGAACAGACGCTGACTGAAGATTTTTATACTTAGCAGATGCTAACTTGAGATTTTTTTATACTGAACAGACGCTGACTGAAGATTTTTATACTTAGCAGATGCTAACTTGAGTTTTTTTTATACTGAACAGACGCTGACTGAAGATTTTAATACTGAGCAGATGCTTACTTGAATTTTTTTTATACTGAACAGACGCTGACTGAAGTGTTTAGATTTTTTAATACTGGGCAAATGCTGAAGTTTTCTGTTTACAGGTTAAATAAGTATACAGATCTTTCCTGGAATCAAGTTTGCACTTCATTTTGCAACTTGATAGAAATATTATTAAAGAACATATGCAATGGTATCAATTTTCTCATAATATTTAAACAATGGTTGATTTAGACAGTAAATAGTAACTTTAATTACAATACTTTTGCAAAATAGAGATAAGTATACGTACATTTATTTATCACCTGAACTTTTTCACTTAGAGATCCAAACATACTATAGCTTGAGCTATCATCTGGTATCACGTGTTTCTTTTTCCACGTGCCGCACGAGTACATATAGAAGTCTTCACATGGATCTATTGTCAAGTCCATATTTTCCAGTACGCGTGCACCTGTATTTGAAATTATTACATAAAAAATATTTGTATACTTTTCTTTTTGATTATGTTTTGATGATTTTCATATTTGTAAAAATAATAGGCCCTATTCTGATTGAACGTTTTGAGTAGAAGACGAAACATTTCTTTATTTTGCTAGAATAGAATAATGCCCTTGATTGCTCTATCTTATCTTTTTTTTTCTTTTTTTTTTTTTTTTTTTTTGGATAGGGGAATAGTGTGAAGCGTGTTAAAAATATAATTATATTAAATATAGACTTAAGTACGTATAATTAAAGCTTTCAGTTACTTACTTGCTTTTGCACAGTCCGCTGTAAGACACACTTCTGAAGAAAAAAAATACAAAAAAGTCAGGTAAGACACATTTTTCTATAAAAATCACTTTAGGTACATGTCTTGTTACATTTTTATACCCGATTATTCTTCCTATGCAAGTTACAACATGACATGCTTGATCTTTTATGAATAAATAATCATTAATCAATTATGACACCTAATCAAATATTTTCAATAAAACTTACCAATTCTTGCTTTATCCCGTACTACAATTATAAAAGACCATTATTTTTCTATAATAATTGAATTTAGGCATCTTGATTTATGACTTTAGTTTCTCTGATAAAATTGTTTTTAACACTATTTGTAAAAAAGAAGTACCTGGCGATATGACATCAGGGGCTGGTGCCTTGACAACTTTGTCTGACGTAGAATCATCTAATTCTTGTTTCTGCCTCACTACAACAACGGCCAGTACAACTGCCGCCGCGAGAAATATAACTACGAGAAAAAGTAGTCCCTTTTCACAGGCCGATCTTCTCTTCCACGGACCCTCTCTTTTAAAACTTCAAAAAAGAATTATTCAGAGTTAAGCAAACAAAAGCAGTCCATTTTATTCATTTTAATTTAAGGCAAATCTTTTTAGTACCAGAAAATTCTTTCATTATTTCATTTCTCTATTTGCAGCTGTATGTAACAAAGGGACTCTCCAACCAGCAAGATCAACCGGAAATTCAGTCGTATTTGTACATTCTCCTGTTATAGAAATTTATTAATTTACATCATTTATTAAGATAAGCACACAGAACACAATATAAAGAACAATCGCTCAGCCGGACCGAAGTAGTAAACTTATTAATAATCTTGTTTTTATTTGACCAAACAAATAATGGTAGCGAAATTTTAGACCCTGATATGCTTACATGTGATATGCTTATTTGCAAAATCCGCAAGTAGTCCGTCACGAACTCCTCTAAGCGGTTACTTCACTTTATAAGTACACTAACGCCGAAAAATTAAGGGGACATCACTGCGTAAAGATTGTCAAATGACAGGCGCTTTAATTTTTAAAGCGTCTCAGGGAAGAAAATATAGTTCCCGATTGGTCGAAGATTTCTAATATTGTGTAATTCTTTAACATTTCTGCAAACTACCGGTAAAGAAATCAAATAATTTTGTTACGCGGATGAATATCATTTAATCAATGAAAACTGCTCGGCTGTTTCCGTAAAGCTTTGGATTATTGTGATCGCGTAAATGAACATTTGTTATTTTTACTTTCTGAAAAATAATGTAAGGTTGTTGACTCTAGGACAGGGACGACATAAGGCAGTCGACGATCGATAATCAATTTCAATTCAATTTAAATTTAATAAGGATTACAGAACCTAATTCAGAATTATGTGTTTAGCTTCAGGCTGTTTTCTTATAACTTCCCCGTTGTCCAGGGGCTGCACGCTCGTTTAGGAAGCGAGAGGTCCGGGTTTCAAATCCCAGTTAAAGCAACTCATGTTGTTGTTTTTTTGTTTGTTTGTTTTTTTATTTTATTTTTTTTTATTTTTTTTTTTATTATTTAAATTGTTTAAGCAAAAAAAAACATTAAGTTGAATATCAGTGCTGCAATTAGCCTTTTAGCCAATTTACTACAGTTATAACACTGGACACAGCATTGCTGGCACTACTGTTTATAATCTCACAACCTTCATCTTTCTGACACTTAGAGACCCACACAAATTCAACGCGTTCTGTGCTTTGATTAATGGTAGGCGCTGATTTGCAGGTCTCTTTAGCGCTATTATGCCCGAATTGGTGTGTACTATTTGTTACATTATAATACATTATGATACCTAACTTCATAGTACAATATACAACAATGAAGTCAAACGTATCAAACATAAATCATTAACCATTGTAAAATTTTAAGCGGATTTGTAAAATCCACTACACGGTTATACAGCACAATTCTTTTGCGGCCGGATCAAAAGATAATAATGCCCGCAAAGGCGTAAGGACTGCTGAAGTCATATTAGCATGTCTGTTTTAAAGGCCCATTGACTTTTTACATAAGTAAAGAAGGAACACATTTATGTAAGATAACCGTACAATATTTGAATAGTATTTGTGTTATTACAGTTTCAATAACTTAACCAGCATTTTATAAAACATATACATTTTTGAATTACAATTTTGTTGCTCACGCAAACTAAACCGCTCTATGCTTTTAAAATTTGTGTCTTGGTAAGTGAAAAATGATCTTTAACTGAAAATATCTATGAATCAGAGCCCTCAAGTGCATTATATACATTATTTATCTGGCGTTGATACTTTTAGAGAATATCATATATACAAATTATAGAACACATTCTGGCATTGACAGTTTTAGAGCTTGTCTTCTATAATGCATTTAAATCATAGAACACATTCTGGCCATGATACTTTCAGATAATGTCTGATAAAATACACATAAATTAAAGACCAAATCTAGCATTGATACTTTAGAGAATGTCGATATAATACGTACAAATTAGAGAACACATTCTAGCATTGATACTTTAGAGATTGTCTTATATAATACATATATAAATTATAAAACAAAGTCTGGCATTGATATATTTAGGGTATGTCTTGACATATTAGAAAACTTTTGTAGATTCGTAAAAGTAGCTTATTATTTAAACAAAACAACTTTAGATTAGATAGAATGCAGTAGGCCAGTTATGAGTTACATTAAAATTCATTTATAAATGTATAAATATTTATTCAGTTACATTATTTGTTATGGGAAAATAAAAGAAATTTCATTACAGTTTTTTTTATTCTAATGTATACATTATCGTTAATTTGCACATTACATGTTTTTATGTAAAAAAGATGAACTGTTATTGTTCATGTTAGACGAATAAAAATTCTGTGATATTATTTCCTGTTCTATGTTCTAAAAAAGATATTTCAAATATGCTTAAAGTTACCTTACCTTATTTGAACTTGCGATTCTGCAGCCGTGCTTGATTTACTATAATTTCCATTTTCAGAACTAGTTCTATCAAATCCTGCATTGTCATACACGGCAGACATTTTTGTTTTCGTTTATTTATTCACAATTTTATCTTATATGCAACTAAAATGAGTGCAGCCACTCAAATAATAATTTATCAAAATATTGTTCCGTCTGGACTTGCGCACTAATCTCTATTATGAAAATAATTTTTCACCGTCTAGTGACCAAAATTGGTGAACCGTTATAAAAGTAAATTGGTAGGTTTTATAAATATCTTGTACAAATACACAAATAAAATCCTAAAGTAAATAAAAATTTGTTTATAATGAAACAGGACGCACCAAAAATCGTGACTAAATCGCTTCTTCTATTTTCTGTCTTTTTTAAATTAGCGGAAATGAATTATCGTTCCGAATTTAATTCATTTAATTAAATGACCTTTTTGTTAATTTATTGAAATGTAATTAAGAGTTCAGAGATTGGTACTGTAACTAAAGGCCGGCAACCAAATAGGTCAATGTTTCTCTTAAGTGTAATTAGATGCAAGAAGGAGATTACTTTCAAGAGAATCTCGTGTGTGCATTAAATAAGATAGTTTGCTTCATTAATCTTTTTTGTTTATTTACAGAGTTTCAAAATAACTGTTTTAAGGTTAGTCTTTGTCAGTTTGCTTGACTTAACAAGAAATGTTAGTTGTTGATTCATCCTCCGCGAAATCTATTTATTATTCTGTAAAAAACAAATGTTTTTATTTTTTTAACTTTATTTGATTTTTTAATAATACTGCACATTTGTAACTTCGCTTTTCATTGTAAAGAAGAAATCTGCAATTCACGGCAAATTACACTCTAAATAATTCCGAAACTGTTTTAATTTAGGCTTTTCGGCAGAATGAAAACTGTTTAACAGAGATTTTTCAAACTTTGTATATGATCTTAGCATATGAAGAGAAAATGAAAACAAGATTATCAAACTCGTGTTTGAGTTATCTGCCCTTTAAATATGCAATTGATAAATTAAACATTCTACAATGTTGAAAGTTTGTTATTTATATGCGTTTTTTTTCACGGTATATACACATACAAAATACATTTTTTTTTCAGCATTAAACATAAACATAAGTATAGAGCCAATACAAATAAAGATGCTCAGCGACAAACATATCGAAAGAAATATATACGGTAAATTATGATAATGTGAATGAATTTCTCGAATTTTGATATGTATACAGGTCGTCAATATATGTATGTTCAAGAAATAAAACCGATATATTATTTCTTCATATGCTTGTGTGAAATTTGCTTAATTAAACTTTAGCATAGGTTTGTTAAAACGAGCAAAATAAACCAGTGAATACGTGAAAAAAATCTAACAGAAACGTGTTTTTTATAAACGAAAAGGTCACCCAAATATATGACGAAAAATTGTTTAAGCTCATCACAAAAAATAGAACGGAGAAGGAATGTCTTTTCAATTTTTTCTCTATTCAATTTTAGGGATGACTTAAATGTCGTTGACTTGTATGTCAAATATAATTAAATATCCATTCAAAAGGTATCATGTTACACCTCCAATTATCTCGTCCAGATCTTTGCTCTATTAGATTTCACCTTGATGTAGTGAGGTCACAGCGTAACGAATAATAACAATTCAATATTAATTAAACATTTCAAAATGTAAGCACAGTCACGATGTCGAGAGCAGTGTTGTGGCCCCACCCCATACCACATGACCATTGCGGTGTTGTTATTTTTTTTAAGTTGTTGTTGTTTATTTATTATTATTATTCTTTTTTTTTTCTTTTTTTTTACATTTTCATGTTTTCTTCTTCTTTTGTAATATGGTAAATAACTGCTAGATTTAAATCATAAAACTCATATTATTTTTTTATTTCTTTATCAAATATGACCACATAAAGTTTTGAGGCTGAAGGAAAAGTTGTATGTTATAAGTGTACGGTAATGATAAAGAAGTTACATGATATTGAAGACTTGAAGCAAGGGGTTTTTCTGCTTGCCGTATATACATATGGAGGCTATTCGTTGCCAAAAATCCAGCCTTGTTGATCCGAGTTGAACAGTTTGTTAATGGAAAAAATACAATTGTATTTCTTTGTATGTAAACTCCAATGTTGCATACTTGGATTGAGTTTGCCGATTTAATATTGTAAACATGCATTTCAACAAAATACATTCTGTTAAACGACAAAACATTAACTGATAGTAGCAATGCCAAGTGTTCGAATACTCAAAACAGAAGTTACATTCTTAGCTTTACATTGTCGAACCATCATGATTCAGATCAGCATAATCCAGCTTTACACGTTTTTCAATAGGAGATAAAATAAGCTCCGCCCATTTTCCCGCCCACTAAATCATCGTAAATAAACGTATTTTCCGCTCATTTTCGGTATTTACCGTCGGCGACAAGAAGCGGCGTAGTTTCCGTTTATCATACCTTTTAGGTATTTAGTTACTAAACATAATTCACTTGCATGATTGCCTTCAATCAACATCAGCGGACTTTAAAGGAATATAGGCATATAAGTTTTAAAACGTTGTAGGCACCACATTTCCTGGAAAAAGAAACTTAAAAAAAAACAAAAAACACCTGGTTACATACTGTCTGAGGTTAAATATTTTTCAAGGAAGTGAAAACTATTGAACGACAAATAAATTTTACTGATGGTATTCCAATTTGCATAGGAATGAGTAACATTTACAGTTAAGCTGCTACCTTACCACTTTCAAATTTTCAAGTCAACATCTGATAGAGATTTTTGATACGACTAATTACTAATACAGACCAAATTCTGGCTGTTGTCTTTCCTAGTAGTATTATTATATTAGTGACCTTAATTCTGGCGTCTGACTTGACAAGAAAAAAAACTTTTAACAATAGTTAAATTATAACCAAAGTTGTATGTACCCTTTCGTACATAACTTTTTATTTTTACTATATATTTTCCCATTTTGTTTTCAAATAAGTAAATTTTAAATGAGTCCAAATGTATGTATGTTGATTATCAATTTATGTATACCTTTGTTTTTTTTATCTTTTAAAAACCCATCATTAAAAAACTTAAAAAAATTTTCTTGAGTTTTTCATGCAAAAAGTGTTTTTTGTTTTTGAATTCAAATCTAGACAGCAAATTGGGTACAGAAATGACACATTATAAACAATTTTAGAGGTCTTTTGTTTCAACAAATTCCGCCTTTTACATATTTTAACAAAAAAAACTAAAAGACCAAAAACCTCCAATGGATTTTGGGAAAGTAAAAAAGGTTGCCAGGATACCTGAATATTTATTTAAATTAAAAGGGGAAAAATTCAAAAAGGTTTGGTTAACAAGGGAATTTCGATAAAAAATTTTGTTTTTTCGTGTTAAAACACTTGGTCAAAAATATGAATTTTTCTACAACCCAACATAGTCCTTTAAAGAAATAAGGCACAGGCTTAGGTAAAGAAAAAAATATGTTTAAAAGTATTGCCGTGGCTCACAAAACTCTAATATTGATACCAATGATATTGGTGTGTGTCATTATATATGGGAAACATTTCCTTATGTTATTTCACCAACTTTAGTTTTTGCATATTATTATGCTCATTATCAGTATATACGTTGTTACATTTTTACATTATATCTTAACCAATTTTGCATTACTTGAATATCCTGTACTAGAATACGTTTTAACAAAATCAGAGGATGTTCAAAGTCAAGATTGATATAAGTTTCTATAGAATTTGAAATATTTTTGTACCAGCAAGAGTTACCTCTCTTTATATTCTGCTTTCGTGAAATTGGCTCCACCTATTAATTTTCGTCTATTTCCGTAATAATTCCATATATGGAAGTTGCAAAATCGTTTACAAATGTTAATCGCGTTAGAATGTAAAAGGAAAGTGTGGTGTTGTAAACCTGAGTGCGTCAAGTTGATGCAGTTACATTCTCAACGTCATGATGCACAGCATTAAATGTATTGTGTACGTTCTATCGTTTACATTTCTACATGTCGCAAATTTGAAGTTATACATTTATAAATAAAGTTTGCAATTTATCTAAGTTGCATGTAAACAGCTTTCATTTTATCAAATCGAGACAATCAAAATGCTTAAAATACCAGTCAGCATGTAACTCTCGGATCGACAATTAGATTTTTACTAATCTGTTTAGTAGAACCGAAGTATGCATTGTCAAGTTTCAAAGGCTGGATTTTTGGCAACGAATAGCCTCTATATATACACCCCTAAAAATCCTTCAAAGTCACGTGGTCTTGACGCACTGAACATTATGTAAAAGGGTTTTTCAAATAACAAAATAATGAATACGATGATTATAAGCAAATAAATAAGAAACTAGAAAAAACTTGAAATTATGCTAGCAGTGGCGGTACGCGTTACACACAGATACAGCAGGGTTAACCGAGAAATACATACTTTTTTAATTAATTATATCTCGTTCTTTAAAGTTAATGCAAAGTACAAATATTTTGACAGACTATATAAGATTTTGGAGTTGGTTGCTTAACTTTTAATGCCGGCCAACGACAAAAGTATGGTTTCAAATATTTCCTATGTCGTGTAAATAAAATTATCAATTTAGAAATGTTAAAAAATTGGCAATATCATATAACAATTATAATATATATAAACATTACATATTTTACGCTTGGGTTCAGTTTCATTTCAGTGATGCTTTATAGGGTGTGACGATTTTGTATCAAGCGATTTATATTTGAGCCGCGCCATGACAAAAACAACATATTTGGTTTGCGACCAGCATGGATCTAGACCAGCCTGCGCCTCCGCGCAGTCTGATCAGGATCCATGCTGTTCGCTATCAGTTTCTCTACTTGTTATAGGGTTTGTAAACGAACAGCATGGATCCTGATCAGACTGCGCGGACGCGCAGGCTGGTCTGGATCCATACTGGTCGCAAACCCATTATGTTGGTTTTGTCATGACACGGCTCATTTATATTTTCAGTTGAGGTCACGTTTAAATGTGTGAATAGAAAAGAACAAACATGTTTTTTTTTAACTTATTTTACTCAAAAGTTTGCTACACTTTCGAATAATCTAAAGTAATAACATATTTTAAAAAAGTGATTTTTGATAATTTTCCAGGGAAATATTGAAAAATAAAAACTGTTTTTTTCTGCCAAATTTTTAACAAAGCAAAAGTTTTTTTTCCATTTTTTGGCATGGGCAGTTTTATCCCTGTACAAGTTTTGGCAAAAAGAATAAAAATTTATTTATTAAATACCCTTTTAAAAAATCTTGAACCCCTTTTTGTAAATATTTAAATATCTTTAAATTTAGTTAAAATTATATAATTTGATTGTGTTGGATACTATAAGCTGATTCAAATATTCTCGAATCCGTTTCTGGAACCAACCAGTACTTAGCAATGAGTGTAAAGTTTCTTGCTCATGCGGTCAGCAATCCTTAGATATCTAGTTTGACGAGTTAACCACTCGGCCACGCCGCCACTATCTTAAATTTGAAGGACGTCAAATTTATTTAATTCATTAATATGCATTGTTTAACAATAACGAATTAACCCGTTTTTAATTCATTTGTCAAAGACTTAATTAATTCAAATCATTGAAATACATTCATCTGCACGTTGTTCGCATGATTTTGATCTAAACAGATGAACAATGGATGTGGGTCATGAAAATAAGGGATACGACAAGAAAGATGTTGAACAAGGAGATCTTGATTTAAACACAGCAAGAGCAAACCAGGTCAAACTCAGGTAGGATATATTTTGTATAAAATATTTAAGTCGCTTTCTTTCTTTCTTTCTTTCTTTCTTTCTTTCTTTCTGTCTTTTCCTCTTTTCTTTCTTTCTTTCTTTCTTTCTTTTTTCTTTCTATCTTTCTTTCTTTCTTTCTTTCTTTTTTTCTTTCGTTCTTTCTTTTTCTTCCTTATTCATCCTCCTCATTTTTTTCCTCCCTACCTCCCTTCCTCCCTCCCTCCTTCCATCTTTTTTGTCTCTTCTTCTTTTCCTTCCTTCATTCCTTCCCTCCTTGCTTTTTTCATTCCTTCCTTTCTTTCTTTCTTTCTTTCTTTCTTTCTTTCTTTCTTACTTCCTTCCTAACTTCCTCCCTTCATTCCTCCCTTGCTTGCTTGTTCTTTCCTTCCTTCCTTTGATAACTAGGTTACTTAACCAGGAGGAAAGAGTTCACATTCTAGAAAAAGGGTCATTTATATGATCAATTCGTGGTTGGAACAGATAAAAGTAAAGAAAAATCGTAAAACGTCATTAAGATCACATCTAAGGATCTATTTAAAGTACTTAAAGTACTTAAACTTAAGTTGTATAAATAGCAATCGTAAAAGACATGTTCTTATAATTTAGGAAATGTATAAATATTCTTTAACCAAGTGAAACATTGAATATACCATGCAATATGTTATTATTGTTATCTCTACAACGCTGGATTTTGATTAAAATGTTTGACAAATTATAATCATAAATAGTTTTATTTGGATAGTTAAGGCCTAAGCATTTTCAACTCGTGGAATTTGTATGGTTGTGTAACAGGGTTTAAAATGTGCAGCCTATCCGGGACTTCAAACCGAGACCCTCGAATTACCGTACTGCGGCTCTACAGACCGAGTTATCCGGTGGCTTACACACTACCCACCACACCTAGTATATGTTAGTGTTCATCAATGGTGTTCTACAGAAATTAGAAACATTCTCCGGCCGTTATCGCTCCAGTCGTAATAAGTAAACAGTTCAATACAGTGACATACAACTATTTATTATATTGAAATTCATCCTATATGGTACATAGAGCATGTAATATTAAACTCAGAGTTTTTTATCATCCCATCTTGGGAGCCAAATGTCTCAGAGTTAGAGAGAATAGGCACACTGAACCCGAACCCGGGACCATCGAATGCCGTTTCGAAGCTCCTCTTCCAATTGAGCTACATTTGTATTATTAACCTCTTATTGGTATCAACTCTGTATAGGGTATAGTGTAAGTCATGGCCACGCGACGTTCACCTATGCTTATTAGTGGTCAGGTCAAAATCATTACACTTGTCATCATTTTTAAAAGTATTTTAAACTAGTTACAACGACAAATTTTCAGGTGTGTTGCTTTAAAACTTAAGAAAGAATTGTAATTTTTAGCATCTGTTGATATCATACAATGAAAATACCTTTGGCATTTATGAACATACACGTCGAAAATGTAATTTTCCTTTTTTTGATATAAGGAAAAATAAATACATTGTAACACGATATCGCGTTTCGGTGTTCATAATAACCTTTCTGTTGAAATGTGTCATAAGCGTACCCTTTTTAAAACGTATCACATTTTTTTTAAACTTTACGCCTGAATTAATACTTTCAAAAGTTGTTTCTACTGTGGGCAAAAGTTCACATCTGTTCAGTGATTGATGAAACGTTTTATATGTCATATTTATTTTACAATAAGATATTTTTTTATTTAAAATATGTACGTCAAACTCGACAAAAGAGTTTATATAGTTGCGACATCATACATCCATAAAGAAAAAAAGTTTATATACTTACCATCCATTATTGTGTAAATCGTTACAATTTACATTAAAATTATTGTCGTATTTGATTATAGATCCTGTAACACATTTTTAATGGTTTTATTTCATAAATTTGATGCTCAAATTAAGATTTGTCAATATTGTAAGTTCCAATAAGCATTATTTATGAAGATATTACCGAATTTAACATTTCATGTAAATAAAGGGAGTTAATTAGAAATTTATTTTCAGTCAAATTTTTCAATAAGAAATGAATGCATATAAATTATTGATTAAATATAATGTGCACAATTATTTGCAGTACACATTTTACATATTCTTTGATGTTTGAAAATTCTTTTATTTGCATAATTATATACATATTTTTTTTGCAAGTGTGGTATACATACAGTAACAATATCAATCACAAAACATACAGGATCTTTAAAGATCGCAACCAACACAAATTGAAGATACAATCTAAACATTCATGACTTTGTTATAAATTTGGTAAAGACATAATAAGTAATGTATTTGAATGAAATTATATACAATAAAATTATATATAAACAAATTCTGGGAGTAATTTTTATAGATGATACATAATACTATGCAGGCAAAAATAAGCTTGTCACTTTATAACTACAAATAAACAAGAAATAAGTGCAGGTTAGATTGTAATATTACTTTAGTTGGTAACCTTTTTTCAAATGACCTTACTTGAAGACAATCGATTACTTTATACCCTATTTTAACATACTTTACATAACAGCACGGTAAGCAATGTTTTCTTATATATTACATTTTATCATCACGGAATAACTATATATGCGTCCATTTGAAAATGGCAAATAAATGAGTTTTTACATACTCAGTGAGGAAAATAGACACATGTATTACAGTTTAACGATTATATTTACATTTCTTGTTTTATTATACTGGCAAACCATAACGAAAAAGAATAGAAGTCTCGTCTGACAAAATATATAATAAAAGTAAATCGACTTTAGGTTTAAGCTCGATTCTAATATAAAGTTGAGCTTATTTAAACTGCTCTCAAGTCAACTCTCAAGTTGGAGCTTTTAAGTATTGGTGTCAAATAAGGAAACATAGCTGTGGGCAAGGAAGGGCTCGAATCTAAAATCCCTTGGCCAATGGAAATACACTTATATTTTGAGGCCTAATCACTTGATCACTCAGCACTCCTTGACAATAGTAAAATAATTATTTCAATATTTTATAGATCTAGAAAATATGAAAATAAATCATGTACATTTTTATTTCAGTTTCAAAAAGGATGGACCTATAAAACGAAGAACTAAGTGTGAAAAGGCATTGATTTTCTTCTTAGTGATTTTCATCTTGGTAGTTATCGCGTTGGTTGTTGTTGTGTTGGTGCAAAAGAACAAGATTGATGACGACAAAAGTGTTAAAAATGACGTCACTGCTACCAAAGAACCCGGTAAATTACATTTTTCATATATCTAATTAAACATGTCGTTTGATAAATATTGCTTTTGTTCTTTTTCTATTAAGAGGAGACACAACTAAGTTGCAAATAAATAAGCATATTATCCCGTATCGTTCTTTTTTTTAACCAAACTTTGGTGTTCATTACAAGCAAAAATGATGATATACATTAAAGTGCAATCATGTAAACATGACATTGACATACAGGAATGTAACTAGCGTTACGCACTTAACTTACGAGCGTATCATTGATCCACGGAAACGAAAATTATTTTCTTTTTATGTAAATATGTGCATGTATATACATATTATACTGTATAGCTATGGACATATTGCTTACGACCGTTTCGTAATTTTTATTAAGAATTATTCATATAATCAGAATAAACCATCTTTGTAATAAATTTTCAAGCGAAAAAAATACTATGTATATGTTAGTGTTCATCCGTGCTGTTCTACAGAAATTAGAAACTTCGGCGGGAGCGATAGCGACCGGAGAATGTTTCTAATTTCTGTAGAACAGCTACGGATGAATACTAACATATTTAGTGTCAAACTTTATTTGGCCTCATTAATATTCATTTTATTACGTCACTACCAGTCCGCTTTACAAAACAATTACCTGAAAGGTGGGTTTAAAATTTGACCTTATAAATATGCACGATTTACGTCACTTTGCGCGAAGACAATGTACCCCTTGTGTTTCAGTTGCGGCATATGGCTGATCAATGCGAGTTTCCATTTGCTCGATATTGAAACATAAATTTATTTTCAAAATTTTTTTTAGATGAGTTGGATAATTGTTACCTGATATGATTTATATACTTTGATGAATTGGACAACTGATACTCAGTAGCTAATATCCTATATGATTTATACATGTATACACTAATTGTCATGTGTTAACACGAGGTCACGTAATATATTTTCCAAAAAAATAATGTCTACTTTCACTTTCTGTCTACTGTACCGAAAAAAAAGTGAATAGACACACGTGACTTTCCTCTTAGTTATGTTAATTAAGATCGTTTTCTACATTCGAAATATAAAATATGAATTGACTTTTTGTATTGGTTTTTACTTTAACACATGCAGTATCATTTTTCGCAAAGACGTCGATTTAAATCTAAACTGCATGTATATCCTTTATCAATAAATGCAAAAATAATGTAGGTTGACCTTTTGACGTCATTTTGACTTAATTAATATTCAAAAGCGGCCCACGAAAGCGCATGTGCAAATTTATGCTAATGACTATTTTTACAAACGCGATACTATGAAGCACTATGAAAAATAGAAGGCGACTATGAACAGTATTTGATATAGTATCGACTTTTGTTCTTCTATGAAAATTAACACTCATTATTTTGAAGAAATACAACGTTTCCATTGGATGACAAATAAAGTTTGACACTAAGATAGATTTCTGTACATCATGAACACCATTCGGTGAAATTCATGAAGTAATTCTTATCAAAAGTAAACCGTATATCAATGATTTCAGAAACTTTAACAATTCATAGGCCAATTTATAATAACTGCATTTCTCGTTTTTCATATTTAGAGATATGTCAGACAGCGGATTGCGCCCAAGCTAGTAAGTGTTTTATAATGTGTTTTTTAGGAAGTTGAAATTTTTAAAATATGAAAAAAATATTATTCCTAACTTCAGTTTCGGATCTCCTTTATTTATATATCAAATCATTAATATTTGATCTTAAACTTTAGTACTTTGATTCAATAATATATTGATTGATTGGTATATTTGAGTTGTACATGATTGATTGATTGATTGATTGATTGATTGATTGATTGATTTATTTATTTATTTATTTATTTATTTATTCGCTTTATTGAATGATTAAATATTTGTATATTGCTATATTGTTTGATATATTGATTGATAAATTGATTTATATAATAATATGTATTAATAAATTGTTACGAATACACATGTTTTTATTGATTTATGGATTGATTGTATATTGATTGATATATTGATTGATATATATTTTGACCCTCAGGTGCACGCCTCATTGCAAGTATGGATTTGTCCGTTGACCCATGCGAAGACTTCTACGAATTTTCATGCGGTTTGTGGAGGAAAAAAACGGTTATACCCGAAGCAAGTAGTTTCTACGGCACGCTATCTGAAGCTTACGATGACATTCAGGTGACCAATAAATGTGAGCACGACTTTACAGACTACTTTTTACTCATCTCTTTTTCTTTTTTTAAAGATGCATCATGCTCAAATTTGATATTTGAAAATAAAACTGATAATTACTTTACAGTCTCATTTGAAATGTAAAATAAACATCTTTTGACCTCTCTTCTGACCTCTCTCGATCCCCGGGAGATGCTTTGGTAGTTTAGCGCGGAGGAAGGTAGTCTAGTACTGGTGTAACTCTCCAGGAACGATGGTTAGGAAACTACCTGGCTATATGATTGAAATACTGTTGGGAAAGGGCGTTAAATGACCCAAACAAACAAACAAACAAACATCTTTTGAATACACTCAGAGAAGATATGCTATGTTTAAATCTCTACAACTAGTATGATGACAAAGTGGCATTTAAACAAAACTGACAATATTTATAAGAATAGACCAAATTAATTTGACAAGTTATGGGAATGCAGCTTTCTTAACATAGTTTTTACATTCACATACACACATAAGACATATTCAGGAAAAATTTACTAGCTTTTTTCATTGATGTTTTATAATATTAGAATAAAATATGATGCGGAGGTTAAGGCTTTGTGTCTATTATAAGTTATTTAGAAATAAGACAATATCATTTCAAATGCCTATAATAAAGGAATACTCATGTTCATAAATAGAATTATTATACGTATCGCCATGGTGCGGTGATTTGTGTCTGATGTTATACGGCTGTTATACGCCCGTAACATGCTTTATTTGACATAAACACACTGCGATATCTCAGATAATGCACCCATCTTTGACAAAAGGAAGCGTTATTTCAAATAAAGCACAGTTACAGTACACTCGATTTATGTAAAACAGTGAACGTAGACAAAAACACAAGGGTCACTGGACTGTGCCAGTGACAAAGTTACCAATTTTAAATGGATATAGGTGATCTCTCGGAAGCATTAATCACAATAAAATGACACGAGCATTTCAAACTCGGCTTGATAAAGTCTGAACATGAGGGATAATGAAACATTTAACATAAAATGATACTATAACTTAACACTTTGACTTGTTATTCCAGACCTCCTTGAGGATATGACATCTTATCAAGGTATACCTGCTATAACTAAAGCAAAGGATATGTATACATCATGTGTCAATGTTGGTAAGTTGAAAATTTATAACACAGGTAACAGCGAGAGATTTACATTGTAACAAAAAAGATGAGCGTTTTCCAACCCTTGATTTTTTCAATGAGAAAATATAACAAAATATTCTAGAATTTTAATATACTACAACAACATAAAAAAATAACAATGATATATAAAAGTAATACTGCTGAGCATGCTATAATAGATAGATCCTTACTTGGTCCTATCCTGTCTAATTCAAATAATCAGATTAGTGCATTACAATAAGAAATTCACCACAACCTTTTTAATAACAAAAGAGCATAGGTTAAATCCATTGTTATTCAAAAAAAGGCCATATGTAACCTGTCTTTCATTGGTCAGTCGCGACGTTGACAGACAAGTCTGCAGCACAATGTTGTTTAAAAGACTGCTTTATACACTTGTTGATTGTTGAGCTTTGTTTATATACAATGTAATTATATTTCATAGGTTATATAGGTATAACATAACTGGTTGCATGCTATATACATGTAGACAGGCTTCCGTGATTATACAACTGATACATTTGCATAAGGAATCGAAAATACAATACAAAAACTTAAGACATACGTATTTAGAAACTAATTTTAGATTATCATTAATTTTCTAACACTGTAAAACAAAAAAAATAGCAAAGATTGCACAGTATTATGTTATTTTCAACCTTATGAGATCGAGTTATTCCATTGCAATGATTTACTCATCTTTGATTTCATTCAAATAGAATCGAGGAACAAGGTTTATTACTACTACTCATATTTTGTTTCTTTTAGACAGAATCGAGGAGAAAGGTTCTTCTGTAGCTATTCCTTTATTGGAAGAACTCGGGGGTTGGCCGATCCTTGGCACCGGCCCAGGAGGAAACTGGTCCGAGAATGAATTTAGTTTGTCAAAACTTTTGATTTCGCTTCATCAGTACAACAATTTTCCTGTCATTGGAATGTTTGTTGGTTATGACGATAGAGAATCAAACAAGAACATCATACATGTATGTTCATTCTTCCGACATATTATGATTTTTAGGCACATTTCCGTCTGTAAAATAAAAACACTGCAGAATGAGCTTAAAGTAGTTCAGCAAAGCTAAATCAGTCACAGTATATGTGGTATTCTTTTTTTTTCAGGGTAAAATACTTTTTTCACTGTTACGCATATTAAGATAAGGAAATGCTTTTTAGCTAAATATTTTAATGGGATAGTATCGACATCATTTTACATATAGAGGATATTGAATGAGTGTAAGTTTATTACTGAATTTATTGCACGAGTTGAAAAAATTATATTATGCGAGCCTCTGGCAAGCATAATATTATTTTATTCAACGAGTGCAATGAATTCAGTAATGAACTTACACGAATTTAATATTCTAATTATCACCTACCCAAAATAAAGACCGTTTAAAGTGAAACAAGAGTCATTTTCCGTTGACGTGCATATAGTAGGATGCTAACATTTAGCGCGTCTTTACACTATGTTTGCATTACGCAAATGACGTCACGTCAAAATATATGCACGGCTGTGCAATACCATATTTACGGAGTCGCAAAATCGGCACGGGTGTGTGATAATTTCAATTTAATTTTTTTTTTAAATTATATATTTGAACATAGACTTTAAAGGTAACAAAGTCCTTTATCTTCAATTCTTTACTTTAGCTTGATCAACCATCTCTAGGACTTCCAGGAAGACTGTATTATTTACAAGAAAACTTGTCTGAAATGCGTGAGGCATACGTCACTTTTGCTTCATCGGTTGCTCAGCTATTTGGAGCGGATCAGACAGCCTCCGAGAGAGATGTTCAAGATATTTTGGCTCTTGAGACAGACATAGCAAATGTAAATCATACAACTTTTGCAGTATTTAGCAGGTCTTCATACTGACATACTGTTTTTACAATTAATGAATATTCAGTTGCAAAGAAGTGCGAACCAGGAATTAGAATTTGCACGGTTCTAAGCTTACATTTAAAGATATTAGAGCGCATGTTCTCCCTTTGTATTTTCCCATTTTCCACTGAAATTTGGAAATTATCCTGGGAAAGTAGAAAGTCTTTGCACGCAATTAAGCTGCTTTTTTTAAAAACAAGCTGTCAGTGAAAAACGATTTTTCAAAAGAATTGAAAATTTATATAAAGATATATTAATTTTAATATAAGACTTTTTTTTTCATGTAATAAAAAATGAATAAAATCTTTATAAAACAATTTTTGTGCTGTTTCTTTTCTTGCTTTTTTTTAAAATTTTTGGTTTTTGTATTAACTGAAGAAAGTAAAACCAAATAATACAAAGCCTTTTCTAAACAGACAGTTATCAAACTATCAAATGACAAAGCAATTTATAATAGTTATGTAACATTCAAACACATATTTGACTATTACTTTCTACTTCGGTTCTTACTGCTTTTCAAATGTGTTTGTAGATATCTACAAGTATGGAGGACCGACGAGATACCACGGCTTTATACAATAAGATGTCGATATCTGAGTTGAGAGAAAACTTCACTGAACCAACTTCTAATGATGTTATACAGGTGTATATTAATTTTATTAACATCAAAACTGCAATATCATTACCATTTAACAAATTCTATCCGTTTAGATTATCATTGCGGCATTATATGGTTAATATGTTCTAAATTACTGTGTCAGATAATTTCTTGAAATGTTAAATAATTTATAGCTGTATTGTCAATTATTACCCGTGACTTGAAAGAAAGTCTTTGTCCGTCTTTGTGTCCTTTCATTTATATTGATGCCCTGCTAGGTGCCTAACCAATTAAATGAAACTTTAATTAAGGTTTTATTATTTATTGGCTCTTTACATATATGAACGTACAATTAAGAAATAAAGTAAGTCATAACAAAGCTTTGTACAACTTTTCCATTTCAGTTTAATTGGTTTGAATACTTAAGTGGGGTGTTTGATTTAGAGAACGTCAAGATAGCAATAAATGAAAGTGAGCCTGTCGTGATATATGATGTAGCGTACTATAGGAAATTGTTCAGTGTCCTCCAGAAGCACGGGAAACGGTACATGTTTTTATATTGATGTTTAAGGGTTTCTGAGGTTTTCATCCCCACCCTAACCTTTTAAATCTTTTAAATTAGCTTGCCGATCTTCCTTTTTTTGAAGTTTCAGTTATCAGTGTTTTGTTAATGAAGATGAAAACTTTAATTAAGTCAGCCAGCAACAGGCAGTCTGTCTGGACAGCTTGCACGGACCATTTGCAGCTGTAATGTGTTGCCTCTTACTCCATTTTAGTAACTTTATATTTTCCTCCCTTCGGAATCCACATTATTTTACTTGTTTGATACTGTAAACTTATCGTTACGGGTGTAAGAAATATTTGCTGCGCATTATATTGTCTCACACGAGTCAAAGATTCTCAGATATCTGTTTGTTTACATTGCTGTCGTAAGAATTTTCCTTCCAAGAATTTCAATAGCGTAATCTCTTCAGTTTCTACATTTTTATAACCTTAAACAGTTGATAATCGCCGAACTTGAAATATCGGGATGGTAGGGTATGAACATGAAATTACAATGGCAGCTTCTTCATTTTCATTTCCTATAGGACCCTTGCTAATTACATTGTGTGGACCATAATGCAAAATCGAGTAGGCAATTTGGACAGTAGATTTCAAGATCTTAAAACAGAATTTTCAAAGGTGGGCTTTTATTCAACCTACATTTTAGGGAATATTTTGAGAACAAATGATTACATATTCTTAATCTATATTTCCTTCTGCAGTGCACTACTTTTTCTTATGTATTAACTTTGTTGAAATGATTATATGATTTAAATCTCGTTCTTTCATGACATTTAATGAAACTGACATTAATTATATATTGGACATTAGATATATTTAGATCTTTTACCGTTGTTGGTTTTTTATTTATTTTTTGAAATATAAATACGGCATTTTTTAAACTTGTAAGATTCATATTTTGACATAATATTCGTTTATTTATAAGGTTTTAAGTGGCACTACAACTCAAGAAGCTAGGTGGAAAACTTGTGTATCTTACACAGAAACGTACTTTGGAATGGCTTTAGGGCACATGTTTGTCAACGAAACTTTTGACGAGACAGCAAGGGCAGAGGTTTAGTATCTTTATAATATATTTGTATTTTTAGTTGATAATATTGAGATGCATGTTTCGCTGTTTTGTCTTAATGGTATATAAATAGATAACGTAAAAGTAATAATGCAAACTTTGTGCAACACATGGTTGATAACCCAATGATTGTTTCCCAAAGTAAAGTTGCAAATTTTGCCAATATCAATATAAAAAAACATACGCAAAGAAATTGTGAATTTTGCATTTCTAACTAATCATTTAATATCCTATGAATAATACAAATCTAACAGAAAACTATCGGTAAGACATAGTTCAAGTTTAGTCTGTTCTTAAAGAATTTAAGGACTGGAATAGGAAAGTTCTAAGTATAGAATGGTACACTCTTTTTACTATATAACGTGTATAATAACACATGTAATATTATAACATTTTCCAGGCTCTTGAAATGATAGGGAATATCCGTGGTACATTTAATGATGAACTGGAGAACATTGCCTGGATGGATGATGCTACTCGAACAGTTGCTAAAGAAAAGGTAAATTATAATACCTTATAACACATGTAGATAAAGTGAAGTAATATTTGTAATATCTAATATCAATTCCTCTTTAAGTGTATGCCTCCTAATAAAAATATAATAAAACTTTGGAACAGGGGTGATCTATCAGAAGTAATGAGGCAACAATATAACATGACAATTGCACACCTGATTATAATGAGTCATTATTTTGAAGTGGATACATTTTTCCATAAGTATTTTAAATACTGAAAAAAAGAAAATATATCATTTTTATATTCTTATGACTATCTTGGAAAAAAATGTTGATAGAGTTGTTTAGTATGAACAACAAATGAATAATATGATGAGTAATAATATCTTATTTAATACTACCATCGTAATTGTAAATGGTTTTACTGACTTTCCATTATTTAAGACATTTAAAGAAATCTTTACATTCATAACGCTAAATTTAAATGACTCAAATTAAGTATAAATTTCAATCATGAGTAAACAGCAATAAATGAGAAAATGAACAAATTCACTGCTATGTTTTAAGCCAAATGAAAAAATCTTCCAATTATATTCTAGTTTTTACTGATTTTGAAGGAAAATCCGTCAAGAAGTGAGTATTTAAGTACACTTACAACGTTTTAAGGCACACAAACCCTGTCGGGTTTCTTCAGATAGCTCCCAACCAAGAGTGGTGTGTGCTCATACATATGGAAAACATTCCATTATGTCAGTTCTTTGCATATTATTATACTCACTATTAGTATCATGACGTTCTACCAACGTCGTTACACACTTTCTGATATCTGTAGACCTGTTTACCGGTCATTATGAAATAAAGACAATATGTTTATCGAAAGTTTGCAAATCAGAATACATATTGTAACTTATATCTGGTTATGGTTTTCAGGCTGATGCAGTTAAGGAATGGATCGGATATCCAAGTGACATTTTAATTCCAGAGAAATTAAACAAGCTCTATGAAAACGTAATGGTTTTGTATTTCATTTGTCTGTACCTAATTTTAGTGCTTCGTGTACAGTTTTGTAGCACTGAGCTTAATGTTTATCAGAAAACAACTAAAACATAAATTAGTAAAATTTTGCTTCCACGACATTCAAGCTAACCTAAACATATTGCGTTGTTTACAGTATTGTATTTGTGTAATATCATTCTATCTCGTCACTATGACTTGTGTCTGGACTCTTTTGTTCTACGGGATTTTCCGTCAGTGAATTGCATTTTTTTCATGAATGTTTTAATCTACATAGTTTCTTAGATTATAAACACTACTGTAAAGATGGATCCGTTGCGACAAGGCAGAGTGCTTAACACGTCGGACTAGAACTCTAAGGATCTCAATCCGAGTATCAGAGGCAAGCCGTTGTCTCCTTTAGCAAGAAACTTTACACTCATTACTCAGTGTATGTACTGGTTGGTTCTAGGAACGGATTCGAGAGTTTGTCTACAAGTTATAAACTTCCTACTCAATCAAACTTTAATAAATTTTGTATAAAACAAACAGCATCGTTTTCTTACATAACTAGTTCAGGCTGTCAAACTTATGAAGTGAGTAAACTATTCTATTGACACAGAACCAAGACAACGTATTGCGTCTACTGAGGTATAAATGTTTACATACACAGTAGATCAATTTCAAATGCATTATATATTTCTTAAAAACCAAAACTTTAATTATAAAGGAAATGTTTTGTTATTTGTTTTTTAGCCCTAGTAAATGACAGAAATGAAGTTTTGAAAAGAATATAAATACTGTATTAAATAAAATGTAAAGCTACATTTTCAGGCAAGTATTGACGGAGACGAATATTTCAAGAATGTTTTGAATAACTTGAAAGGAGTAGCGGCGCATTCTTTAAGGCAGTTGAGGAAAAAATTCAACAAAAATGAGTAGGTGTATATTTTCTTATATATGAGTAACAAAATGCTTAACAAGACATGTCATTCAGAGCTCTTGTACTTACTTTTAATCGTATATTTACTAGACAGTATAGTTTTAAACTTTATTGAAAAGTCTTTGTCATCATATCTAGATACGAATATGTCGTAAAAGGTCATGGTGATAATGGGTTACAAATGTACCAAGGACATCCTTTAAGCTTGGTTTGATCAGTATTCAATAGACTTACACCGGAATCGAGAATATTTCGGTTTTCCTCTAGCTAATCCGAGCAGGTACAAGCAAGCATTGAAAATAAGCGCAATAGGTTGACTTATTTATAGTGATCGGTAGTGCACCGTCAATGTTTGAATGTACCTAGAGATTAGCTTGAACCTTGCCTTAAAATATTCAGAAGCCATAAATGATATTTCATATTTAAACATGACATGTTGAAAGGCTTGAAAGAAGGCTTTCCTCGTTTGAATTATTTATATCATCGTATAATCAAATCATAAATCTACAAACAAATGTTGTGCATTTTTTTAACAAAATCGTAATTTTTACCCATTTTACGATAATGTTATTTCAATAGTTATCTTCTTTGTGTTTATTTATTTATTTATTTATTTTGTATTGTTGTTTTTTTTATTTTGTTTTTTACGTCTGATTATTAATCAATCAGATATGATTTTTAATCGAAAGCATTTCGTTGTATGAATATAAAAATGCCATCGTCCTTGGATGCATATAACAGACGCAAAGAAAATTTAAAGTTCGGTCAATTAACTGCAATGATCCTAAAAGCTATATTGATATAAATTATTTGACTCCTTAGCATCATGGTATCTTTCTTTAATTAATGTAATAATCACATTTTTACGGAATAGTGTATTTAAATTATAAAATATTTATTTCTGTGTAGATGGACCGATCCACCTTCCCAAGTAAATGCTTTTTACAGCGCAGTGCGGAACACAATAAGCAAGTATAGATTTCTATATAGTAAATTTTCCATCTGAGTACTATTATTGCCCATCACCCCTGTGGGTTCGAATCCCAACAGGGACTTTGGATTCTTTCATGTGAGGAAGCTATCCATATAGCTTACGGAACGTCGGTGGTTCTAATCAGGTGCCCGTTCGTGCCTGAAATAATGCACGGAAGGGCACCTGAGGTCTTCCTCCACCAGTAAAGCTGGAACGTCGCGATATGACCTATACTGTGTTGATGTGACGTAAGAAATCCCAAATAATATTTATATATATAAATTGAGGTAAATTATTTAATGTGTCTGACCACGAAGCAGGTGCATGTATAAACATTTTAAATTAAATATTCATTGTCAATGAATTTTAACAAGCGACTGTTGTCCATGTTATTTTCTCCAAAACATATGTTACTATATGTTCATTATTATCTTACAAATTACTGGTATACATGATTACCGAAAATACCGGTAAACTATTTTTGTGAAAATAAAATTGAGACCAAGACAATAAGCTAAGATTCTTATAAATTGTATATAAAGATAACAATAGACATATCTTTGCTAATTGAATAAACATTGCTCCTCGGTGTTGAAACAAACACAACTTTATTTCTGATCTGGACTGCGTTTTGGGGTACTTTTGTGTTTCATAAAACGATCAAATTAAATAAATAATTATTTTCTTTTTTACTATTCTTTTCAGTTTTTCCTGCAGGAATTCTACAGCCACCGTTATATAGCAAAGATCAACCCAAGTAATGGCTCAAAATTTAGTTACTAATCATTTTTCTCATTTAACCTTTAGTTAAAAGATTTCATTTGATCAATACACATGTCAAGCTTAAAGCTGCACACCTCCAGATGAGCAAAACTATTTTGATAATATCAAACCTGAGAAAAATGAACTATGATTTTTGGAAAAGAATAAAGAACATTGAAGTAATAATTTACATGTTATGTGCAAATAATGACCGATTTTTCAGTATTTATAACTATACTGTGTTACTAACACAGTAAAGGCTATTTTGTATATTTTGACCTCTTTATTGTAATAAACATGGGTTTTAAGTGTCATTGATACTGTGTAAATTGCATTCTTTTGGTAACTTTATCACAATATAATACCATTAAATACATTTTTTTATTTTCATGAAAATTAGCATGAATCAGGATGCGTGCTGCTTTAACGAAGAGTTACTCGCAACATTTAGTTATAAGTTAAAACGATTTGTTTAAACTCTGTTAACATTGAATTCAGATTAAAAATGTTTATGTTTAATGCAAATGACCATTTACAAAATTTTAGTGCACGCGCTCAGTTCAATGTTGAGAGCATGGGATTTGTAACCTAAGGGTCTCTTGTCCGATTGACAACTGACTTCCCGCCGCTTATCTAGAAATCATTTCGGACTAGTGGTTGGTCACTTTCGGTGTCTTTTTATCCCTGTGATGCAGTTGGATAGCTTGAATTTGCATTTAACTGTAAACACATTGGAAAATCCCAAGATTTTTGATTTCAAATAATTATACATGTATTTTAGATCAATGAATTATGGTGGAATAGGTTCAGTGATCGGACATGAACTAACTCATGGTTTTGACGATCAAGGTAAGGGCAATAATTTAAATGATTGTTTGCATAATTATTGCACTAAATGTTTTCGCAGATGATAACAGTTTTACATATCGTATAATAGCACACTATTACAGAAAACCTCACATTCAAAAAATCGATTTTCAACAGAAAACTTAAGTTTTATAAATAAGTATATAATTACCTCTTTAAAAAATGCAATTCATAAGAAAAAATAGAAACAGAACAAAATTTACAAGGTATATAACTGTAAAATCAGAAATTGTTTCTGTATTTCAGGCAGACAATTTGACAAAGATGGTAATCTAAGACAATGGTGGGATGATTCGGTTATTGAAAAATTTAAAGAGAAATCCCAATGTTTGATTGACCAGTATAGCAAATTTTACGAACCAGTTTCCGGTTTAAATGTAAGATTACTCTTAAGGTATTCAAACAAATGTCTGGGAAATCATTTGAGCCGCGCCATGACAAAACCAACATAGTGCGTTTGCATCCGCGCAGTCTGATCAGGATCCATGCTGTTCGCTTACAAACCCTATTACAAGTAGATAAACTGATAGCGAATAGCATGGATACTGATCAGACTGCGCGGATGCATGCTGGTCGCAAACGCATTATGTTGGTTTTGTCATGGCGCACCTCATTTATTTTCAACTTTATATAGAGATACATATGATGTTAAAAGACCAATGACAGGAGTTTTACCAAACCAGTCAACACCTTTGTGCATTTCGGACACACTTTTAAATGTCTGATTTTCAAACAAAATGGGTTTATCTCAAATTGCTTTAATATTTAAGAAATTACACATCTAATTAAAAGGGAGATAACTGTGACCGAGGTAAAGATGAAATTGTAATTATAAATAAATTGGTTTAATTATTCAAAACAGTAAGTGCTCGAATTATGTCCGTAACATATATCTTTATATATTTCCATCGTAATTAATTTATATATTTTCCAGTGTAAGGTATAAATCTGCTTAATAAAAACTCCAATAATTTCCTTAAAGAATTCACATTGTTATAAATCATTGGTTTGAGATTAACATCAATTGTATTATTTAATCGTTTATTTGTTTTCTTTGAATTCCTTATCAGTTCCAAATCATTTATCATTTAAGTGAATAACCTGACCGTGCTCTGCCTTGTGCCCTGTCCTGTTTTTGTTTGGGGCTTCCTGGGATTTTGCCACTGGTTCTTGTTGCTGGGTCGTGTGAGGGTTGCGTTCGTTGAGCACCGCCTTTCCTTGTTGATCTGGTTTATCATATTGTTTGTTACAGGTAAATGGTATAAACACACAAGGAGAGAATATAGCTGATAATGGGGGAGTGAAACAAAGCTACATGGTATGGTATATTGTTTTTTAAGAATGTAACATTTTGTGGTTAAAGCTTTTTGCTACTATTCTATTGAATCAAGACTATGTGGTGAAGGGGTTGTTATGGGTTGATGCATCAGAATTGCAGAAACCGTTTTGCTTCTGCGTAATCGTAAGTAGTGACTAAATGGTTTCGAAAAAAAAAACTGGAGTCTATGCATCTCTTGGCTCCAGCAGGTGAGGTGATTTTGACCCCTGGTTTTGCATTTGTAACACCGAAAAATCAAAAGCCAAAAGCATTTTATGTTTTGGCGCTATATGACATAAACCGCGTTGATGTGCCGTAAAACCAAACAAACATTTGGTTGATCACTCTTCTTTGTCTAACGTATAAACCCTTAAGGTTTTTGTTAAATTACAGTCTATTAAAGTAACATTTTGCTCATATTTGCGCTGCCAAGTTGATTTCAAAGAATTCAAAACTGTTTGATAACAATATAAAAGTATTGGTATTTATTCCAGGCATACAGAAAATGGGTGGAGCAACGTGGGAGCGAGGAGCCTACATTACCAGGGCTTAATTTTACAAATAACCAATTGTTCTTTATCAACTGGGCTCAGGTTTGTGAAACATTTAAATTGAATATACAAGTAAGGTAACAATTGTGTCATTAAATGATTTCTTAAGTATTTTGTTGTGGTTTTTTTTGTTGGTTTTTTGTTTTGTTTTTTTGTTGTTGTTGTTTTTTGTATACTTTAATTACTAGAAACTATAATAGACTATTTTCTGAAAGAAATATTGAAAGGCATGGGATGGACGAATACGAACATATTTCTAAATAACTAGCTAAAAGGTTTGTATTTTGTCTGATTTTTTTTAATGTCATGTTAAACAAAAGATGTAATAAACTGTTTTATTGTATCTAAGGTTTGGTGTGATAACACACGGAAGCAAAGTTTTATCAATTTGATAACCACGGGTGTTCATAGTCCAGAACGATTTAGGTACGTCTATGATTATCTCGTATTTCATTTTATTTTTAAACTTGCATAGCACAGTCGAGTTTTTGCTTTATTGTTGAGTTGGTAGAAATTTTGAAAGAAGTTTATTGGTTTATTTGATATGAAATTTTCAAATGGTGAACAACAAGAAATTAAAACGGAAAGGGATTTATTCGAAGTTGATATAAACATAGTATTACAAAATTAATGTAAAGCCAACAACGGGCATAAAATAATGATGAGACAATTGAAAGGACAAGAAGCCTTAACATACAACATAATGATATAAAAGCCCTCAAAAGTTTCAGTATTTGACTGATTTAAAAAAATTAACTATTTGATATTATGATATAAAAGCCTTACACGTATTATGACAAAAACAAACAGAATTAATTTAAGGACTCTTATCTTGCCATTGAACAATATTTGATCCCTAATGACGGGAAACCGAGCAAATGTGTAGTCAGTCAGTGAATGAGTAAAAACAACGATCTGATTAGTTGAATATTAAGAGCTCTGAAACGCTATCATGTGTGTCCAAGATTCAAATTTCGATCATGCAACGCATATTTTTAGCCGTAGAAAAACTACGGAAGGTGGAAGACCTCTTCAGAATAAAGAAGCAAAGATTAATAGCTGAAATATAGACTAGTTTGATATTTAATTAAAATTGAGTCTTGTTTTTAGAATTAATAATCTTTTGGATTTTGAAATGTTGATGTCATATCTGTCTTAAACACCGCAGTGCTATGTACCTGGTGTTGTGATCATGTTCTAATATCTTATACTGTTTTAACTTTTGCACTCAAATGGGCGTGTTCACTTTTTCAATCCGACATTGTGTGTATTTGCTTTCATTTATACTCGCCACTGGTTGCCCATATAGGCGAGTCCTCCGGAATGTATAAGTCATTTTAGACTTTAGAGGATAATGCAATTACAGGTACAGAAAGATGCCCAAATTCTAGAAGCTTCTCCTGGTTCTTTAGCGTGCCAAGTGTTTAAGCACCCATACAGAGGAGCTTGATTTAATGTCTCATCCGAAAGACTGATTAGTAATTTTAGTTGGTCAGCCCGGGAATCGAACACACTATGTTGAGATTACAAGTCTTCATCATCTTTATGCAAAGTTTCAATATAATTACTGGCCGAATGTCAAACAGTCTAGACCATTTTTAAGCGGCACGGATATCCCAGCTGATCTTGGTCTTCTTTAATGGTCACATTTGAAGAATATGTTGCATTTTATTATAACATTGTCTGCGTCTTAAAACTTGTGTTGTTATTGTTTTTCATTGTAATTTTCAGAGTAATTGGAAGCTTGCAAAATTTCCAAAATTTTGCTGATGAATTTGGTTGTAGAAAGAATAGCGTGATGAATCCAGAGACGAAATGTTCAGTGTGGTAACAGCGGACATGATGAAACAGGAATACTAAATAAACGTTTAAATGGAAATTAAATAATTAAAACAATCATATATTAATTAGCTGAACAATGTTTGTTGTTGTTGTTTTTTTTTCTCACTTTTTACATTTGTTTTCTAAAAATAAATTATTGAACTAAAGCTTTATTTGAATTATTTTTCACATAAACCAGTTAAAAAGTTTCTTATAATGTAAAATGAGTTTTAACACAGCTTAATTTTCAATAGCAATTAACGACATTTTGCTGGCTTGAATTCGACGACTGTTTTATGTTCCCATTCGGATATAAGAATTTTATTCGCCGGTATTTTAAGGTACCATATAATGTTTCACAAAAAATATTACACAGAAAAAGTGGTTATAGGAAACGTATGCCACTTTTTCTATCTATAGTTGATTTGTATACATTGCATTTTGTCAGTATTTGTTAAGGGCATAGTGTATGCCCCTATAGCAAATAAATATGCATTTAAATAAAATTTATTAATCATACATTTGTATACATTCATAACCATTTACGTTTTTTTATAATTTCATATTATGATTTGTTTTCAAATTGAATATAGATGTTGCATGTACTATAATCAACTTAAAATGTCGTTTAATGAACTCATAATAAAATTATAACAACAAAATAATGGCTAGTTATTTTTTATGAAACATATCGGTATTTGTTTGATTCATATCAAAATATCATTGTTCCAGTGTTGAAATTATTAAAGCAAAGAAATCTCCATTTTAGAGTAAATAACTGATGAATTATATCCACTCACCATTTAAAGGTAAATTACTACTCGCGTATCCGAACCTGAAGAAATGAATACAGGTGGAAAGCCGTGATTCGAGATATACGCATGCTTAATCATGCATCATATATTTTTAACAGCACAACATTTTTCTTTCATTAAAGTTATAGGGTCGATAGTATGTATCAAGATAAAACTTTAACCATAGTTTTAAATATGCGACTAAAGATCAACAAGAAAGAGTAACATTCACCCATAGCCATGCCTACTCCCATCCGCAAAAAAATGGAAAAAAGACAAAAATAATATCCTGTCATACAAGGCAATGTAAGTCGGACAACAAATACGGGTACGGGGTTTATATGAAGAGTGGTGAAATGTAAGGGAGCGTTGAAGGGGGATATGTCGGCAAATTTATTCATTATTACGGACACATATCAAACTTGATGAAGAAAATTAGAATGTGCGTGTGTCCGTCAAGGAAAATAAGGAAGCGGACTGAAATGGAAAGAATCACGATGAAGAACTGACATAAACGGCGATACACACGACAAAATATACTTTTAAGTTCAGACGCCGTTGCGTCACTTATTTTACCGTTGACTAGTTAACATACAGAGATGAACATAGAGGGGCACCGCGTTAGAAATGTCAAAAGCAAAATCACTACTACAGGCTTGAGTTGAGGTGAATATGATGAAAGAATTTCAGAATAAAAGTAGAAGTAGTAAAGTCTCAAATATTGCATCAAATAAATCAATCAAATTAAGACGTTTAATCATGAGTTAAAGCATTCAGAGTATAAACATTCTGACTTTGTTTCATATCAACAAAAATGGTGATTAATAAGCACCTGATAACAAAGCAAAATTACATGAAAATTGTAGAATCTGTTTGATTGAGTCTGTACATGAGGGATAATGAAAAAATGCAGCATCCCTCAAGCCGAGGGTAAATGATTTAACAGTGGGTAGTCCAGTCTATAATAACTTTTCTCTTACAAGTTGTTTGTTCTATACGCATGTGTGGTACTTTGATGGCAAGTACACGCTATGTATACATATCACAATCCGACAGTGTTTGGAATAACTAAATAAAACTGCATAATACACAGTCAAACCAATATTTATTCAACAATCAATCATAAATTATTGCTTTCTACTGGCCTTCGTCCCTCTGAAACAAAACAGATTAAGAATTTACCACCAGTATAGAGCCAGATCAATCTGCACGTTCTTGCAGTCTGACCAGACGCTACACTTTTGATATTTTGATTTGTAAAGCCAAAACGTTCAAATGGACTGTTACAAATTCAAAGCTCGCCAAATCCATATCACAGATTCAACAGGTTAAGGATGAAAATGTGTCAATATATTTGAATTGTTGTGTTCAAAAGTGTTTCGACATGGTAGGTTTAAAGAGGTAACTGCTTTTGAAATAAAGAAGATAGTATAGTCCCCTTCCATTTCTTTCAACAACAACCAATATTCCTTACTATCTAAACATCAACGGATATCAATCGGGAAATAAGAATCAGTTACCTTAATCTATGGGTTGGATAATAGTCTAGTATATTGTACCAATAAGATAACAACATACATTTATAACCGTCTTTTAAACTTGTATAGTTTACACCGATTTTGACAAATATAAACAGCTATGATTGTATGTAATCATGGTATTAGGTGCAGTTAGCTACTCAACCATGAGGGGGTACATATTTGACAAAACATAAATTGAAGCCATTGACGCATGAGCAACCATTAGCATCATTAGCATATGATAGAAAAGCTAATGTGAAAATCTACCCCAAGGTCGTTATTATATGCAAACAGTAATATTTAGCTAATATTTTTCGACATAACTTCTTGGACATTCAAAAGCAAGGTAAATATATATTTCAAATATACGATATGTTCAATTTGCTAGTAATTTACATACTTATATTTAAGAATATTTAAGACAAGTATGCAAGTCTGTAACCTGTTTAATATTGTGTATAATGTTTGATTTGCGAACGGAAATTTATAAACCGAGTTGAAGAAGAGAGTGTACATTTGGTTGCATGGAAATTGTGTTTAATTATTTAAGTAGAATATTGGCATATTTGGTTACAAAGGTTTGCAGAAATGTTGCATTGACTACACGATGGTTTACAGTAACACAATATTTTATGGTTTTATATTATAAATATGATGCTCAAATTAAGATTTATCAATTTTGTAAGTTCCAAAAAGCATTATTTATGAGATATTAACCGAATTTAACAGTTTATGTATATAAAGGGAGGTTATAAAAAATTCATTTTCTATAAAGTCTAAGTCAAATTTTCAAATAAGAAACGTATGCATATATTTCAATGATTACATATAATATGTACAAAATATTTGATGTAAATATTTTGCATATTCTTCGATGTTTGAAATTTGTTTTATAAGCATAATACAGTGTAATATACATATATATATTTTCACTTAAGTGTGGTATACAACCTACATGATCTTTAATTGAAACTAATCAAACATTTGAGTTTAAGTTGCAAAATTGTGCTAGTACATGTCGAAGCATTATTGTTATTTTTATTTGATTTTTTGAATGGCACATCAGTCAAACCCTATTCTGTATGACGTTATGTCATGATTGCTTGATAGACGAGATACTGATAAATTGTCAAGTAACTTTAGAAAAAAAACATTTCCTGCAATTTCTACTTTACATTCTTATGATGTTTACACAAAACCAAAATGCTGATAATTGTCAAGTAAATTTACAGAACTTCTAAGCATGCAACCAAGTGCAAATTTGGAATTTTTTCTTTTGTAGCAGAGTACATAACATGGAAAATTCAAAAGCTTGCATTTAGCAATATATTGTACCAAGTGTATTATTTTCTAAAAAAAATTTAAACTTGCTTTTGCTACAGAAAGTTCAATATCTTTATGTAAAAAGATCATTTTAATGTCACATGTATGCTAATTGTATTTTCTAAGAATGGATGGTTCCTATGAAAACAAAGGATATGATAACCGAGACGTTGAAAATAAAGATAATAGAGCTACGGTGACTAAAGACTCGCAAGTTCATTTAAGGTATGTCCTTTACTATGTAAGTTAAGATATATGCTAACACAATTACAATATTTGATATATGTCCTTATTTTGATAACGAATTCGGTTCTTTGATTAATTTCATTAACAAAATCAATCAAGACGGGCGTGCCAAATTTTTCATTTACATATTAAGGGCATTCTTTCAGTGTCCATGTTTTATCTATACTTGGATAATATTCTAGTTGCCAGTACCAATAAAATTACAACATACATTTATAACAGTTAATGTGACTTCACTGAGGTTTCATTGACCTGACTGGACTATTATTATTGGAGATTTGTGTTTGATTTGAGGCAAGGCCGAATCTATAGCTTTTGTGCAAACTTTCAGATCATTTCCCCAACCTGTTTTTCCAGAAAAGAAAGCATTTCTTTGTATGCAAAATGATCAAAAACTGAAAAGCGTTGCAACGCTCTTTGCTAAAATAGGGCTAAGAATCTCACAAAGTTCATTTTAATTTTAGGTATATTTTTTAATGATCCTTTGCAAACCTTTTACATTATAAGTGCTTTACAAGATCTATGTAAGAATTTTGAAACATTCGCATATGTGTTTCATGTTGCGTTATCATGGAACTTTCAAAGTAACACGGAAGTGCCATTCAATTAAAAGCGGCATATGGAACCCAAGTAAAAAAAATGCGTGTGCCCTAAGCTTAAACAGATGCGTTGTGTCCAATGCAGATCAGTACCCCTTTAAATGGAGACAACGTGTATTACGCAGAATTTAATTAAGCCTGGTTTCACGATAATACGTTTCGGATAGCTGCATTCAATACTATTTGTTTACGGATATAAAAAATAACATGTATTGTCTTTCAATTTGACGAAAATGAATAATATTGTGCAACCAAGGCAAGATATCTTAAAAAGATTCCGCAGTTTTAGACTGGCGTATTTGAATATTTTTATGTCCTTATTCTGACTCGCAAAACTAATCATATCATTCTGCATATAAATCAAACGTCTTTTTCAAAATCATTAGACTCGACTGCTTTGCAGCCGACAAATTAGTTACTGAATAATAAAACAGAACGAATACTTGGTTATTACAACTCGTTCGTGAGCAATAAAATTAAATTAATATAAAAGTGCACATCCTTTCAAGCATCGCGTATGACTAAACAGAATTGCACGATAAATTGAAAGATAACAAAAATTAATGGTTATCAGTTTGCAAACAGAAAAAATTAAAATTGTTATAAACAGTAAAGCGTAACAGGGATCGTCCAAAACATTTTTGTGAAACTGTCAACTTTAGCATTAAATAGAATAAGATAAACATTTCACAACCTTTTTTCACATCAGTCATATTATATATTAAAAAGTACCTGCATTTTCGTTAGCACACCTCTTGGCGCCGTTTCAAATGAACGATCTTGTACATAAAATATAACCTACATTTTAAAAGTTGTGCCATGTCTTGATTATGGATAGGTACTTTTTTGTTACTTTTTTAAACCAGTCAAATCAGATAGAGTATGCAGTCAAAGGGAAAACTCCTATTCACGTAAAAATTGAAAAAAGAAAATACAATTAATTGACAATTATACATCTGGTCTGGTTTCTAGCGTAGAGCCTACAATTTCACTGTTAAAGATGGAGTTAAATAGTATGTGAGAAGTTAGCAGTGAACAGTGAGCTAAGCAAAAAGGCATTTCAATTTATATAGGGAAGGTAATGATCTGCTGTAATGCTCAGCTGTTTTTGGGCATCTAGCAGGGCATTCCTAAATATAGTGTAAAAATGCTCTGCTGCAATACTCAGCTGTCTTGGCAATCTAGCAGAGCATTCCTAGCTTTAGTGAAAAAATGCTCTGCTGGAACGCTCAGCTGGCTAGGCAATCTAGCAGTGCATTACTAAATATGGTGTTAAAATGCTCTGCTGGCTAGGCAATCTAGCAGGACATTACTAAATATAGTGTACAAATGCTATTCTGGAATGCTAAGCTGGCTAGGCAATCTAGCAGGACATTACTAAATATAGTGTACAAATGCCATTCTGGAATGCTAAGCTGGCTAGGCAATCTAGCAGGGCATTACAAAATATAGTGTAAAAATGCTCTGCTGGAATGCTAAGCTGGCTAGGCAATCTAGCAGGGCATTCCTAAATATAGTGAAAAAAATGCTCTGCTGGAATGCTTAGCTGGCTAGGCAATCTAGCAGGACATTACTAAATACAGTGTAAAAATGCTCTGCTGGAATGCTAAGCTGGCTAGGCAATCTAGCAGGACATTACTAAATACAGTGTAAAAATGCTCTGCTGGAATGCTAAGCTGGCTAGGCAATCTAGCAGAGCATTACTAAATATAGTGAACAAATGCTTTTCTGGAATGCTAAGCTGGCTAGGCAATCTAGCAGGGCATTACTAAATATAGTGTAAAAATGCTCTGCTGGAATGCTAAGCTGGCTAGGCAATCTAGCAGGGCATTGCTAAATATAGTGTAAAAATGCTCTGCTGGAATGCTAAGCTGGCTAGGCAATCTAGCAGGGCATTCCTAAATATAGTGTAAAAATGCTCTGGTGGAATGCTAAGCTGCTAGGCAATCTAGCAGAGCATTACGAAATATAGTGTAAAAATGCTCTGCTGGAATGCTAAGCTGGCTAGGCAATCTAGCAGAGCATTACTAAATAAAGTGTTAAAATGCTCTGCAGGAATGCTCAGCTGGCTAGGCACTATAGCAGAGCATTCCTTAATATAGTGAAAAAATGCTCTGGTGGAATGCTCAGCTGGCTAGGCAATCTAGCAGAGCATTACTAGATATAGTGTAAAAATGCTCTGCTGGAATGCTCAGCTGGTGGGGCACTATAGCAGAGCATTCCTTAATATAGTGAAAAAATGCTCTGGTGGAATGTTCTGGTGAAATGCTAAGCTGGCTAGGCAATCTAGCAGGGCATTCCGAAATATAGTTAAAAAATGCTCTGGTGGAATGCTTGGTTGGCAGACTAATTCTGAGTTCCAGGATTTATTGTTGCCAAAGTTTTATTGACATTTTCGACTTCTAGGCAATTTTGAGGCACTCGCAGACTTTCAGGAATTTTCGGTGCCAATAGAAATAATGATATTTTTGACTTCTAAGGACCTTTAAGAGACTATTTCATTGTCCTGCGACTTTTTGAAGGACACTCGCAGACTTTCAGGAATTTTGGTGCCAATGCTGATATTGACAATTAAGACTTCTAGGGACCCTCAAGAGTCCATTTTGGTCGTCTGCGACTGATTCTTGGACACTCGCAGACTTTCAGGAATGGTTGGTGCCAATGGAAATATTTTTGACTTCTAGGGACATTTAAGAGTCCATTTCATTGGCCTGCAGCGTACTGTTGGACACTCGCAGACTTTCAGGAAAGTTTGGTGCCAATAGAGATGATGGCAATTTTTACTTCTAGGGACCCGCCAGAGTCCATTTTTATGGTCTGCGACTGAGTCTGGGACATTCGCAGACTCTCAGGAATCTGTGGTGCCAATGGAGATAATGACATTTTTGACTTCTAGCGACCCACCAGAGTTCATTTCGCTGGTCTGCGACTGATTTTGGGACACTTGCAGACTTTCAGGAATTTTGATGCCAATAGAGATAATGACATTTCTGACTTTTAGGGAACCTCCTGAGTTCATTTCTTGGGTCTGCGACTGATTCCTTGATACTCGCAGACTTTCAGGATGTTTAGTGCCATTGCAGATCATGACTTTTTTACTTTTAGGACCCCTTAGTCATAAGCAGAGCATTTTTACCCTAAAATGTCATTATCTGCATTAGCACCAAAAATTCCTGAAAGTCTGCAAGTGCCCAATAATCAGTCGCAGACCAACGAAATAGACTCTGGATGGTCAAAAATGTCATAAATTGTAATTATTTCTATTGGCACCAACAATTCCTGAAAGTCTGTGACTGTCAAAGATTAAGTCGCAGACCAAAAAAATGGACCCTGGATGGTCCCTAGTAGTAAAAAATGTCATTATCTGCCGTGACATCAAAAATTCCTGAAAGTCTGTGAGTGCCTCAGAATCAGTCGCATACCAAAACAATGGATTCAGAAAGGTCCCAATAAGTCAGAAATACCATTTTCTGCATTGACACCAAAATTCCTGAAAGTCTGCGAGTGACTCAGAATCAGTCGCAGACCAACGAAATAGACTCAGGAGGGTCCTTTTGAAGTAAAAATGTCATCATCTCCATTGGCACCGAAAATTTCTGAAAGTCTGCGAGTGTTCCAGAAACATTTGCAGACCAACGAAATGGACTCTGGATGGTCCTAAAAATTCACAAATGTCATTATCTGCATTGACACCAAAAATTCCTGAAAGTCTGCGATCGTCCCAGAATCAGTCGGAGACCAAAGAAATAGACACTTAAGGGTCCCGTAGAAGTAAAAAATGTCATTATCTGCATTGGCACTAAATATTTTAGAAAGTCTACGAGTGCCAAATAATCAGTTGCAGACCAACGAAATTTATACCTTATTTAAGAATGCCCTGCTAGTTTGCCTAGACAGCTCAGCATTCCGGCAGAACATTTTTACACTAATTTTCAGAATGCTTTGCTGGATTGCCTAGCCAGCTGAGCATTTTTAACACTATATTTAGGAATGCCCTGCTAGATTGCTTAGCTAGCTGAGCATACCAGCAGAGCATTTTTCGCACTATATTTTGGAACGCTCTGCTAGATTGCTTAGCCAGCTGAGCTTGCCAGCAGGGCATTTTTACACTATATTTAGGAATACTCTGCTGGATTGCCTAGCCAGCTGAGCATTTTAACACTATTTTTAGGAATGCCCTGCTAGATTGCCTAGCCAGCTGAGCATACCAGCAGATCATGTTTACACTATATTTTGGAATGTCCCGCTAGATTGCTTACCAAGCTGAGCATAACAGCAGAGCATTTTTACACTATATTTTGGAATGTCCCGATAGATTGCTTAGCCAGCTGAGCATAACAGCAGAGCATTTTTACACTATATTTTGGAATGCCCCGCTAGATTGCTTAACCTGCTGAGCATAACAGCAGAGCTTTTTACACTATATTTTGGAATGCCCCGCTAGATTGCTTAGCCAGCTGAGTATAACAGCAGAGTATTTTTTACACTATATTTAGGAATGCCCTGCTAGATTGCCTAGCCAGCTTAGCATTCCAGCAGAGCATTTTTACGCTATATTTTGGAACGCCCCGCTAGATTGCCTAGCCAGCTGAGCATACCAGCAGAGCATTTTTACACTATATTTAGTAATGGCCTGCTAGATTGCTTACCCAGCTGAGCATACCAGCAAAGCATTTCTACACTTTATTTTGGAATGCTCTGCTAGATTGCTTACCCAGCTGAGCATAACAGCAGATCATTGATTTCCCTATATAAATCGTAATGCCTTTTTGCTTAGCTCACTGTTAACTGCTAACTTCTCACATACAGTTAAATAAACCTACATTCACCAGTATTCATTAACGGAAACGAAAATATGCATTAAAGAATAAATCACATGAGCACGTGCCATTGTTACACGTGTTTGTGCCACTACAGCGTGTATTATTTGTGTGTTACATAGATTATATATATTAAACATGAAAAGAAATCTTCCTCTAAAAAAACAGAAGTCCGATTTGAACCAAACTTGCCATGATTGTTCCTTGGATATAGGACTTTTAAAAACTATTACAAAAAATGATTTCATGCAGAAATCTACCTGTCATGGAAAGAAAACAGAATAGGAAAAAAAAGAAAAACCAAAAAGTCTAAAACATAGTAATTTTCAAAAGGCATTGTCTTGTGGATCTCTACCAAGATTAATAAAGGTATATCCCTGGGGTCTAAATTGGCCACGCCCCATGTTTTCCATATTAATTGTCTTCAAAATTGCAAGGGCTAGAGTTTAGATATTTCGCATGAGATATTGTCTTGTGAACATCTGTTAAAATAATACAAATTATAGGCCTTTTGACCCTTCCCCAGGAGGTCATGGCTTTTCTTTAAACAATCCTCCTTGCTATAAGATAGTCCAGCTCATTAGTTTAAATTTAAAAAAAATAACTGTAACTGTATTTCCAAGTTTAATACAGCTATGTAAATATGTAATTTTTTTATCAAGGAAGATTTTTTTTATCAATTATGATTATACTATGGCATTTGTATCTGATCTTTAGACATACGGGTATCTGCACATTGCCTTTCATTTGACATGCTTAAATATGACCTTCACCCGAAAGTCAATAGACACTGTTGTGTGACGGCATTGTTTAATTGTATAGAAGCATAAAATGAGCTACTTATGTTAGTGCTATATTCATGCCGTGTCAAAAATGAAATCTTGTTTAATAATTAAAAGTTATTAAGGGCATAATGTAAAAAAAACAAGCTAAATGCAATAACGACCCTAGACCAATTCATCCGCTAGTGAACGGCTTCTAATCCCAAATGATTTCTGAATCAGATTTGAGAGACAAATGACTATGATACTAAATGACCGGTATCATTTAACACAGGGCAATTCCCCTTCGCTGGGGGAGGGTGGGGGTTTGGGGGTCGGACCAGCGATCCGTGAATGACAAATAGAAAACCTTGTTTAACTAAACGGATGGACTAATACTGGGTTTTAATTCAACTGTTGATTTATTTTACACATTTCATCAGAGGGATATTAAATATTTGTCCCAATGGCATTGCTTATAGTGACAGTATTCAAGATATACTATGTTTATCTTTGTGTAAAATATTCCTATCTCAAAAATTATTTAAATCCATGAAATCCTTACTAAATGCTTTTAATTTGAGTAAAACAAGTGTTCAAACTTTGTATTGAAAGCTGCATTCCCTATTAAAGGTCAAGTGAAATGGGTCTTTTCTTAAAAAAGCTGCCAGTCTTTTTAATGACACTATATATTCATATAGTGACCACTTATAGTATATGGAGTTTGAATCATAACACATCTACTTTGAATGAATCCGAATCATGTTTATTTTATATTTACAAAGAGGCTGCATGTGAAGAAGTTATCAATATTTTCAATAATCAAATTTAAGCATAGTATATCTTTAAATTCAATAATCTAGAACATCAAAATGAATCATTTTACACTTATAATTGAGCCACGTCACGACAAAACCAACATAGTGCGTTTGCGACCAGCATGGATCCAGACCAGTCTGCGCATCCGCGCAGTCTGATCAGGATTCATGCTGTTCGCTATTAGTTTCTCTACTTGTAATAGGGTTGGTAAGCGAACAGCATGGATCCTGATCAGACTGCGCATTTGCGCAGGATGGTCTGAATCCATGCTGGTCGCAATCGTACTATGTTGGTTTTGTCATGACGCGGCTCATATATGTTTTATGTTGCTTTATGACAACTTGTCTGGTATCTTCTAGTTTCAAAAAAGAAGGACCGTTAGAGAGAAGAACCAAGTGTGAAAAGATACTCCTGTTTCTACTGGTTATTTTAGTCATAGCCGTTATAATTTTGATCATTGTCGTTGCTGTACAAAAGAAAGACTTGGACGATGCCAAAGAGTCTAAAGAGATGACAACACCAAAGCCAGACGCAACAAAACCTGGTAGTTATAAGCAACTGTGTAAACTTAAAAGCCACATACCTTATGTTATGTCTTTATATATTTAAAATGATATTTTAACAAGGCAACAAATACTTTTTGTTGTTTTGTTAATTGTAACGACCTTGATCGTTGATTCTATAGATTAACGAATTGATATGTTAATGAATAATGTAATGAGTTTGGAAACTTAATAAAAGCTCATAATATTATAATTTATTAGTATACTTATAAAGGAAATATTGAGAAATATTGAAGAAATATAATGCTTATTTTTATTTTCCGTATTTTCATTGCAAAAAAAAATAATATTTTTCACTGTAGTGAAATATATTTTCCATATTTTCACTGGACTACTTTCTTCTAAATTCAGCCAATACACAAAATTAAAAGAGAATTCTTCCTATTTATAAGGTTTAAAAAGAGAAAAGTATATAATAAACAGAAAATTCAACGATGTATTGTCACCTTGTGTATGAAAATTATCTTGCATCATTCCCTGCGGTCTGGAGACCGCAGGGTATTGGTACGCGTTTAACTTTTGAGGCATGGAGGAGCACGTGACCTGTTTTCGATACATGGAGGAGCATGTGATCTGTAAACCGTACATGATTGGTTAATTGACCTTTTCGAAAACCTGGCTAAATACCGTTTGCCGGTACGTTACGGATAATCCTCTAGGGAATAAGTCAGAATTACACCTAATTAAGATCAAAAAACTATTACGTGATATTTTTAATTTTCTATAATTATAATACCGTTTAAGTTGGAAAAACTTGAATGATGTGTTTGAAAATTATCAATGTTTCTTTAATATGTATCTCAAAATGTTACAAACAATAAATTGTTTATACTGAAAATCTACAAAATTAAAATATTCGTAGTGGCATCTGCCATAATAAATAGAGATGTTTTCTGCGAAAACTTGTGTGTTTGCATTTTTTTTTCTTTCTTTTTTTTTTGCTCGGAATTATTCATAAAATGGTAGACCTATTTAATCATTTTCTTAAAAAGAAATAATTGTTTTATGTTCGACCTTCTCCGGTCACCAGTTTCCAAAGACCTTCTTCTATATTGATCGATTATTGTCAACTATATTCCTGATACAAACGTTTATTTATCCACCCACCCAAACAATGTTGAAGATAGTTAAATGAAATATCTTTATATCATCAAAAATGTTCCCCGCAGGAAACCATTTTACTTGTATCGATATTGTATGCTTAACATATATCAATCGTGGCTACTGCCAGTCGTGAATTTTTGTTTCATACAACTTGATGAACATGTTTTGTATAGATCTTCAATCGCTTGAATTGCTTTTCAGATGTATGTTTTACAGCGGAATGCACAAAAGCTAGTAAGTAGTTTTAACCAATATACGGTAAATAATTACCCTATGTTCAAATGAAAATTCATGAAATTATCAAATAACTGTTCCGCTTAAATGACAAACAAATATCAGCTATACAATATTCAGTTTTATGTTGATTTATGAATTGAATGGATACATTCAATTTAAAGTTAACTTAGCAAACTATTTTAGCGCTAACCATTTGTAAGGAATTTAATTTTACATATCATAATTGTCAGTAAGTTTAATTTATTAAGATTTAATAGGAAATTGAAAAGAAGTTCGGTGTTCAGACCCCGGCCTACGTGATTATGTTCATGCGTATTTGAAGTCGACCCCTGTTTTATTCTGCAACACTATTCTCAAAATTGATGAATATTTGAGCCGCGTCACGACAAAACCAACATAATAGGTTTGCAACCAGCATGGATCCAGACCAGCCTGCGCATTCGCGCAGTCTAATCAGGATCCATGCTGTTCGCTTACAAACCCTATAACAAGTAGAGAAACTGAAAGCAAACAGCATGGATCCTGATCAGACTGCGCGGATGCGCAGACTGGGCTGGATTTTTGCTGGTCGCAAACCCATTTTGTTGGTTTTGTCATGACGCGGCTCATTTCTTTAATATATACATTATCATGCTGTGCATTTAATGAAATGGGAATTAACTGTGTCGTCAAGTTCTGTATTCCTAGTCATTGACAATGCAATTGCTCAAACGTCTTATAAACTGATCGCTCTTGACTTATTTGCTTTTAGTATTTAAAACTGCGTGCCTCCAACTGAGCCAAAATATTTCCTAGAAAATCAAGCTTGACAAAAATTTACTAATATTTTTAGAAAAAGTAAAATGATGTAAGAGGTAACTTGTTGTTTTTTGGGTTTTTTTTGCGATAATTGACTTATTTTTGCAGCATTTATCAACATATTTTTACTGCGTGACTAACGTATTAAGGGCCTATTTTTGCATATTTCGACCTCTAAAATACCTCCCTTTTCCGGTTTAAGGCGCTCAGTTGTATGAAAGTCTCGACATGTCGGTTGACCCATGCGAGGATTTCTATGCGTACTCTTGCGGCACATGGAGGAAAAAGCATGCACTTCCGGAAGATAAATCGTTTTATGGCACCACGACAATGCTAGGTGATGGAGCCGAAATGACTAATAAATGTAAGTTCAGACTTGAAATTAATATCGGTTTTCATATAAGTTAGTATTATATCAAGCATATCAAGTATGTGTTTTGTTGCTGCTGCTGCTGTTTTTTGTTATTATTGTTGTTGTTGTTGTTGTTGTTGTTATTGTTGTTGTTGTTGATTTTATGCATTGCTTTTTCTTTCATTAATTGATGAAAACGTTTTTTTACTTTTTTTTCAAATCTTGTTATGCAATTATTAGTAAAAATGTTGATGGCCTCAATATTGTTAATTGCTTGATCAATTAAGAAAAAAAAACTTTCTTCATACTTTTTGACAAGTAATTTTGAATCTACGACAAAAATCGTTAAAACGTTTAGCACCTTGAGAGAGCGGTGACCTATAGGGTAAGCTACGTATCACTCAATTTTAATGGGCTCGAGCCCAATCGGAACATCGTCTGCTATTATCTATAATATTCTCGGAGTTAATACGGATTGAAAATAGTTTTAATACCGCATGGTCTCAGATGTAAACAGAAATGAATGTATACATTTGACATCCAAACGAAGATAAAGTCTGTTTTGGTACAATTATGACTGAAAATATGTCTGACAACCATTTTTAATTTAAATATGCCCAAAGATGTAGAATTTCAAACAAATCCGACTTGTATTTTCTTCAAGTAAACCATAATAATAAATATATAAATAATATATTGTTTGCTTTTGTATCTATTAATTCACTTATTTTAGGTGGACTTGTACTTGATATTTAGAAGGAAAAAAAATGTCAACAACTCCCTACTATTTGTTTACATGTTTTGTTTCTTAGCATAGGTTTGACCGAAATACCGCTTCCGTTCTGTGTATTCATAATATTGTATTCAAGATCCTTATCCGAAAACTTACGCTAAGGGATTGGGCTTGAGCGCTGTTTGGGTCACAGCCATGCTTCCTTCATATGACGTCAGCACAAGTAAGGTCCATGCAAAGGACTCAAAGGCTGTTTAAAAAACTCAAAACTTTAATGTGATCGTCGAATTAATGTGTTTTGAAATAACTAATGGAATTTTGTTAAAAGCAGTCGTAATCGGCATGGTCTGAAGCTATGTACTACTAACTTATATCTAAGATTTAATGAAAGATTAAAAAAAAGTCTTTGTTCTGACACACAGATCTTCTGGAAGATACGGAATCATACAAAGATATCGAAGCTATTGTTAAAGCCAAGGACTTGTATGCATCTTGCATGGACATGCGTAAGTTATATTTAACGAATCGATTACTAATTGTTAAAGTAAGTTGTAACTCACGAATGAATTACTAATAGTTTACTTTATAACTCAAGAACGAATTTCTAAAGTAAGTTGTAACTCAGGAATGAATTACTAATTACTAAAGTAAGTTATATCTTCACGAATGAATTACTAATTACTTAAGTAAGTTATAACTCACAAACAAAATACTAATTATGTACTAAAGTAAGTTATATCCCACGAATGAATTACTAATTAGTTAAGTAAGTTATAACTCACGAATGAATTACTAATTAGTTAAGTAAGTTATAACTCACGAATGAATTACTAATCACTAAAGTTATTTATAATTCAGGAACAAATTACTAATTAGTAATTCCTTAAGTAAGTTATAGCTTCACGCATGAATTACTTATTACTTAGTTTAAAACTCACGAACTAATTTCTAAACTAAGTTGTAACTCATGAATGAATCACTAATTACTACAGTAAGTTATATTTTCACGAATGAATTTTCTAATGACGTAAGTAAGTTATAACTCACAAATGAATTACTTATCACTAAAGTGATTTATAACTCACGAATGAATTACTAATTACTAAATGTCGCCGTCTTCCCTACTCTATAACTTCTATTTCGTATATTTTGAATTTTCATAGTGAAAATAATCTAATGACTTGATGTTTCTGTTTCCAGAGAAAATAAACGAAAAGGCGACATCGGCGGCCGTACCGTTATTGGAAGAACTCGGTGGATGGCCGGTCCTCGGTTCAAATCCTGGAGGCAACTGGTCAGAGAGTGACTTCAGTTTGATTAAACTCCTGGTCACACTTAACAAATATAATAGTCGTCGTATCATTAACCTAGTAGTTTCGGGCGATTTAAAAGAATCAAACAAAAATATCTTAGAAGTAAGCTACGGTATAAGCTATTCACTGCATTTTGTTTTTCATGAGATTTACTTTTAAGAATTTAGATTTACTCGTAAATTTACTTTTAAGATGAGTCTAAATACATATAATAATAATCGCTTGCTTTGTTTACAGTGACAATGGTTGAAAATAATTATAGTGGTTTTTTATGGTGGCCGGTTGCGGCCATTTCAAATCCGCGAGAATTTTTTTAGTTTTATCATAAAATGTCACGGACTACTTAAAAATCCGCGAGATTCTCTGACAAAATCATACAAAATATCGAGGGAAACGTATAAATCTCGATATTTTATAACACTTGTTGGAAACAGCAAGCGACAGTTTGACTTTATCGGCCGGTAGCGTCGATGGTTTGACTCTACAAACAGACCATTAAAAAGCCAACTTTCTAAGCCTTCTCTGGACACATTTACTATATTATGCCGTGCCAATCATGTTGCGTCTTTAGTTTAAAAATTATAACTCCCTTTATTTTAAAATAGAAATAACATTAGTATTGAACAGGAGCTCCTTGTAAGTATTAACAAAGGGCTAGCGCCTTACAAAGAACCTGGCATTGGCCGAAACTCTCACACCGAAATTGGTGGGTATGATGTGGGTATGATGTCGTAAATTTGCTTATTTTATTGTGCCTTGGATATAAAACAATTTCTTCTTCTTCTTCCTCTTCTCCTTCTTCATGTTCTTCTTCATGTTTTTCTTCTTGTTCTTCTTCTTCTTTTTCCTCTTCATGTTCTTCTTCTTGATCTTGTTCTTCTTGTTCTTCTTCTTCTTTTTCTTGTTCTTTTTTCTTGATCTTGTTCTTGTTCTTGTTCTTCTTCTTCTTCTTCTTCTATGGTATTTAAATATAAAATCATTTTAGTATTTTGGTTCTATGTTTTATATTTATATAGCTAGACCAGCCTGGATTTGGAATTCCTGGGAAGGTTTACATGGTGGATGACAGTTTTGCACACTACCGCGAGGCTTACGTCATTCTTGCCTCATCGATGGCCCAGTTATTTGGTGCCGACAAAACCATTGCAGATAAAGAAATGAGAGAAATGCTCGAGTTTGAAATGGATCTAGCTAGGGTAGTATTTATATTAGTTCTTATAGACTTTCGTTCCCATTAACAATGTTATGATAAGTTTACTAAATTATAAATGTACAATTGAATGTACAAAAGATTATTAATGTAACGTTAAATTAATGTTATTTATCCCTTTATTGTCGATGTATTTACAAAGATGACAGGGGATATAAGTAACGTTAGTAATAACTTTAAGTCTTGATCATTTGAGTATTATTCGATGCGTCTTAATCACATACTGTGTGCTAAAAGAGTTCAGACAAAAATATTTGATTAACAAATATGAAAATAATGTGTTAAAAATTTTCTTTTCTTTACAAATTTATGTAATAATGGAAGAGATGCCCCAGTTTTGTTGTGTGAATTAAAATATCTATATGGCACCAGTACTGGTTGTTTCCTGGAAGCGGACTCGAAAGTGATTAAAATAAGTTGCAAGAACTTGTTTCGCAACCGAGCTTAAATCAATATGCTTAAACAAAAAAAAATGAAACGCACAAAATATTCCAATTCCATGATTCATAATTAAATAATTGATGTAAGAGCCTTACTTCAGATCGCAACAAGTCCAGAAAACAGAACTGATTTTGCAGCTATCTACAACAACATGGCACTTTCGGAAATAACTGAAATAATTGCCGAAACCGGACCTGCAGATTCTATTCAGGTACGAAAAATAAAAATTGGTTAACGTCAACATTTGATATATTAAAAAAAACTTTTGACTAGCTAGCTTGCAAAATGCAAACATTCGGTAGTCTTCAGTAAATAAATGTCCATTTATAGTAACAGCGTCGAACAACTTGGAAATCAGCCAATCAATTTCTTCTGTAAAATCAAAGCACAGAAGGCGTTGAATTTGTTTGGGTCTTAGAATGTCAGAAAAGTGAAGGTTGTGAGATTATAAACCAATTTGCTTTTGCATAGTGCCACCATTGCTTTCCAGTGTTTTAACTGTAATAAATTGGCTATAAGACTAATTGCAACACTGATATTCAATTCAATGTTTATTTGACTTAAAAAAAAATTAAAAATGAGTTGCCTCAACTGGAATTTGAACTCCAGACCTCTCGATTCCTAAGCGAGCATGCAAACCTAAGTTATATGTTAACGGCCTGAAGAAAACCATATTACATGTATTCTAAATTAGGGTTTGTAACTCTTATTATTTCTACGCTAAACCTGTCTGTTGTTTAACACAGATATAAATAATCATGGAGCTTACTATAAGCATGTATGTCTATAAAGAATAAAATAATATTAGAAATATTCGACCATTCAGGAACTATTTTGCTTGAAAATTAATGCGCCTGACAATCTTAACGCAGTGATCTCCCGTGAATTTTATGCGTTAGTGTACATATAAAGGGAAGTAACCGCTTCAAAAAAGCGGACTACTTTCGGTATTTGCAATTAACAGCATCAGGGTCTGAAATTTCGCTACCATTATTTGTTTTGTCTGACGACCCAAACAACAAATGTCTGCAAACAAGATTTGCAAACATTTTGACACTTTTCATAAACTTCCTAAATAGTCCAAATGCATTAATGATAAATAAATTTACTATGTTTATATGAGGTTAAACGCATCATTAACTGTAACATTTTTTTCGCAATGATTTGATACAAATTTATTTATAATCACAAACTTTCATCTTACTCTCGGGCGTCATTGTTCAAATCGTAGATGGGTTCAGTAATGTGAGGAAGCTATCCAGACACCTTACTTGTTCTACTCAGGTGCCCGTTCGTGCCTGAATTAATGCATATATGAGCCGCGTCACAACAAAACCAACATAGTGCGTTTGCGACCAGCATGGATCAAGACCAGCCTGCGCCTCCGCGCAGTTTGATCAGGATCCATGCTGTTCGCTATCAGTTTCACTACTTGTTATAGACTTGGTAAGCGAACACATGGATCCTGACAGGTGCCCGTTCTGGTGCTGGTGCAAAAAATCCATGGTTTTTGCAATATGTGACCTTTAGTGCGTCGGTGTGACATAAAACACACTCAATCAAACAAACAAAATTGCTTTGGATGTTGGTTTAATTTATGCGCACATAACCGTAAATAATTTTTTTATATATATGATATTCATTTCAGTTCGACTTGCTTGAATTCACAAAAGAAGTATTTGATCTTGAACGTGTGAAAGTCGCTAATATAGTAATTAACGAAAGCGAGCCTGTAGCAATTTATGATCTACCATACTATGAGAAAGTGTTAGGTGTACTCAGAAAACATGGCAAACGGTATGTGATTCTAGGAAAGTTGAAGCTTCCTTTTAAAGGATCTATCCGCCGATATAAAATATGAAACAGAGTTAATTGTTATTTGTTATTTTAAAGTGACAATGTTTATCATTTTCGTGAGCATATAATTGATCTCGTCACCACTTTTTGGTAGTTTAACAGTACTTCTTCCCTCGGACTGCTGTGAAAAAAAATTCACTTATGCTTCCGTAATTGAAACAGTGTTTAAAATACGTGAAAATGTCTGGTGGGTTGAATATTTACATTTCTGTTTACTACCAACACATATATAAGTACATAATTACTGTACAAGCAAAACTACAAGATTTATTGGAAAATAACAAACGGATGCTGAAATCTTATTGTTCTTGCAAGTAAGTTGGATTTAAAAGGAGAATTGACATTGACAGTCATTCTGGAGAGTAAAAGTAAAAAAAAAATCGTTAAATTTAAAGATTACTGTTTTGTACATAGGTCAGTTGTGTCAATGTATGACCTTTTATGTATAAGATGAATGTATGAAACGTGCATGTCATCTGCAGACACAGAATGATACCACAAATGAGCCTTGCAACATAATGGGTTTGCGACCAGCATGGATCCAGACCAGCTTGCGCATCCGCGCAGTCTGATCAGGATCCATGCTGTTCGCTATCAGTTTCACTACTTGTTATAGGGTTTGTAAGCGAACAGCATGGATCCTTATCAGACTGCGTGGATGCGCAGGCTGGTCTGGATCCATGCTGGTCGCAAACGCACTATGTTGGTTTTGTCATGACACGGCTCAAATCAGTATAACATCAGGAGATAAAGCTGTGTGTGGGGATAAAAAAACTGTTACTCATCTTTTTATTACTTTTTTAATGAATTATGTTCGTTATTTTTAAAATTACTTTGGGTTGTTTGGTTTGTTATCAGATCTGTTGCCAATTATGCTGTGTGGATGATCATAAAAGATCTTGCAAGCGTTCTAGACAGCAGATTCCAAGCTCTTTTGAAACAATACGCGGAGGTATGACAAAATTAATATCTATCTTGATATTACATTGTATTATTTTAACATTTTCAATATTTGATGGACTTCAATAATAACTCGTATTGAAAACATGTTTGACAATAAGTAGTAAAATCTACCTCTCTGTTCTGTTATATTGTAATGCATGTAAACATAATATGAGCCGTGTCAAGACAAAACCAACATAATGGGTTTGCGACCAGCATTGATCCAGACCAGCCTGCGCATCCGCGCAGTCTGATCAGGATCCATGCTGTTCGCTTACAGACCCTATAACAAGTGAAGAAACTGATAGCAAACAGCATGGATCCTGATCAGACTGCGCGGATGCGCACTCTGGTCTGGATCCATGCTGGTCACAAACCCATTATGTTGGTTTTGTCATGGCGCGGCTCATATTTATCTAAAGCAGCATCACTCCAGATTCGTGCTTATTTTCATACGAATAATAATTTTATTAAGCATAAAACAATATACAATGTCGATAGTCAAAATACGAGTATAGTTCTGACCCAAAAAGCTAAATTTCAATGTCGCCTTAATATATGTCATCATTATCATATATTTGTTTACAGACTTTGACGGGGACATCTTCCTCTCCGCCAAGATGGAAAGATTGTGTAGCGACATCGGTTGGTTTCTTTCCAAAAGCAGTTGGACACATGTTTGTTAAGGAAACATTTGACGAGTCAGCAAAAAAGGCGGTAAGCGTCACTGAACCATAAAGTTACATTATAATGTTTAATCTTTGACACCTATACAGTGTAATACCACGTGAACTTTAATGTGATCTGGTCAGCTATACTGTTTGCTATCTATCTTAATATTTCGTTGTTGTTTTGTGTTTTATTTTGAGATTCTCTGTTGTTTTTTCTTGTTATCTACATGAATTACGCGTGTTAAACCTTTCTTTTCAAAACATGGAAAGTTCATTGTGTAAATTGCAAGAGTATATTGATCGTCTCCTTCATCTGCTGTACGGATTCGTTATCGTAACGTCTCACAAATTGAAATGTCATAAAGACCATGGTAATGAGCCAACGATAAGTTTAGAAAAAAATAAAAATACATTATTTAAAAATATTAATGTTACAAACATTAGAAACGATCAATTCTTTGTGCATTGCATATGCCACTTATTCGAGGTAAGGAGTTCAAGATCAAGTTAACCGAGGCAAATATATTTTTCGAAAATTAATAGATCAACACAAACTTGGTACATTTCGGTTTTCGTGAACATAAGCATCCGCGAAGTTTCATTTCATGTCAAATCACAGTTTAATATTTGTTTCTCGAAAAGATATTATGTTAAAACGTTATTTGGTGGTACCAAGCAAAAATCTTTTTTGTGCATATTTTTACCTTTTGTCAGAATGTGCCGAGTTTTGCGATGAAAGTAGTATCATTTTAGGCGATTAAAAATAGTCATTATGCCCTATTTGTACTAATTACTTTTGTAATAAAATGTTTTTACATCTAGGCGCTTGATATGATTGATAGAATTCGAGATGCCTTTAATCAGCTTTTGAATGACAATGATTGGATGGATGAAACAACGAAAGAGCTTGCTAGAGATAAGGTAACTTAAAGGCCAAGTATGTCTAAAAAATCCATATTAAGTCTTTAGAAATGTCAAACGTGTTTTGATAATGTTTTACTAACGGATATAAGACTATAGTTGGTTGTTTAACAGCAGAAAAAAGTAGCGCTAAATGTGCAGCCATGTGTCGTAAAGGCAGCAAAATAAAAACAAAGAAGTATTTTGACTACAATACAAAATATTTAAGCCGCGTCACGACAAAACCAACATAGTGGGTTTGCGACAAGCATGGATCCAGACCAGCCTGCGCATCCGCGCAGTCTGATCAGGATCCATGCTGTTCGCTTACAAACCCTATAACAAGTAGTGAAACTGATAGCGAACAGCATGGATCTTGATCAGACTGTGCAGATAAGCAGGCTGGTCTGGATCCATGCTGGTCGCAAACCCACTACGTTGGTTTTGTCATGACGCGGCTCATTTATAGACTTTAATTATACCAATAGCCAACAAATTAAGAGAAAGAAAGATAGTTCCCCTACTCCAGATGAGATTCCTTTTAAAATGTTTACAATTTTACAAAAATGTATAGGTTTTATTAGAAATAATAGCATTTCTGAGGCACAATGGGATTTTAAATGGGGTTTACAGCTTCCATTTAGAGGCACTGTATTGAGATTTTGACTTATAAGAACAGAAAATATTTCTTCTAGATTTGTGCACCAGATAATACAGACCTGTACCAATTACTTGTGCACACAATTTTAAAGAATTTGCCCCCTCTGGTTTTTTTTTCAAGAAAATCTTATTTATATGGCAAAATGATCCAGAAATGACTTTTTACAAAAACGCTATTAATTCAATTTATTCAAAGAATCGGTTAAAGATTAGTTTTAGATTAAATTCCGAGAGTATTTCTTACTATCTTTTGAAAATCTTTTTTATCGTTGATCTATGTAAGAATTTCAAATTTTGAATTTTTGAGCTTGATTTCAGTGGAGTACCGTTATTATTATTTTTTTTAATTCCACTTATAATGTTGACTTCAGCATGACACAACATGTTCTTATTGTAAAATCAACCTCTTTTTTTTAGAAATTACCCTTAACATTTGATTAGAAGTAGCTCTTGATATTGTTCTTCTTTATTTAATCTGCATGTAATACTTTTTTATTTTAATCTGAATGTTTTACTTCTTGATTTTAATCTGAATGTTATACTTCTCGATTTTAATCTGAATGTTACACTTTTTTATCTAAATCTGAATGATATACTTTTCGATTTAAAGCTGAATGTTATTCTTCTAGATTTGAATCTGCATGTTATAATTCTCGATTTTAATTTGAATGATATACTTCTTGATTTTAATCTGAATGTTATACTACTTGATTTTAATCTGAATGTTTTACTTCTTGATTTGAATCTGAATGTTATACCACTCGATTTTAATTTGAATGTTATACTTCTAGATCTAAATCTGCACGCTATGAATGTACTTCTCGATTCTAATATGAATATACAGTAAATTATTATATAAATCTAATATGTCTTTCCTGTAATTTATATTTAAATTTCTTTGATGTTGTTGTTGTTGTTGTTGTAATTCAGGCCAATGCTATAGAAGAATGGATCGGCTATCCTGAAGAAGTTTTGGATGTAGACAAAATCAATAAGCTCTATGAAAATGTAAGAAAACTTCTTTATACCATAGCATATCTGTCAAGAATTTTGTTTCACACGTCGACACATGATCGGTATAGGCCAATCAAAATTATACTAAAGGCAACATTTAAAAACATTAAGATATATTTAATTAAAGTGGATAAATTTGAACGATCAATATGATAAAAATTTCTCATTGGCCAGTTTGTTTCCTTTAGCGTTGAATCATTGTCTGGTCATGTATTTGATAACTTCATTTTACCATAGTTAAATGTATTACCGGATACGATTTACAGGCTGTATTTAATAACTTCATTTTACCATGGTTAAATATATTGCCGGATACGATTTACAGGGTGTATTTAATAACTTGAGTTTACCATGGTAAAAAATAATATATTGCCGGATACGATTTACAGGGTGTATTTAATAACTTGAGTTTACCATGGTTAAATGTTTTACAGGATACGATTAACAGGGACGAATATTTTCAAAATGTTCTTTCCAAATTGAAGAAAACGTCATCAGACAATTTAAAGACGCTAAGGTTACCAGTCGACAAAAATACGTAAGCTAGTTACGTGTTTTAGATTATGTATAATTATATAAGACAATTATGTTTGTTTGTTAGTGTCATAATCATTTATTTACATAGAAGATATATGTTTGTTTTGCATGTAAGATTAAAATATATTTCACTGAGTGGACACCAGATGCAATATTTTCACGAGTGGTGTAGTCACGAGTGAAAATAGAATAGCTGTTGTTCACGAATGAAATATATTTCAATCTTATATGTAAAACAAATAACTTGTCCTTTTATTTCATGATTTTTAAGTGAATTTAAGTATTGTTTTACTGACTTGCCGCTTAACATCGCATAATCTTCTTTATGACGTCATTACGTCAGGCATGACTTGAATTTTGATCGCTATAAAATTATTTCATTCTTCACTGCCTTGAAATATATCTGTCTGCACATGCGCAGTACGATCTTACGGGTCGAACCGGTATATTAATCAAACATGGCGGTCAAGACATGAAAGGGTACTTAACTTTGTCACAGTTTCTTATCATATGTTTTCTTTTGCATATGGTATAACTGGACAAAATGGAAGTTTTAATCAGCAATTTAATCATGATGTAATGTTAAAATTAAGTAGAAAAACTTTCATTTTGGCTAATATTCGACATTCATGTTACAAATATTAAGAATAAGTCACTACATTCAATAAATTTTATTTTTTTTTTATTTATTTTATTTTATTTATTTTTTTGCTTTCTAAAGAAAGTAAATTTATTCATTTCTGAGGCATAATGTGCCTTTAAATATAGTTGTTGGTAAATGGGTATTGTTGATAATTATCAATAAAAGCTAATGAGATTAGTAACTAAAATGTTTCTGCAATAATTTAAGTAGTCTGGAGTACCTTCCCCTTAAACTACGTACTTTCAGCAGTAAATGTTGATTGAGAATCAGACTATGATTTAAGTATCATTTATCTAGTCATACAAAACTTGCAAGACGTGGTTCATATTTAAAGTAAAATGCTAGCCATATATTTTTCAGTTGGAAAGGCTCGCCCTCCACAATAAATGCGTTTTACAGCCCACAGCTCAATAAAATACGTAAGGAGTACATTCTTTTCTAATCGTTGTGCATATTTTTAAAACTCTTTCTTTACTTTCTGAAGATCAGAAATGAACCCTGAACTTGCTGATTATTTAGTTTCTTCTTGTAGAACTCACCACTGTCATTTTTTCGATATAACGATGAAAAGTTAAAGTGAGTCATAATCGGAACATCTCGGTTATTACCAATAATTCTTTTCCGAAGTTTGGCGGAAATGGCCGAGAAGACATTGCCTTAGGAAAATCTTCTGTTTTTGTACAGTTTTCTTTATTAATTTCTCCACAGTGTTCCCCGCTGGTATATTACAACCTCCGGCGTATGCAAAAGGACAACCAAGGTAAGTTCTTATAAATCATAAATTACAAATCAAAACAATTTACAGAAATAAAATGATGTTATATTGCACACAGCCTACGTAGCTGACAGTTTCTCATGGGCTTTATACGTTGAAACCTCACAATGTTATAATTTGACGGCCAAACATGTCGCATAATGCTTCTCATGGCTAAAACTCTAAGGAGTCATGCTATACATGAATGTTGCACTTGTGGATGTATCTAACAGACTTAAAGGAGCCTCTCTCGGGAGCATCGAATTTAAGCTCTTACGTAAATAAGATTAGGAACGTAAGCCGAAAAAAACAGAATCAATAATAAAGAATAGTACTCAGAACATAAAATTTATTTCACAGTCTATTTTGAGTGCAATACATGCAGTTAGAAAATGGTTAGAGATTTTACACTCAAGATATAGCAAGAGACCTTCATCGTACGGCATAGAAACCTCATAATGATAATTCTAGTCCAAGTCATGACCCTAAAGGTCAGTGGAGGCCATTTTAATCGGACGAGTCTATTATTCTCATATCACTCTCCGAGATGAAGAATTTCATTCATTTTAGTATAATTTTTGCTTTAACACCTATATAAAAGAAAAACGAGATCTATATTTGTACTTTTCGCTCATTTTACGCCCCTTTCATCAATCATGCCTTTGAAAACTGTTGATATTTTATCTAGATCTATGAACTATGGAAGTATTGGCTCCATTATGGGACACGAAATAACCCATGGCTTTGATAACCAAGGTAATACATTTATAACATATATATCGTTATCTATGTGAAGAATGTACAGTACATTTGATGTAGTAATTTTTGTATGTAAGTACGTATTGTTACATACTTAATTATAGTGAAATTCATCGCCGACTTCATTTAAAAAACAAAGATTGCATTTACGCTCTTCATATGGAAGATGCAAGTGCCGCCACTTTTCTATTTCAACAGGTAATTTATGTTTTCCTATCCTGAAATGGAAAAGAGCGAACCTTGGATTATTGGCGGCAGTACAATTATTTAGATATGATTCAGAAGATCCATCACTTGCAGTGTTATACGTAAACAAATAAGCAAAAGAAGATAATTTGTAATGTTTTGCCAAAAAAGAATAAAGGAATTAATTTCGCAGTTGATCTTTTCCACATTATGTCATTACTTGGATTTGAAGCACTCAATGTCATTTAGCAAATGATACGTCAAAATAATGCTTGTGTTAGAATAAAAAGATGTCATGCACAAGGCCACAGCAAAAAGAAAACAGAAACAGACAAACGATCGAAGAAAAAAGCTATATGCACTTACGATAATTGTAATGTAACTGATCTCTTATAAAAATCGCCAATGATTACTCTTTTACCGGTGCCAAAAGGTGCAGATCATTGTCAATAATATCGCATAACATGTTATATATTACTTAAATCTTGAATTTTTATTATGCTTTTTTTTAAATTAAATGCATGTACATATTTCTCAAGTTTGATGTTCTTGAAATAGTTTAGCTTATCTGGAGACTTCCAGCTTTAATTAGTAATACTAAGTTATACAACGAGACACGCTATAAAGAGTGTTTGAGTTCAATTATACAGGAAGAAGATTAAGATTCTACAACATTTAAAGTTCAGCATAATGTTAAGAAGATAAACTTTTTTTAATGATTTGATTCTTAGACTAAGTAGGAAAACTTGACTACTTTTTAGGCAAAACTGGTAAATTTTCAAATTTTCCTAGTACAATTTAAATATTTATAAGCAGCATGTCTCCAGATGCGTGTTTATTTTCATGAAATTTTGAAAATGTATTTAAATGTATAATATTGTGAAGTAGCTAAAAGGAAGCAATTTACACATTAATTATCATTGGCACTTGCAACACACGTAAATTACCAAAAAGAGGTCAAAATATGCAAAAATAACCCATACTGCGTTAGAATCCTTTTACTTTTCTAAAATCTAAGTGAATTTAATCTCAAGTTTTTATTTTATTGAAATAGTTTGGCTGTAGCTCTAACATTTCGTATCGTCAATTTCAGGTCGGCAGTTTGACAAGTATGGTAATGTTAAGCAGTGGTGGAACACATCCATTATTGAAAGTTTTAACAAAAAGGCACAGTGCTTTGTTGACCAATATAACAACTTTCTAGTGAAAGAAGCTGGCTTTAATGTAGGAATAATTCTTTACATATAAAATAAACCAATGAGCAAACAGTAAACAATTAGATTAATAATCATGCCATCGTGTTTTTGATAGTATCATAAAAAAAAGAGAAAAACAGAATCCCTAAAGTTACCGTCCACGCCCCCTAGCACCGGCATATAAAAAATGACGAAAAAATAAACACATAAAACAGTGAACACTATTAAACATACAAACATAATTATATTTTGTGATTCGTATTTGTTATCGACATTCGTCTCGGTAGGGAATCTCGTGACCTTTACGGTAACGCGTTCTGACAATATGGCGGTCTGATAAAGAATTACCTGAAAAACATATGTGAAGCTAGGTGTTTAGGCCGCCATATTGTCAGTCCGCGTTACCGTAAAAGTCACGTGATTCCTAACCGCGTGTTTTCAATTCCAATAATTTAGGTTCACAGCTGTCGGGACGTTTCTATAAGGTTTTCACAGTTGCAATAAAATACTTAATACTCTTGATTTCTTCTTCTTCTTCTTCTACTACTACTACTACTACTACTACTACTACTCGTTTATTTCTTTTTTCTTGTCCGTTAAATACGAGTTCCCCTTTTCTTATTCAGGTGAATGGAATGCAAACACTAGGCGAGAATATTGCTGATAATGGCGGAATCAAACAAAGTTTTAAGGTAAGCTTAAATGTCCATTATTCATAAGATATGCTATCATAATTTATATTTCTCAAAACCGTTTTGGTATTTGTAGTCTTGTTACGGTTTTAAAATATTTATTAATTTGCCATATGAACTATCTTTTGCTTCTTTTCCTCTATTGGAAATCGATAAGTTAAACTGAATAAGTATTTTGTATGGACGTCAAAACACTTCTTTGCTTACAGTTTGCTATTTTTATGATACATAACTGCACATGAATGCACGTTCAGTGCTATCTTCTTCAGTTGTTGAACATCTTACATTCTCTAAATCAATTTTTGCTTATTTAAAAAAACATTTTTGACACCTCTTAAGAAATTTAAAGATACGGATTTCAGAGGCATAATGTGTCTTTAAGGATAAAGTTATTGCGTCAACTTACTTTGAATGACGTAAAAGAGGGACAACGTAAACGGACAGATTATTGATCATATTTCGACACAGTAATTAGTCAAAAAGAAACTTTTTTGTAAATGTTGAAAAGAAATGTTTATATTATTAACGTCTCGCTTAATGACCGACTCTTCATTACGGTCAAATCGTTATAACGACCCCCTTGAACTGCTTACATGTAAAATGAATGTATGATTGATACTAAAAATGTGTTGTTTTTTTTTCTCGTAGGCTGTTAAAAAGTAAGCATATCAAACATAGTTCGCCCGGATTCTAGATTTCTTTGACTTTCACAGTGTTTATGCATTTTTGCTGTTATAACAATTGTTATTGTTTTTTATAATTATCATTGATGATACTTTAGTTGTTGTCATCGTTATGATAATATAGATTAGCCGTTTAGATACAAAAAACCCATTTTTATTAGGTTTTACGTCGTACTAATATATATATATGACGAGCCTTGTCATGACAAAACCAACATAATGGGTTTGCGACAAGCATAAATCCAGACCAGCCTGCGCATCCGCGCAGTCTGATTAGGATCCATGCTGTTCGCTTACAGACCCTATAACAAGTAGAGAAACTGATAGCGAACAGAATGGATCCTGATCAGACCGCGCGGATGCGCAGGCTGGTCTGGATCCATGCTGGTCGCAAACGCACTATGTTGGTTTTGTCGTGACACGGCTCATATTTTGTATATAATTTTAGGCATATAGGAAGTGGGTGGAGCAACATGGCAGCGAGGAGCCTATGTTACCTGGACTTAATTTTACCCACAATCAATTGTTCTTTATCAACTTTGCTCAGGTTTGTGAAATATTTGCATCATTTTTATCAACAAACACAAAAGATATATCACAATACGATACAAACATTGGTATTTCAATGTTAAATATCTTGAATTTTGTTAATTCATATTTTATAAAGCTATTTCTTTATCATGATTTTTTTTGTGAAACAAATTAATACCCACATCGACTATATAGTTCGGAAGTGATATGGATTTTATTTCACTATGGTGGCATATTTCTGCCACCAGATAACCATATAACTAAGTAGTTAATTAAGAGGTTAACTAGTTATATGCCACCATGGCAGAAATATGCCACCATAATTTCACAAATGAATTCCAGTATTTCTCTGGTTACCATGAAATAAATGCGGATATTGCCTAGATTACAAATATACTCATGGGTGTTTGTGTTCTACAATGTAAATAGAATTTTGGAAAGACATAAAACTGACATTTAAAGCTACAGGCCTCCAGATGAATCAAAGTATTTCAATAAAAATCAAACTTGAAAACAAATGTACTAAAGATGTAAGTAAACGTTAAAAGTAATATTTTACATATCATGTGCCAGTAATGACTGATTTTTTTAGTATTTACAACTATATTTACTGCGTTACTAACGCAGTAAAGGATATTTATGCATATTTTGACCATATTTTGGTGATTTACGTGGTTTGCAAGTGCAATTGATAATGTGTAAATTGCTTCCTTTTTGGTTACTTCACAATATTATACATTCAAATACATTTTTAAAATGTTCCTGAAAATTAGCATGAATCTGGAGGCGTGCTGTTACGGGTAATCAAATATTATTAGAGTTAACCCGTTAATTTACGGAATGCCGTTAGGGCCATCGCCTATGAATGTATTGATCTAAAACGCGATAGTCGATAGTACGATGGTGAAAACGCGAAATCACGAAACTACGATGGTGAAAACGCGAAAGCACGATGATGAAAACGCGATAGTACGATGATGAAAACGCGACAGTACGATACTACGATGATGAAAACGCGATAAACTATCGTGTTTTCACCATCGTACTGTCGCGTTTTCACCATCGTAGTTTCGTGATTTCGCGTTTTCATCATCGTACTGTCGTGTTTTCATCATCGTACTATCGCGTTTTCACCATCGTACTATCGCGTTTTCACCATCGTACTATCGCGTTTTCATCATCGTACTGTCGTGTTTTCATCATCGTACTATCGCGTTTTCACCATCGTACTGTCGTGATTTCATCATCGTACTATCGCGTTTTCATCATCGTACTATCGCGTTTTCACCATCGTAGTTTCGTGATTTCGTATTTTCACCATCGTACTATCGACTTTCGCGTTTCAGATTAACACATTCATAGGCGATGGCCCTAACGGCATTCCGGAATGCCGTTAGGGCCATCGCCTATGAATGGTTTGATCTGAAACGCGATACTCGACAGTACGCTGATGAAAACGCGAACTCACGAAACTACGATGGTGAAAACGCGACAGTTTATCGCGTTTTCATCATCGTAGTATCGTATTGTCGCGATTTCATTATCGTACTATCGCGTTTTCATCATCGTGCTTTCGCGTTTTCACCATCGTAGTTTCGTGATTTCGCGTTTTCACCATCGTACTATCGACTATCGCGTTTTAGATCAATACATTCATAGGCGATGGCCCTAACGGCATTCCGTATTAATTCACTAAGATGACAAATGCTATCGAAGGGCAGTTTTTTTGTTATGATCATTGACCGAAAAACATGCAATGGCTTGGTTTTTAACCCTTAACCTACTCGAACTATCCCTGCAGTCTGACCAGGCAAGCATTAAATATTTATATTCAATTTGATAATCAAAGACTGATAATGTACAAGTCTAAAATGGAAGCTGGACATGTACAAATAGGAAAATCTTCTGCATACGGATGCGTGTTTTTTAATATTGCTCAGGTTTCTGCTTATTTTATATTTTCATATTGCCTTTTTGAAATTTTTCTCCCAAATTTCAGTTTTTTTGCGAAAACGGACGTAAAGAAGGATTCATCATACAGCTCAACTCCGGCGTACACTCTCCAAATGAGTTCAGGTATATATAATAAAGTCTTGTATTATAATACCCAATCTGATTAAAATCAGCCGCTTTAAGATCTGACCGTGACCCTTCTGGTGACGTTTTACACAGCCAATCATCGGCGAGCTTTCATAATTTTGAAAGCGATGAGGCCCTGAGAAATCAAATACTGAGTAGGTAATTTCAAGATTTCGAGAACAAGCATGGCAAAACAGGTAAAACAATCGTGCCAATTAAAAATTGTCCCTATTATTACATCTTAATTTGTTAAAAAATTACGTGAAAGATTTTGTTTCTTGTAAAACAGTACTTCAATGACAAAAATCAACAATTTGTTTAACTTCCTGGGATAACGGTATTTTGATTCTTCCTCTAATGCCCATGTAAGCATAACTAAAAATAGCTTTCTCGGGAAATCCGAATTATAAAGAAGATCGTCATCAGATCTACATTATAGAAATATGTCAAAAAGCTGAACTTGCTATTTGTTTATAAAAAGGACTCCACTCATGATTTTTGGATAGTTATGTTTCATTTGATGTAGGTCTAGACCAATACATTTTTGGCAAAATTGCAGATCATTTGCCCAATGTATTTTATATATTTCTTTATTATCTTTCTGTTTAAAGTGTCCCAGCTGATCTAATCAGAAATTCAAATTGATGTTTTAAGCTTAAAAATCTTGGTCGAGTTCCTTTAATAAGTTTGCATGGCTTTGAACTCACAACACTTCATTTAATTCTTTACGGATTTCAATATTAAAGCAGCGCGGTTCCAGATTCATGTTATTTTTCATAAAAATTTTGGATATGTAATTTAAAGTAAAATAATGTGAGGTGAACAAATAATGTAATTTACATATTGCAATCGGCACTTACAATCCACGAAAATTACCAAAAAGTGGTCAACATCTGCAAAAACAATCCTTACTGCTTTAATAACGCAGCAGAAATATGGTGTTAAAATACTGCAAAATCAGTGTTAAACCGCACATTACATATATAAAATATAACTTGGACCTTGAATGTTTTCACCTTCCTTAAAAAGTTTAGTGCATTTATCTCAATATTGATTTTTTTTTAAATATTTTAGCTCACCTGGAGGAGTGCAGCTTTAATAGTCCTAAAATATATCTCTAGATAAATAAGAATTACCTCCCCTGCTGCTTCGAGAGACAATGAAAATAAACGATAAACGGTTATCGAAATAGCTAAAATTGTCATAAAAGTGATTCAGTTTACTCATGTAAATTATTGCGTAAAAACAGCTATTTTTCCAAATACTGTCAAATATTTTCTTTTACTTTTATTTGCAGAGTTATAGGCACTTTACAGAATTCACAAGATTTTTCGGATGTGTTCGGATGTAAGAAGAATAGTAGAATGAATCCAGAAAAGAAATGTTATGTTTGGTGATGAAATAGCAAATATAAAAGAACAGAACATATAAGAATATTGTATATCTATAACCTTTTTTAAGGTCTTAAACATTTATGCTTAACATGATATTATACTTATTATGCAGTCCATGACACGCTAGAATGCTTTACAAAATTAATAACAATAAACTTAATCTTTCTGTTGCTTGTCCACTCAATGTTGTTGTTGTTGTTAATGTTGGTGATGATAATAGTGGTGATGATGTTGATGCTAATAAAGCTGCTGCTGCTGCTGCGGCTGCTGCTGCTGCTGTTGCTGCTGCTGATGATGATGATGACGTTCACGCTCAAAATAGAGTCGGTTGAGTGACTTCTCTTGATAACATGTCAAATGGGGAAAGGATTCAAAGGGAGAATACTATTGCGCTCAAAATCGAGTCGGTTAGAATGACCTCCCCTAAAAAATTGCAAATGGCGTAAGGATATAAAAGGGAGGAAACTGTGACATTCAAAATAGAGTCTGTAAGAATGACCTCCCCTGATAACAGTGCAAATGGCGTAAGGATATAAAAGGGAGGTAACTGTTGCACTCAAAACAGAAGCAGTTAGAATGACCTCTCCTGATAACAGTGCAAATGGCGTAAAGATATAAAAGGGAGGTAACTGTTGCACTCAAAACAGAGTCGGTTAGAATGACCTCCCCTGATAACATTGCAAATGGTGCAAGGGTTCAAAAGGGAGGAAACTGTTGCGCTCAAAACAGAGTTGGTTAGAATGGCCTCCCCTGATAATATTGCAAATGGTGTAAGGGTTCAAAAGGGAGGTAACTGTTGCGTTTAAAACAGAGTAGGTAAGAATGGTCTCCCTTGATTACATTGCAAATGGCGTTATGGTTAAAAAAGGAGGTTACTGTTGCGCTCAAAACAGAGGCGGTTAGACTGACCTTCCATGATAACCTTGCAAATGGCGTAAGGGTTCAAAAGGGAGGTAACTGTTGCACTCAAAATAGACGGTTAGAATGACCTCCACTGTTTACATTGCAAATGGCGTAAGGATTCAAAAGGGAGGTAACTATTGCGCTCAAAACACAGTCTGAATGGACTCCCCTAATATCATTGCAAATGGCGTAAGGTTTAAAAGGGAGGTGACTATTGTGCTTAAAACAGTCAGTTGGACTCACCTCCCCTGATAGCATTGCAAATGGCATATCTAGGTTCAAAAGGGAGGTGAAACGAAAACAAGTGTTTGGAGTCTAAATGGGTCTTTAATTTTTACTGATTGAGGCCTCAAAAGGGGTGAGTTGAAAGCCGTTAAAACACGGCTATATGAGAGTAAAGGTTAACAATAAATAGTCAAAATATTTTGGACAATTTTATTATCGATTGACTGTATATTGAACATTCAATCGTCACATTTTTTTTTTTAATTTTTGTCTTTGATTAAGTTTCAGTTCATTCACAAATATTGATCATTGTATATTTTATGAAAAAAATGTGTGGGTTCCTGAATCAGGGTCAGGGTTTGAAACAACGAAATTTTTATAAGTTCTATAACGTTGTACATAGTCGTTCACTGTAAAGTTCGCCAATTAAGGTTCTGAGGAGAGAAAACGTGTTCGTTATAATACGTTACAGGTGCGCAAAGGATATAAGTAAATATCAAGTCGGAGTAAAATGTACATGCACTGTTTAAATTTGTATTGTGTCGGTTATCATGAATGACTATGAGAAATCTGATATTTCACGATTCTACAATGTAGCAATGGAAATTTCACTTTTGGGTATTTTGGAGGATCTTTGTTAATTCATGATGTCTTGTGAAACACTTTTATTGGCCAGAATACTCGTAATTTAAAACAAATAAAAAGATTTAACAGCGCCAAAACATTTACAGAATAAGGAGATTACTTGCATGCAAAAGTTCAAGTACAAAATAAAAAATATTTAGATAAATTGTATATTAACGAAATCGTTACCGGGAGTGGTTATAAATCAGTGTAAATTCATTATATTGTAACTGCTGTACTAAGTTACAGAGAAGAGCATTTGATTACGTTGGGTCATAACAATTTTCACACACTTTAATTAACACACTTATATTAATGCATATATTTAATAACCCGAAAATATCTAGTGAATATAAAAAGCATCAATAATATAATTCTACAGAGCTGCAATAAAAGTCACTCAAAATTCCATACCCCTGATCATTATAGAAATGTCTGGGAATCCACCATCGCCGACTTGTTTTAAATAACATTATTTAAGTCCAAGGCCAAATCAAAGGCAAGTAGGCATACTATGGGAAAAAGTAAATGTAAATAGGAATTCCTCAATAGAATTTGAGTTTTATCGGCTGGCATTCCTATTAAAATAACTCTGAACGAGTGAAATTATAGTTGTGCAAAGAACTGCAATACTGATTTGTGTGTTTTCTAATTGAACTCACGTGTGTAATCATGCCCTTATGTAAAATAAACCTGAAGTAATTTTTAAGGGTTTTAAATTGTAGAGAGAGAGAGAGCGTATAATGTAGGCTTCTGTTTTGTGTTATTTCGTACTCAATCTTTACCTAGTCATTAATGTTATCTATCTACTGACTTTTCATGATATTTAATCCCTAAATTAATGTTTCTTAAAAAAAAATACAAATTTAGTTGATTCCTACCAATACCACAAACATTTAGTTATTTACTACCTAATTCGAACATGCGGTCAAATACAAAAAGCTAGCTTTATTGTATGGCTGTCAAAATCCGAAAATCTGGAGCGTTTGTATTCAAATTTAAAACATTGTTTATTTGCTTTGTTTATATTGACATGTTATAGAAATAGAATATATTGATGGAAATAAGACTATTTTAACAGAAAATCACAATGGATAAAGTGATTCGCTCTTTGATAATCAAAGGTATCCGTCTAAATGTGACCAATAATAAAGCTGTAAAGTATGGCTGTAAAAAGTTTCATACTTCATCAACACATGCTGTTGAACTTACGAGCGTGCGTTATCCGAAATTGAAACGGGGAAATTATTCTAGAGTCACTGACTCAGATATAGCATTGTTTGAAAGGATTTTACCAGGTGCTGAAAGAGTAATAACTGATCCCTCAGAACTTGACGGATACAACACAGATTGGATAAAGAACTGCAGAGGTATGATTCATGTAAATGAACTTTGCATTCTCTTCCTTGTAACAGTATAAATTATGATAAACTATAGTATGGTTTTGACCTTTGCATGAAAAATACAGCGCCTTGCCAACCTTACTTTACTTTACTGGAGTTGAGGTCGCAAGACGTCATCATCGTCTCCTATAAACCCCCCCCCCCCCCCATGGCTTTGTACCCAGTTCTGATCCGGTATGGTGGTATACTGTGTTGCTCCCATGAATTTTTCCAACCTATTTTTAAAGCTGTTAAGTGAAGGAGCATTCACAACCACTTCTGGTAAATTGTTCCAGTCCGAGATAACCCGTAGAGAAAAGAAATGCTTTCTAATCTCAGTTCTAGAGTCAGTGTACCCGGTTCCGCACAGGACCGGGTCCCGCACACCTTCCGATTTTTCATTTTTTCTTAAAAAAATCAAATGAATTTATTTAGTTTTCATTTGTGTTTCACTGAACTGGCATGTTTTCAACAGGATATGACATAATCTGGGATCTTGCCCCCCAGCCTCTACCTAGACAGTGCAGACGAAAATGTAAATACATGTACATGACTGTGTAGGTCACACATAAAAACAACTTATTCAGCAATTAAACCATGCTAATTTCTTTTTTAATGTTAAGATCATTATAAAATATATATTTGAAAAGAAATGTATGTTTTTGTTATGGCAAATTTGCTGTTAGTTATGAAATATATGCACATGAATTAACTTCTCCCAACTACCAAATGTCAAGTTATTTCACCTTGATTCTTTTGTTTAAAATAATACCAAACTCTTAATCGAACAAATCATAACTAAACAGATGAAAAAACCTTCAATAATCATGTTTTATGTACAATGTATGTCTTTACTACCAACAAGTGGTAAAAAGTATATTTCAATTGCTGTTACATGTTTTCTGTGTGCTACTATGCTTGGAAATAAATGTTGTTATACTGTAGTAAGAATGTGCATTGAATTTATTTGAAGTCCTGAAAATTTGCAAAGAAATATAACTTATCTGGACTTACATATGTTAAATAATATATAAAACATGTTTAAGATGTAAAATAACCTTTCAGTATAAAAATAGCCTTGTGTGCGGAACCGAGTCCACTATTTATCATATTTGGCCCATTCCTGTTGCTTAAAATCAAGTGCGCCTAGAAGTATGACCTACTTAAGATAGAAATGTTTCGGTAATCAGTTTTTATGGGCAAAGGATATAATTTTCAAAATAATATCTGTTATACAAAGAATTTTTAACTATAAGATAATTTTCTTATTTTTACTTAAAAAAAGTGTACGACTCCGGGTACACTGACTCTACATGATTTCACTTTCAGTTTATACCCATGACCTCTTGTATTTGCATTGTTATTTAATTCAAAAAACACTTCATAGTTAATATCCTCCTTATGATGCAACAATTTAAAAAACTTCAATCATGTAACCTCTAAATCGACGAAATGCTAGCGAAGGCAATTCAGTGTTTTAAGTCGTTGTTCATATTACAGATCTCTTAGTTGACCAACTAGTTTTGTTGCTCTTCTTTATACTGATTCAATTATGTGTATATTTTAAAGGAACATTGATATATTTTACATCTTAAATAACTAATTATATATATAATTATTATGAGTAAACTGTGACTTTTGTGAACGGCTTTCTGATTTTTAAGTTATTGTCGCACCAATTTGTACTACAAGTCATTTGAGCCTAAATTGTCGTCTAGCTGTCAAGTTTAAGAAATTTATAATAATTCAAATGAAAATGTATTAGATATAGAAACTATAGTGTCAATAAAATTTTCAGTTTCATGGGCACCATTTTGATGGTAACTCAATCTCAGTAGTAATCACGTGGTATTTCAAATACTGGTTTCCTAGCAGTTTCCGGCCCCAAATCGCACTTTTTAACAAATATAATAAAAATCAGTCTACGGACAAATACAAAACTTTGACAGAACAAAGTTAGGTACCTGTAAAGCATTACCATGTTTTTATTGTTGCTGTTTTACTTTACTTTTTGTTTGGAACATAGGCCTGAAATGTAACACCTTTTTCTTTGCAAAATTTCATAGCAGTTTTCTGGACCTTTTTAGCTCACCTGTCACAAAGTGCATGACAGGGTGAGCTTTTGTGATCGCTTTTCGTCCGTCGTCCGTCCGTCGTCCGTCCGTCCGTAAACTTTTACTTTAAATGACATCTCCTCATAAACCACTAAGCCAATTTCATCCAAACTTCACAGGAATGTTCCTTTGGTGGTCACCTTTAAAAATTGTTCAAAGAATATAATTCCATGCAGAACTCTGGTTGCCATGGCAACCGAAAGAAAAAACTTTAAATATCTTCTTTTAAAAAACCATAAGAGCTAGAGCTTAGATATTTGGCATGAAACATCTTCTAGTGAGTGTCTACCAAGTTTGTTCAAATAAAAGCCCTGGGGTCAAAATTGGTTCTGCCCCGGGGGGACATTGATTTTCCCTATATGCATATAGTAAAAACTTAAAAAATCTTTTTTAAAGATCTCAAAGAGCTATGGCTAAGGTATTGAGCATCAAACATGTTCTAATAGGTGTCTACCATGTTTCTTCAAATAAAAGCCCTGGGGTCAAAATTGGCCCAGCCCCAGGGGGTCATTGATTTTCCCTATATGCATAAAGTAAAAACTTAAAAAATCTTCTTTTAAAGAACCAAAAGAGTTAGAGCTAAGATATTAAGCATGAAACATGTTCTAATAAGTGTCTACCAAGTTTGTTCAAATAAAAGCCCTGGGTGTAAAATTGGCCCCGCCCCCGGGGGGGGGGGGGGTCATTGATTTTCCCTATATGCATATATAAAAACTTAAAAAGTCTTCTTTTAAAGAACTCAAAGAGCTATGGCTAAGATATTTAGCATTAAACATGTTCTAATAGGTGTCTACCAAGTTTGTTCAAATAAAAGCCCTGGGGTCAAAATTGGCACCGCCCCGGGGGTCATTGATTTTCCTTATATGTGTATAGCAAAAACTCAAAAAATCTTCTTTGAAAAAACCCAAATAGCTAGAGTTAAGATATTAAGCATGAAACATCTTTTAGTGAGTGTCTACAAAGTTTGTTCAAATAAAAGACCTTGGGTCAAAATTGGCCCCGCCCCGGGGGTCATTGATTTTCTTTATATGTGTATAGGGGTGGGGGCCAATATACAGGTGAGCGACCTCAGGGCCATCATGGCCCTCTTGTTTATTTTGTTTATAATTCAGAACCAGTAAGCAATGTTAAGATGATTTTGTCAAAGAAATGGAACTTCCAGACATTTTTCAATGTCATTTGTAATATGTTGTTTAAAATAATTAATTTACATAGTTTTGGGTCTCAGTTATCACCCATGGGTATCAAACTTAAGAATTACCCAGGTGTCACTTATTTTAAAATGTTGGAAGTTCTCTTACATACATGTAACTTCAAACAACAGCCAAAACTTCAAAACATATGAAACGCTGTACTATTTTAACTGCTTTGTTGCATAGAAACAAATGTCTCTCTGATTTGATGAAGAAACTTACATGTAGATCATCCCTACTAATAAAACAAGACGTACTGAATAAAAATGATAAAGGGCCAGATAACTGTTAGGGGCCGGAAACCAGTAGACAATAATGGAACAGTTGTAACTTTTTGGTTCAATGATCAATATATATCAATGGACCAGGTGTTATGATTGAAAATGGAAATGTGCATTGAAATAACAAATGGCATCTATAAAACAAAAATGTGAAATGAAAGTGGACTGACTTCCCGATCATAGGGTTTATATTAATAAAAAGAATATCTTATTACATACCTGTAAAAGCAACACAAAGAAACATTTCACTTTCAGTTATATATATATGAGCCATGTCGCAACAAAACCAACATAATGGATTTGCAACCAGCATGGATCCATGCTGTTCACTTACAAACCCTATAACAAGTAGAGAAACTGATAGCGAACAGCATGGATCCTTATCAGACTGCGCAGATGCATGCTGGTCGCACTATGTTGGTTTTGTCGTGACGCGGCTCATATATTCATTCTTGTGTAACAGGTGAAGTTTCCAAATATCTACAGGTCTCTAAGGGTGTCAAAAATTTATTTATTGGTCAGAATGTGTCAAAATATTCAAAAGAAAGTGCTCTGACTAAGTTATAAGAACCTATATACATTGAATGTAGAAACCAAGAAAATGTGAAACTGCTCTTTATTCAACAAATTTTCTAACAGAAATGACTTATATTTTCAATTCCTGCCTAATGTGAAAAAAAGGAGATGTGCATAATCTATCAGCCAATTAGAACTTGTTATTTTGCCCCTTGACACAAATGTTAATGTCCATTAATTCTATCTATCATAAAATTTACTTATTGAAAGCTATGATGATACTAAATCAAGTAATTATATTGAAATGACCACTTCCACCAGCAGGGCTACTGTTGTTTTAAATCTTTATGGACATGGTTAAATGGTCAGCCTAGTTATTTAGAGGTCTGGTTTTCAAGCCTGAGCATTATTATTTTTCATGCACCATATTAAGCAATAGTAATATCTCAACCCAGATATTAAGCATGGACTAAGCTAAATAGAAATCAGTTATGCTTCTTTTCAGGCGCTAGTCAACTTTTACTGAAACCAAAGACCACAGAAGATGTCTCTGCAATATTGAAAATATGTAATGAAAGAAATTTAGCTGTTGTTCCACAGGTATGAGGTTTTTTGTTTCATGCATGAATTAAAAAAAAATAGACATTGATTTAACTTGCAACAGTTTTTTTTTGGGGGGGGGGGTGCACATTTTCTTGATCTTGTTCTGTTTCCAAGAAAATTATGCAGCAATCTAAAGTCTTGAACTGTGTTCTTAAGAGCTATGATAAAAGTATATCTTTATTTGTCCGTGAGTAATAATGTTGACATTTTTTTCATCTTAATCAGTGTAATTTTGAAGTTTTAAAAAAAGTCAACTTTCTTTCATGGCTCTCCTGTATCTTAATTGAGAACTCTTTTTGTTTAGTCATGTAATTCTGTTCATGTGTATGGCTGTTTTTATGAATGGATACTTTGTTTTTAATTCAGGGTGGTAATACAGGTCTGGTTGGTGGTAGTGTCCCAGTATTTGATGAAGTTATTATATCTACACTACAGATGAATGAAATCATAAGTTTAGATGAACTATCAGGTATGAAATCATGAATAAAACAATGTATAAAAGTATAACATCATGAATAAATAAACTCTTTGGTTTGAATTTGTGAATAAATCACTGCACTTTTCAAGACATCATCAATAAATTAATGCACTCTCATATATAGATGAATAAATCAATGGAAGTAGTCTCACTAGTCTGTTAACATAGTTTACATTTCATGACCTTTGTTTACCCTTTAAAGCAGAGCAAGTTTGAAATTTCAGTTTAACAGGACACATTTTTGTAAAAGACTTTTCTAGCTTTCATGGTGTTAAGATTATCAAGCAATTATTAAAGCAGCTCACCTTCACATTTCAACTGATTTTTATTTAAATTGAAATTAAATTAACATATAAAAAAACCTAAAGAAAAAAAGGTTACGTAAACTTAATATCTCACCTGTTTCGAAGAAAAGGTCGAGCTATTAAGATCGCGGCACAGTCATAGTCAATGTTGTAGCCGTGCAAAAATCTTAATGTAACCCATTATTCAAACATTTCAAAAGTTATCAATATGAAACTTGGAATACATTTGTACTTGCTTATTATGACAAGGTGCAGTTGTAAGACAAGGGGCATAATTCTGAAACCAATATCTTTTGGAGTTATGCCCCTTTTGATCTTAGAATTTTTTTACAGACAAGCATTTAAACACCACATGCAGTGCACTTGTTTTATATCTTAATTTATAATTGCAGGTACATTAACATGCCAAGCAGGATGTATTCTAGGCAACTTGGATAATTATGTCTCTGAGTATAACCTTACAATGCCACTTGATCTAGGTGCCAAAGGCAGCTGTCATATAGGTGGTAACCTAGCAACCAATGCTGGTGGGTTACGGTTGCTAAGATACGGATCTTTACATGGGAGTGTACTAGGTTTAGAGGCAGTAAGTTTTGTTTTATAATTGTATGGTATGGGGTTTTATAAACTAAGTAAAAAAAATAAAATTGAATGTCTGGTAAGTCACTATATGATCTAAACTGTGATGGTGCGATGCAAAACCAGTAAAAAAGGATTTTCTGCATTGCTTTGATTTAAATCACTACAGTATTGAAGCAGTACCTCTTGATGCTTGACACAGGCAGGAAAATATTGCTTATATCGACGATTCTTAACATTTATAGTGATTGCTTTTCATCCGGCGTCCGTCTGTCCATCCGTAAACTTTTATTTTAGATGACATCTCATCATAAACCACGAAGCCAATTTCATCCAAACTTCACAGGAATGTTCCTTTGGTGGTCACCTTTAAAAATTGTTCAAAGAGTTTAATTCTATCCAGAACTCTGGTTGCCATGGCAACCGAAAGAAAAATCTTTAAAAAAAACCTAAGAGCTAGAGCTTAGATATTTGGCATGAAACATCTTCTAGTGAGTGTCTACCAAGTCTGTTCAAATAAAAGCCCTGGGGTCAAAATTGGCCCCGCCCCAGGGGGTCATTGATTTTCCTTTTATGCATATAGTAGAAACTTAAAAAAGCTTCTTTTAAAGAACCCAAAGAGCTAGAGCTAAGATATTTAGCATGAAACATCTTCTAATGGGTGTCTACCAAGTTTGTTCAAGTAAAAGCCTCGGGGTCAAAATTGGCCCCGCCCCAGGGGTCATTGATTTTCCCTATATGCATATAGTAAAAACTTAAAAAATCTTCTTTTAAAGAACTCAAAAGAGCTAGAGCTAAGATATTTAGCTTGTAACATGTTGTAATGGGTGTCTACCAAGTTTGTTCAAATAAATGCCCTGGGGTCAGTTGCTCTGCCCAGGGGTCATTGATTTTCCTTTTATGTGTATAGCAAAAAACTTAAAAAATCTTCTTTGAAAAAAACCCAAATAGCTACAGTTTAGATATTAAGCTTGTAACATCTTCTATTAATTGTCTACAAAGTTTGTTCAAATAAAATCCCTGGGGTCAAAACTGGCCCCCCACCAGGGGTGTCATTGTTTTTAACTAAATGTGTATAGTAAAAACTTAAAAAATCCTCTTTTAAAAAACCCAATGAACTAGAGCTTGGATGTTTAGCATGAAACATCTTCTTATGGGTGTCTACCAAGTTTGTTCAAATAAAAGCCCTTGGGTTAAAATTGGCCCTGCCAGGGCGGGGGGGGGGGGGGAGAGTAGGGAGGAAAGGGCTATATACAGGTGAGCGACCTCAGGGCCAACATGGCCCTCTTGTTTGTAAACAAATTGGTTCAAGAGATCAATAATCAATCTCTAACAAAGTGCATTTAGGCGAGTGAACAGGCGAAAATATTGCATTTAATCATTCCAATGCCTTGTCAGGTATATTTACCGGCAAATTGTTTTAAATGCGGTGTTCCAACACTTTGTTTGTCGACACTTATTGTTTATTTGTTTTGTAGGTATTGCCTGATGGTGAAATAGTAGACTGTATGTCATCACTTAGAAAGGACAATACAGGATATGATGTCAAACAGCTATTTATAGGGTCAGAGGGAACTCTGGGTATTATTACCAAGGCAGCCATTTTGTGTCCACAAAGACCTCAGGCAGTCAATGTAGCATTTCTAGGTGAGTATGATCTGGTGAAACAAACTTGTGACAGTGGTTCAAGTTGAATATCTTAATTACTAAGGTACTTGCGCATAGTTTTATGAATATGAAGGGGAGACTGTGGCTCTTGCATGGGGTCCGCTAAAGTTTTGTTATGAAGTTTGGTCACATAAAAAACACTGGAATGGAGCTTTTTGCTAACTAGAATTTGAATTATCATTTTGATCTATTAATACCAATATTATACCATGATATTTTGTCAAAGAAATCAAGAGATTATGATTATAACAGATTGTTCATTGATATGATTTTTACACAGCTTCCAAACCGTCTTATATGAATTCTGTATCTCCAAATGAGAAATTGGTTCATTGAACTCACAGAGCAGGTAAGTATTGGTACAGCAAATGTTGATTTTGTTCGCTATCTGTCTGTACATTATGAGATGTATTTCAGATGTATTTCAGAAAACAGGCGATTTTACTTAATATATTGATTTAAGTCAAGGTAATGAAATGTTGAAAGACAGTAATTGCTAGACAAACTTTTTTGCTTCGCCTTACAAGAAATTGTTATTAGGTGTCCAATTTACCCAATTAATAATAATCATTATAAGTGTCAGCCATTCTTTGAAGATTGTTTACCAGCACTCCATTCACCCCTTAGAGACAATTTGACAAAGCTTGCACATAACAGAACTGGGGGCATGACTGAGTGGTTAAATTGTCAGATTAGTAACCTAATGATTTCTGGCAGTATGGGTTTTAACCATGTTAAAGTCAAGTCATTGTTTCCTTATGCCAAAAACTTTACACACATTGCTCAGTACTGGTTGGTTCCAGGAATGGATTCAAGAGTGTGACATAAAGCTTATAACTTCCTGCACAGTGAAACTAAAATGTATATTCTGTAATATTGATCTAACAAAGTTATGCATCTCCACTTGCTTAAGTAATTTCGCTATCCTTTTTAAAATCTGATAAGAATCACTAACTTACTTCAAACCACTTGCCCCTCACCGCTGTGGGGCTCGAATCCCGACAAGGACTTTGGATTCTTTCATGTGAGAAGCTATACAGCAAGCTTAATGAATGTCAGTGGTTGTACACAGGCCTGTTTGGGCCCTAATTAATGCTTGAAAGGGCACCTAAGGTCTTCCTCCACCAGTAAAGCTGTAAAGTTGCCATTTGACCTATACTGTGTTGGCTTGACTTAAAACCTAACCAAACCAACAAACAAATCACTACATTGTAACTTACTAATTCGATAGGGGAAAAAACATTGATTTCCATTTTTCTAACCATCAGTTAACTCTGCATTTCAGGTGTAGACAGTTTTAGCAGTGTGTTGGAAGTGTTTAAAGAGACAAAGAAGAATTTAGCGGAGATTTTATCAGCATTTGAGTTTTTAGATACAGAAACACTACGTGTTGGTACTGACAACTTGAAAATGTCCAGTCCCATATCAAATCATCCTTTCTATGTTCTAATAGAAACCTCAGGTTAGTTCTCATAGATTATTACACAGTGAAAATATATTTTGATAATTTCACAGTGAACCTATAAAATATAATTTTCACTGTAGCCAGACTGTACCTGAATGCAGAGGAAATTAAAAAATATCTTAGTGTTTGAAATTATTTTTTGCCCAATATATACATTGTAGCAGTATTTCAAATGAATGGTAACACATTTACTTCGATAAATCGGCAAACTGTCAATCAGTCTAGTAAATCAACCATTCATAAAAATAATTTAAAACACTTAGCCGGTTAAAATTTATTAGTATGTATTTACAAAATTAAATTGGTTGCGTGTCTGTGCCGCGCCTGACCAATTTTAATTTTGTAAATACATACTAATAAGCTTTAACCTATACTTAAACGCCCATGTATAATGTCCCGGAAACGCTATTATTTTTATTTCTCAAAAGCTTTTTATTTTTGGTGGTCTGTTATAGTTTCTAAAAAGTTACCCACCTTTTGCTACGTCGATTTGTAAAGTTATAGTGATTTACTATTTTGTATGGAAGTCAAAGTATTATTTGTTTACATTTCGCTACTATTATGACAAATAATTTCACATTTAGTGCTACTTTCTTCAAGTGAATAGCATCTTATGTGCTTTAAAATTATTATTTAAACAATATAAAACTCATATTTTCCCTTTTAAGCTCACCTGTCACAAAGTGACAGGGTGAGCTTTTGTGGTCCCTTTTCGTCCGGCGTCCGTCCGGCGGTCCGCACTCACAGGAGAGTAATTATGTGGCTAGAGGGACAATAGGTAGCTGTTCTTTCTCTTTGATGTCATTCATTCCGTAATGCTTTTATGTGGCTATTTTCTTTTGTGTGGCTAAAAAGAACAATAGAGAGAACAATAGAGTAGCCACATAATTACTGTCCTGTGAGAACGTCCGTCCGTCCGTCCGTCCATCTGTAAACTTTTACTTTAAATGACATCTCCTCATAAACCACTAAGCCAATTTCATCCAAACTTCACAGGAATGTTCCTTTGGTGGTCACCTTTAAAAATTGTTCAAAGAACTTAATTCCATGCAGAACTCTGGTTGCCATGGCAACCGAAAGAAAAAACTTTAAATATCTTCTTTTAAAAAACCCTAAGAGCTAGAGTTTAGATATTTGGCATGAAACATCTTCTAGTGAGTGTCTACCAAAATTGTTCAAATAAAATCCCTGGGGTCAAAATTGGCTCCGCCCCAGGGGGTCATTGATTTTCCCTATATGCATATAGTAAAAACTTAAAAATTCTTCTTTTAAAGAACCCAAAGAGCTAGAGCTAAGATATTCAGCATGAAACATCTTCTAATGAGTGTGTACCAAGTTTGTTCAAATAAAAGCCCTGGGGTCAAAATTGGCCCTGCCCCAGGGGGTCATTGATTTTCCCTATATGCATATAGTAAAAACTTACAAAATCTTCTTTTAAAGAACTCAAGGAGCTAGAGCTAAGATATTCAGCATGAAACATCTTCTAATGGGTGTCTACCAAGTTTGTTCAAATAAAAGCCCTGGGGTCAAAATTGGCCCCGCCCCGGGGGTCATTGATTTTCCTTATATGTGTATAGCAAAAACTTAAATAATCTTCTTTGGGTTATCCAAATAGCTAGAGTTTAGATATAAAGCATGAAACATCTTCTAGAGAGTGTCTACAAAGTTTGTTCAAATAATAGCCCTGGGGTCAAAATTGGTCCCGCCCGGGGGGGGGGGGTCATTAATTTTCCCTATATGCATATAGTAAAAACTTAAAAAAATTTTGAAAAAACCCAAATAGCTAGAGTTTAGATATTAAGCATGAAACATCTTCTAGTAAATGTCTACAAAGTTTGTTCAAATAAAAGCCCTGGGGTCAAAACTGGCCCCGCCCCAGGGGTGTCATTGTTTTTAACTATATGTGTGTAGTAAAAAGTTAAAAATCTTCTTTTAAAAAACCCAATGAGCTAGAGCTTAGATGTTTAGCATGAAATATCTTCTTATGGATATCTACCAAGTTTGTTCAAATAAAAGCCCTTGGGTGAAAATTGGCCCTGCCTGGGGGGGGGGGGGGTGGAGGGGCATGTGAAATCATTGTTTTTCATTACATCATTACATGTGTGTAGTAAAAACTTAACATTGTGAAACATCTTCTTATGAGTGTCTTCCAAGTTTGTTAAAATAAACGCCCTGGGGTTTAAACTGGCCCCGCTCCGGGGGCCTAATATACAGGTGAGCGACCTCGGGCCATCATGGCCCTCTTGTTGAAGAATGACCTATTTATTCCTTTCTGAGACACAATGTGCCTTCGAATAAGTGGAAATATATACATCACCAGGAAAACATTTTGTTGTATGTAAAATACGCTTGATAACAAGAAGCATATTGATATTTGCATAAATCATTTTAAAAATGTTACTGAATGCGTAAAGTTTTACAGAATTATTTCTTTAAAAAACAATGTGACATCATGATTTGATGATGTCATAAATCAGAGTGCATGAGCATGTCATTAGGCGGCAGAAATAAATAAAAATGATTTAAAACCTCAAATATAGCATGAAATAAAGAGAAAATTTGTTTCTTTTGTATGTGAGATTAAATCATATTTCCATCTTACTTGCCCAACAAACAAATATCCTCTTTGTATATCACTTTTGTCTTTTTTTGCCAAGAAAAGAAATTTATAAATACAGTATGTTACTTATGCCAAGTTTAGAGCCACATTCTGTTACTGATAGCAATAACCTTTTTCCAAGAAAAGCTAAAAAATTCTTCCCAAAAAGAACCTCACAATAGATGTAACCTCTCTTTAGTAACACCTTTCTTTAACAATTAAACACTTTGAACACTCTCTGCAGAGGTTGTACTGTACTTATTGCTGTTTATTTTATATTTATTACATGCTTTTAAGTAGATTTTGGAAATGTCACAATGAAATATATCTTTATTCTTTCTCAGGAATTCTTTGAAAGGATTACTTATTTGTAATTATTTGTACATTTAGCTGAAAGATATTTATGAAGTTTGCCAGGCATGGCTTTATTTTACATGACATATATTCCTTTAAACAGTTCATGATGGTTTTCATACACTTAAGTGTTACTGTTTAAACTATTAGAAATATGTATATCTAAAATATTGATCCTTAGAGACATATTTTTAATATTATGTTTTCATGAAATAGACAGATACAATAGAAAATGGATGAAATATTCAAATTTGCAAAACAATGTGCAGTTATGGTTAATAACTGGACAGCATATTCCTTCAATGCAGCCTCAGACTTCACTTTCAGTTAACATATACAACAAGAACCATACTGGGGCAAGAATATCACTTTTTCCATTCATACAAACCATTTTTTAGAGTTTTTGATATCATTTTTTGTATTTAATGCAAAAATACTTAAAAGCGGTATATTGTTTGCTTATTTGCTTTATATTATAATCATTACAGGTTCAAACAGTGCTCATGATGAAGAAAAGCTTACACAGTTTCTCGAGTATATGATGACATCTGGTAAAGTTCTAGACGGGACTGTCGCAGCAGAAACCTCAAAAATACAGGTAGTATAATAATTCATTTTTATATTCCCAATACTTCTCTTGGTAAAATTAAGGCTCCTGCAGCTGTTTCATTTGGTTTATACTAAGCATTATTCCCTGCGGTCTGGAGACCGCAGGGTATTGGTACGCGTTTAACTTTTGAGGCATGGAGGAGCACGTGACCTGTTTTCGGTACATGGAGGAGCATGTGATCTGTAAACCGTACACGATTGGTTAATTGACCTTTTCGAAAACCTGGCTAAGTACCGTTTGTCGGTACGTTACGGAATTACCTCTAGGGAATTAGTCAGAATTACACCTAATTAAAAACAAAAAACTATTACGTGATGTTTCTAATTTTCTATAAATATTTTAGCGTTTAAGGTGGAAAAACTTGAATGATGTATTTGAAAATTATCAATGTTTCTTTAATATATGTATCTCAAACTTTACAAACAATAAATTGTTTATACTGAAAATCTACAAAATTAAAATATTCGTAGTGGCATCTGCCATAATAAATAAAGATATTTTCTGCGTAAACTTGTGTGTTTACTTTATTTATTTATTTTTTTTTTTTTTTCTTGGAATTATTCATAAAATGGTAGGCCTATGTAATCATTTTCTTAAAAAGAAATAATTGTTTTATGTTCGACCTTCTCCGATCATCAACGGTCACCAGTTTCCAAAGACCTTCTTCTAAATTGATCGATTATTGTCAACTATATCCCTGATACAAACGTTTATTTATTCCCCTCTCCCAAAACAATGTTGAAAATAGTTAAATGAAATATCTTTATATCCTTAAAAATGTTCCCCGCAGGAAACCATTTTACTTGTTTTAGTTTGATTGTGTAGGAAACTTTAAGCTTATAGACCCTCTTTCAAATCCGTTCCTGGAACTAACCCGTACTGAGCAATGAGTGTAAAGTTTCTTGCTCAAAGAAACAATGACTTGCCCCTGGTTTGAACCAATACAGCTAGCTATCATTAGATTACTAGTCTGACACGTTAATCACAGTGAAGTCGGCCATGCCGCCACTCACAGCTGTTTTATTGGATAATATTACCAAATAACTTGTTGCTTGCCTTGACTTCCGTGGGTTTGAAAATTGATACAGACTTTTATTCTCACAACTGAGGAAGCTTTCTTTTTAACTTGTGAATGTTTAGTGGTTCTACCTTCAGTGCCGCTCATACCCTACCTAGCTTGTATGTTATTTGTGGTGCCCACTCATTTCTTCAAAATTCTTATCTACTTACCTTGTGAACAGTCAGTGGTTCTGAGTTCCCACTTATATTCCAAACAGTACAAAAAGGAAAAACTTTTATCTACAACTTTTCCTCTATTAGTAAAGCTGGAAAGCCCCCCCCCCCCCCACCCCCACAATATAAATTATGTGCTTTACATTGTCTGTTCTATGTGTATATGTCCCTGATGCATATGCCTTTTAAAGGCAAATTTAAATATTTGTGAATAACTTGTTATACATATTTTTCATTGGTACTTGATCTATCTTTATTTCTGTGACTTTACCATGTAGTTGCTCATGTGAGGAAGCTATCCTGAGCTAGCTTACGGAACGTCAGTGGTTCTACTCGGATGTTTGTTTGTGCCTGAAATAATTGCACAAAGGGGAACCTTAAGGTCTTCCTTCACCAGTAAAGATAGAAAGTTACCATATGACATACACTATAATGGTGTGACTTAAAATCCAACCAAAAAAGACAAACAAACAAAGTAGTTGAAGTGTATTTGCATCAACAAAAAATATTAATGTCATTTCTATTTCTATCAACAGCATATATGGAATTTACGAGAACGTGTGGCCGAAGGACTGATGCATGATGGGTACTGCTACAAATATGATGTGTCGTTACCATTACTACACTTCTATGATCTAGTTGAAGATATGAGGGAAAGACTAGGAGATAAAGTGACTAGAGTGGTTGGGTATGGTCATGTAGGGGATGGTAAGTAGTATATATGTAAATCATGATCTGGTGGGACATTTGAGAGAAAGATTAGGAGAATAACTAACCATTATGGTCCTGAGATGATAAGTTGTTCATTGGTTGAAGACTAGAGGGAGGAGCTTAGGAGATAAAGTGAAAACAGCAGTTTTTTATGGTCATGTAGGGGATGGTAAAATAAATTTAGCGGCTGGTTATGATCATGCAGGAGATTGTAATTTGTGTTTGTAAGAGTAGTGACCGAGGTAATAGAAAATAAACTGACCAGAATGTTTGGTCATAGGCATGGTAAGTTTTAAAATAAAATGACTAAAGTTGTTGTTCATTATTTAAGGCAAATAATGGATGGGAATTTCTAAGACAAAAGATAATTTTTTTTTAGGCTTTAGCTGTGCTAATATATTTAAAATTTAATTCTGATCTACTTACACAGAGGTCACGGGATTGTCTCAGGTCAACATGTTCTTATAATGAATAAGTTTCAATGCATGGACTAAGTACTATGTTTACATGTATTATGGTTAATAGTAGATATAATATATTTGCAGGAAACTTACATTTCAATGTGACAACTCCCGAGTATGATTCTGAAGTGATGGGGTTGATTGAACCATACATATATGACTGGGTGGCTAAATACAAGTAAGTTAATCTTTGGGAAATGTATCATGATATTTACTGTAATATGACTCTGTGAGTGTGTTATTTCAGACCTCATCCATGAGTTAATGAATATGGGGCCTTTGGAAATAGGTAAATAAACATGGACCTCGGTCATAAATAAACAAATAATGAGATCTGAGGCTTTTGTTAATGAATATGGGACCTCAGCCTTAGATAAATGAATATAAGGTCTCCACAGAACATAACTGAATATAGGCTTCTGCCATAGATAAATCAATAACAGCCTTGGACACAGACAAAATAATGCATATTTGGCCCGAGGTAATGGGTAAATTAATACTGAGATTCGATCATAGGTAAAATTTCTTGACCATAGGTAAATAAACAGGGAACTCAACCAAAATGGAACGGCCTCCGTGGTCGAGGGGTTAGAGTCGATGACTTCTAATCCAGTTACTTCTCTGGCGTGGTTTCGATCCCCTGGAGATGCTTTGGTAGTTTAGCGCGGAGGAAGGTAGTCTAGTACTGGTGTAACTCTCCAGTAACGATGGTTAGAAAACTACCCGCCTATATGACTGAAATACTGTTGGAAAAAGGCATAAAATGAAACAAACAAACAACCAATATTGAATGGACATGGAACCCAGACAATATATAAACGGGAATAAGACCTCAGCTGTAAATTAATGAATATGAGGCCATGCCAGAGATAACTTAATATTGAGCCATGGGTAAATAAATACGAGGCCCTGAATATAGATAATTAAACACATAGCCTTGGCCTTATGTAAATGAATACGAGACCCTGGCTATAGGTAAATGAGCACTTGGCTTTATGTAAATGGATATGAAGCCTAAGCCATAGTGAAATGAATATGAGGTTTTGGTCATAAATAAATGAATACTTGGCCTTGGCAAATAAATAAGGGGCCTCTGTTGCTGAGAAATTACAGTCTCTTACTAAGAATCAACTGTCCCTCACTACAGATTTGATATCTACCAGAGATTTTGAATTCTTTCAGCTAAAAAGACTGTTAAGTTAGCTAACTATAGATCTGTGGTTCTACTAAGGTGCTCCTGGTTTTCCTTCTTCAAAAAAACTGGAAAGTTTCCATATGACCTTTGTAGTGTCAATGTGACCTCAAATCCAAAGAAAAGGGAATAAATGAAGACTGAGTCATATATATTCATATTACAATTATTATCATTATTAACTAAATTTTTCTCCTTTGTATATTTCAGGGGCAGTATAAGTGCTGAGCATGGTTTAGGGTTCAAGAAAAGACAATTTATCTATCACAGCAAGTCAAGGTCAGCTGTCAAGGTCATGAAGAATATAAAACAAATTCTTGACCCCAAAGGAATAATGAACCCTTACAAGACCTTACCAGATGATTAGTTAGTTGTGAATTATAAAAGATAAATATAATATAAATTGCAATATGTGCTTGTTTATGCTTATTTAAATATCATATGATCTAGCAGTACTGTACATGAATCAGAAGATACTGTACATGATTTAGGAGATACTGTACATGATTTAGTAGATACTGTACATGAATCAGTAGATATTGTATATGATTTAATAGATAATGCACATGGTTCAGTAGTTACTGTACACGTGTACATATTTAGTGAATACTTTATATGATTTAATATATGCTGTATATGGTTCAGTAGATACTGTACATGATTCATTGGACACTATACATGATTTGGTGGATACTTTATATGATTTAATACATACTGTACATGATTCAGTAAATATTGTACATGATTTGGTGGATAATGTATATTATTTATATTAGTGTTTTTTATATACCTGACAAAATGATAAAACTTGCATTTTGAGAAAAAGTGGGGTTGTTTTTATTTTTCATTTCATGCTTAAGATGACAGACATATGATGCTTTCTAGTCATTTGAACTATTTTATGCTTATTTTTTGTTAAATGAGCTGCGCCATGACAAAACCAACGTACTGCGTTTGCGACCAGCATGGATCCAGACCAGCCTGCGCATCCGCACAGTCTGAACAGGATCCATTCCATTCGCTTACAAACTCTATAACAAGTAGAGAAACTGATAGCAAACAGCATGGATCCTGATCAGACTGCGAAGGGGCGCAGGCTGGTTTGGATCCATGCTTGTTGCAAACCCATTATGTTGGTTTTGTCAAGGCGCGGCACAAATTACAAACAAACATACATGAGATGTTGTAAAACTGAAGACTTAGCATACTTTTTATAAAGAGAATCCATTTTGTTCATGTGATTGTTAAAACAGGGTAGTACTGTTCAGTATTAGTTGTGACATCATGTTTTTATTTGTAAACAGTTTCATAAGACAGCATTAGGAATTTAACCAGATATTTTTCTTATTTTTCAGTGTTAAACTTTAATGAACTTTTTATTTGAATACAAAATCAATAGAAAAGGTTTTATGTACAGGTCAAGGTGAAATTTGATATTAATTCATCTTTTTTATAAATGCTAATATATAGATTTTTTTTGAGAAATTGTCATTGATGAATATTTGTCAGACCAAAAAATCTTTTTAACATCGAGACTTTTTATCACAAGAATTGAAATGTTACTTTTTTGTTTTGATTTCTGTTAGAAAATGTTGGTTCAGTATTTTCCAAAAAAAAATTTTTTCATAAAAAAACTAACTGTTTACTGTTTAACATGTAAAATGACGTTTAAAAATTCTGTGCCATTTTCGTTTGTAAAATGTAATTACTTGTATATGTTCTAGGAATAAATTGTGTCAATTTATTTATAGTTCTCTACTAATCATGATTGCCTGTGATAAATTTTGATTGATAATAACCATTTAATGAATTTAAATCAAAAAAGGTATATTGTTGTTTGAAAATGATTTAGATTTTATAATATTGTATGTTAGATATGTTGATTAAATTTAATGGGGGTGTTTAAATTATCCTTATGCAGGGCTGATTAAAATATTTTATTGATTTTAATTAGCTCGACTGTTTAAAGAATAGAGAGAGCTATTGTACTCACCCCAGCGACCGCATTGACATCACACCTTGGTAAACTTTGTGTATGCAAGTTGGTAACCTAAAAAACTACTGAGGGGGGTAGGTTTAAGCGTCAAATACTTAATGGTTATGGTATTTTTATTTAGCATCTAATAAAGTTCAAGTTTTCAGATTGCTCATATCTGGTAAATAACTTAAATTTATTATTATATTTTGTCACAGCTCAAATATGTGGTTTTAGTAATACGTTTTTTTACAGAAAATGTCATGGTTTTGGTGTATTAATCAGTTTTTTGCAGAAATAGGGGTTTATTGTTCTCTTACATATGATGTTATTGTTATAACATTGAACTTAACAATAAACACCTGGTGTGTCGGAAGATGTGCTTGTTCTGTTTAATTTATAAATTCCATATTACAATATATTTCATCTAAGCAGAAACGAAATCCGTAGTCAAGTCACTAAATGGTTAAGGTCGTTGACTTCGGACAAATTGCTCCTCACCGCTTTGTGTTCGAATCCCGAGATGTTCGGAAGCTAATGCAGCTAGCCCATTTTACCACGGTGGTTCTTCTAAGATTCCTGCACGTGCTTGAATTAATGCACAGAAAGAGCACCTGAGGTCTTCCTTCACCAGTAAAGTTGTAAAATAAACAATAAAAATATCTACGTGATAATCACACCATGTAACCTCATTAGGGAGAGAGCCCCGGTTGTAAAGATAACTGGATAACTAATTACCATGGTAATAAGAATATATAGTTATGTCTACGGACCTCAGCTTAGGCAGTCTGACGTTTGACTCTTCCTGTTTTTGAGCTTTGATGGACGGCAATACACGCATTTCATTCGTATTTCACCTCTATTTGCATTGCATCTATTGAAGCTGTCAGTTACTAGCAAAATACAAGCTACATGCAATGGCACACAAGCGATTGTGAATTAACTTTTTATTGCAATGCACGTGTGTCCATGTACATAAACTAATATACATTATTATAATGTACATAAAAATGTGCCCCATTTCAATATTACACGCAAAGTCCGTGCTGAAATTAGCAAGACAAATATAAGGGCTCTCTTACGTTTTCATTCAGCTTACAACAGGTATGAGACTCTTTAACATGTTTCATTCATCTGATAACATATACGGGCCTCTCTTACATTTTTCATTCATATGGCAACATATACGGGCCTCTCTTACATGTTTCATTCATCTGGCAACAGGTATGGGTCTCTCTTACATTTTTCATTCATCTGGTAACATATACGGGCCTCTCTTACATTTTTCATTCATATAGCAACATATACGGGCCTCTCTTACATTTTCATTCATCTGGCAGCATGTACGGACATCACTTACATTTTCAATTCATCTGGCAACATGTGTGGGCCTCTCAATATTACATTTTTCATTCATCTGGTATCATGTACGGGCCTCTGTTTTATATAGCATGTACTTAAGTATACATAAGAAGTACAATTAAGCTTGCAATTGTCACGTGATTACATTAAATTGATTAATTGTGATCTACGTCCAGTTGATATTCAATTTAGTTTATCGCTGACCTTAACTAACAGTAGAGCCTAATTTCTTGTTAACCTAGTTTCTTATCTCATGATTTGTTCTATGACAAATATCATTAATTGTTCTTCCGGCTTGAAATTTAATTAGCAATAAAAGGTATATATTTGTTTGTTAATACATTAAATTTTATGATTGATAAATTTTGTCTCTACCTTTGAATAGGTGTTGCCTTTCTAAATTACTTTATTTTTTAGTGAAACTGAATAACTAGTATTTAGTACGAAAGACCGGTAAGGACTTTTTAACTTGATGAATTCCCGATTTCAGCTTCATGAATTCCCGATTTCAACGTCATGAATTCCCAAATTTCAACGTCATGAATTGCCGATCTCAACTTCATGAATTCACGATTTTAAACAACACGAATTCAACTTACGTTTAGAATTCACGATTTCAACTTCACGAATTCACGATTTCAACTTTGTGAATTTACGATTTCAACTTCATTCGTGAAGTTGAAAGTTGAACTCGTGAATTCTTGAGGTAGAAATCGTGAATTCATTATGTTGAAATCGCGAATTCATGAAGTTGAAATTGTGAATTCACGAAGATGAACCCGAGAATTCAAGAAGTTGAAATGTCGCCACAGGTCTTCCGTAATGTAGGTCAAGATATCAGCTATATATCTGTGTGACATTTAAAAAAATTGTGTTTGGTTGCCATGTATTCATATCTATAACTGTACAGTTAACAGTTAAAACTTATTGTTTTATTATTTTCAAAATCTTAAGTCTTTTAATAGTTGGCATCACATTTGAGTGAACCTTGACCCCAGATCGAATGAAAATTTGAAAAGCAAGGAGGTGAACATGGTGAATTTGGTGATAGGGAAAAGCAAACATTTGAACTTGAATTCAACTGAATTACTAATCCAATTTTCTATAACGACACAGCTATAAGACAAAATATCCGTCGGTTATTCTCTGAAGTTTTACCACACACTTGTGAATGTAGAAAGCGGTCGGTCACTGACGGAGAAATTACTGGTTAGTTATCCAGGAAAGTCTGTTAGGTAGATCGACTGCCGAGATATGGCTAAAATCTGGGGGAAAATCGGCACGAAAAGCCCTAACAATTTAAAACAAAGAAGACATAATGATAGTTAATTAGATGTGGTGATAAGGGCAATTTTGATGGACAAACCTTCTGTGTGTCCCTAGGTTTAGCAAAATCACCTGTTCATGAACATATATTGAGATATTATTTTATTTTACTCTGCTTCGTCATTCAAAACTGTTCCTGTCGTTATTTTAAAACAGAATTTTTATAATTCAACAAAGCAGATAAATGTCAGACATGAGAAGTTCGTTAGTTTTGCTGCTCATTTTGCTGACGAAGAACGTACGCTGCGATTATTCCTGCCTCTGTTCGTACCAAGTAGAGTTAGAAATTTTTGATAAACCTGACCCGGCCTCTAATGTTGACGGTTATATGTACGAGTTTGACTGCAAACCATCCTACCCTGTAGCTGGCCTGGATAAGGCTTACAGGGCAATCGGGAACGAAGGGAAGGTAAGGTGATTGTTCAAACCACCCAAACCATTAAAGGCACATTACGCCTAAAAACGTTTCTATTTTTTTATTTCTTTGGGGAAAAAAAGCAAACAGGAGTTTTATAACATGAAAATGATAGTTTTAGAGCTTTTACATCTAATTACCTGAAGAAAGTACCCCTGAATGTACAATTAATCGTTATAAAAGTAGCAATATATAAACAAAGAAGTATGTTGACTTCCATACATAATTCGTAATCGCTGTAACTTTATTAATTGTCAAAAAGCAAAAGATGGCCATGTAATTGACCAATGAGTAACTATTTGGGAGCTGTAATAGGGCACCAAAAATGAACAGATTTTTTTTGTTTAAGTAAAAAAGATAAAAGCATTTCCTCAGACTTAATGGGCCTTTAAACTTTTGTTTATAACTTAAAAGTTATCACTCATTTGCGCATTCTGTTTTAGCTATGATAAAAAGAACGCTTGATTATCAATTCTATACGAATTAAAGTGTTATTGCCGACGATGGCACGTGAGGAATTAATTCAGTGACGGCGGTAACCATATTTAAAAAGCTTTGAAAACAATGAAGAATACCGGGTATTTACATAAGCCTTGATAATTTGAAGCACAGTCCATTATTAATTTAGACAGAGACATAGATACCATCTCTTGTTTGGAATTTTAAGTGAACAATTTGTAGTCACTTTTTAACAAACATCATTATTATTATTTGAAGATGCTGAATTTATCATCATTATTTATCGTTATTTAGATTGGCTATGTCCAATACTCGTCCAACATCCAAATACAAACATGCCAAGGCAGCATTCCGGACATAGATAGAGGTAATAACAAAACAAATACAATGTATATGGTAAGATTGATTATATTGGTCTAAATTTTTATTTTCCGAGGATTTTGACAGACCTGTCTTTGCACGTGGTGCTGAAGCAATGGCGTAGTGGTTATTTAGTGTCTAAACCCAGGGATCATGGGTTCGAGCCATATATTATGTTCAATGGGTAATTACCATATTCCTCGTATGACACCAGTACTGGTTAGTTCCAGGGAGCGGACTTGACAGTGGTTCAGAAAATATTTTAACGTTTAATACACTGGTGCTTGTTTTACCTAAATAGCAAAGTCTACGAAAAACGAATATAATTTATGTTTCATATGAAAACATATATTATGTTATATAATGTACCATCGTACACAAATATTACGTATATACTACATTCAATATTTACGGATACTGGTTTACGGTTACCGAGGATGATAATGTACCTATTTATTATATACTCAATATAAGAACAGATGTATAAAAAAGATAAAAAATAGTAATAATAAAGTGCCTCCAAAAACTAAAAAATCAAGATTGCTCCTAGATCAATTACAATATTGTAACTGTATACCTTGCAAAATAGTCCGAACAAACATTGGAAGGGCTTGAACCCGATTGTTTTCGTAGAAGCATCATAAAATAATTATTGACCGGTGGTCAACGCCACTGACTTTAAAATACCTGCCTCTCACAGTTGTTGGTTGGAATCGCCAAGGGACTTTGGATTTCCATGTGTTAATTATTAAGTTAGCTTACGGAAGATTGGTGGTACTACTTAAAGGTAACAGGGGCGTCCGTTGCAGAGTGGTTAAGGTCTTTGACTTCAAACCACTTGCCCCTCACCGCTTTGGGTTCGAATCCCGACCAGGACTTTTGATTCTTTTATATGAGGAAGCTATCCAGCTAGCTTACGGAACGTCGGTGGTTCTACTCAGGCGCCCGTTTGTGCCTGAAATAATGCACGGAAGGGTACCCGAGGTCTTCCTCCACCAGTAAAGCTGGAATGTCGCTGTATGACCTATACTGTGTCGGTGTTACGTAAATAATAATAAGTCACTAGCATGAAAACGTCTAAACCTTTCCATAACAATCAAACATGAATAAAATTGTGAAAATAAAGAAACGTTAAATGCAAATCATTTGTCAAGAAAACTACTGCAATATTATACAACATAATTTTCTTGTAAAATTTCAGTCAAAACAACAATGGGTGTTACTTTAACTACTACACAAGCCACGGCAACAACAACAGTAACAGCAGCAACAACAACAACACCTATCGTTACAACAACAATGCCGTCAACAAGAGTAACAACAGTTCCAACAACAACCACCACAGTTTTACTAACGACATTAACAACACAACCACCACCAACAACAACAAAAATGACAACACCAAGCTCGACTACCACCACACCTATCCCCTCGACGAGAGTAACAACGTTGCCGAGTATGTATACCCACAAAATATTAGCTATTTCTTAAAATGTTTAAAGTGGTATTTATGTTATGTCCATCTGAGTGTATTTGGTTTGTAGACGGTTAAAAGTCAAAATAAGTTTACATTTTGCCATAATTCCTTTCAATTTTATAAACTCATGTGACCCAAGGGAATTCTGCAAGAATACATCGGAATTTACCTGTAAGGTTCAATTTATAAAAAAGTGAAGGAGCCTTTTTTATATTTTATGCAGATTTATATTTAATCCTCAATGTTTTCACAATTTTTTATTTTGTAATCTCATGGAAATAAAATAGAGCAAAACTCTTCGGCACCATTTTCATATGGCGTGCATCTTGAAAATAACGATGATGTCAATTAAAATATTTTTAAGCTCATGGAAATAAAATAGAGCAAAACTTGACACGATTTTCAATAGCATTTACTCTAAATTTGTACCAATCATTGATTATGATTTGTTAGTTGTAATTTGATTAGTTGATTAATTAATATTGAATTATTATGAATCGATGTAATTGATTAATGAATGAATGGACTTGATTGATAAATTGACTAATTGATTGATTAGGTGATAATTGATTAATTGATTGATTAATTAGTTGATAAATGAGTTGATTGATTGAATTTTTGATTGAATGATTATTTCACTGATTAATTGATTGATTGATTGATTGATTAGTTGACTGACTGACTTATTGGTTGATTAATTGCTTGACTGATTGATTTCAGAACCAGCTAATTCATGTCCTGCTGCGGTCAACCAGAGAAGCAATCCTCAGAATATTTTCCAACACGGAAACATCTGTTACGAATACGTGGCCTTGCAGAAAGCGTGGATAGAGGCGAAGAACTACTGTAACAATTCGGGAGGCCATCTTGTCTCCATTGAAAATCAAGACCAGCAGAATTTTGTATCTAGCATGTTATCACAGCTGTCTGTGACTGATCCTGTCTGGCTCGGACTTAATGACAGAGTCAACGAGGAGCAGTGGGAGTTAGATACAGGTAATGTTGTGTGGGAGGGGGGGGGAGGTGTTAGGGGAAGGGATGGGGGAGTTGCTCTATATCCGAGATACCATATTTGGATTCTCATTTCATTTAATATTTGAACATGAAGAATCATTTTTTTTTTGCGAATTAACTCTAAAAAGAGTCATATACAAGCTTTCAAAATACATACAGCTTAAAGCATGATATAATAAGATGATAATTCAAGAGCTATTTCATTTGTCATTTTTGCTCAATAAGATATTTTGTAAATAGTTCTATTATTTTAAACACGTTGTCAATTTATTCATATTAAAATGTGCCGGAACTATATCAAATTTGCACGTGAATACCTTAACGACACTGTTGGCTATTTATTTATCTATATGACTGTTAAAGGGAGACAACCTATACGCTACTTAAAAACTTTTAATGAAATGTGGGAAACATTTAACCATTAGAACAGTTATAGCTATTTTGTATTTGCATGGACGTCTATTTACCATTTTGTATACGCTTTGCTTTCTTGAATACATATTATTTCAACTTCAGCGCTATTTATTTCTGGTGATCAGCATCTTATATGCTTAAAAATCCATTATCAAACTATCTAATAATAAGTATAAACATTTCTTTGCTCCTTTTAAAGAAAAAAGTCACTTCTGAGGCATTATGCGCCTTAAATCAGCTATCATACAACTTAAAGTAACTGTACAGGCCAAATGTCTTCATACTTCATCATTTTTTTTATTTTTCGTATGTAGGGATACCAGCTGTTTACACGAACTGGGAACCAGGAAGGTTTATTGACCAGTATCACGACGAGGAGGATTGTGGGTTGATGATTCCTTTTCACAAACACCGATGGGATGACGTTAACTGTAATGGGATTACGTACGGTGGATATATTAGTCACTCATGGATATGCCAATACATGTAAGACTGTAAGATTTACTTTTTTTTTTGCTCATTTTAGACACTTCTGCTTTTTTGAATACATTTGCTACTGTAGGACAAACTTTTCACTCATTGCTCAGTATTGGTTTAAACCAAGAACGATTCGAGAATGTGTCTAACAGCCTATAAGCTTATTACTTCCTACACGATCGAAGTAATATAAATTTTGTTTGAAAGATCATGCGAGCTTATAGATATTTTTCAGCAATGAAGCCAAGACTTTAGAAATCAAAGTTATATATTTCCCCGGTATGATTGGACATTTTTACTATATTAACATATATTTGATGTTTATTTCCAACTTCAGGTAAAATACACACCTACTGTCTGGAGATGTGCCATGCTTCAATTTGTCGTTTTAATGTCTGTGAGATTTTAGTGCACAGTAAAAGATCTTTTCGTAAAACTTTTTTTTTTCATTTACTCTGCTGTTGTACATGTACTTAAACTTTTACTAATGTACAGCTTGGTTGAACAGATTAATAGTTTAATATCATCGATATATTTGTCACTAATTAATCGCTAATAGCCTTAATAATAAATTATCACTTCAAGTTACATTAAAACGAAGCAATCTTTTTTTATATTAATTGTTTTGTTCCCTAGAGCTGCCACAGTGCATTCATATTGCCACTTCTTGTACGACGGCGCTTGTTCTAGCGATATCAAATAGTTACGTCATTTCTGAAAAAAGGAATTAAATATTACGGGATACATGATCGTAAATAAAAAAATATTCTATAAATTTTAGATACACAGATGATTTTCTACGTTCTATTAATTTTCTTATGAAAGTAAGAATAAATTACCCCTTAACCACGCTTGTCCATCTGTTAATATAGACATAGTCATTCATCATTTATAGGAGAAAATTCAAAATGTCAAATGGCTGAACAGCTAACATTGACGGCATAAACGTGCCGGCTGATCTTTATCCGCCTTGACCGAAAGGTTATTTGTCAGAATATGTTGCTGTCAGCAGAAAAAATAAATGTTAAGGTAGGGTTTGTGTATTTATGAATTTACTCGTAGTATGTAAACATTTATGACAGTGATTTGACAGTCATTCCCATTTAGACTTTCAATATACTCATTTATATCAATACTAGGTTATTTGCTTCCTCCTGCTGCAGATATTCAGTTTGATACCTATAACATTATGTTACTTACTGTACTGGCACACCCACGGATAAGACTGTACGTCAAATAAAATAGATGTACAGGCTGTATTTTTCCAAACCCCAGATTTCGCATCCATAAGCACGCAATCTTGGCTGTCTGTGAAAGCCGGATTAATCAATATACCTTCGTTAAAACTTGACTTGCTTATCTTCGCTCCTGAAATGCAATTATGGTCAAGATATTTTTATATTTTATATAATTATATAAATTTTTATATATAAGTGTTAATTTAGATGGCTAATGCGTTAAAGTCATGTATGGAATATATTTGTAAAGCTTTTCAAAACTGCTCCTGGAAAACTAAATTCAAATAAAGGGCTGTACGAAAATCAAAGTAATTGGTTTTTTTCGACCATCATTTCTGTCAAATCAATATATTTATGGCAACATTTGCCATTTACAATTTTTACATTTGACTGACCGATCTAATACTTGGAAATTTATGCTTTAAACATTTTGTAAAAGAAATCGCCAACCATTCACCCATTCCCACGTTCCCTCTTGATGTAGATCGTGAAGTCCTATCCAAACATCAATATGATACTTTGTTGATGATGTTAAATCAAAAACACGTGCTTGAACTTCTTTATTCTGTATAACGGCAAGTTCTCCGCCACGTGAAACACAGTCCTGTTGCGCTAAATAAAAATAACAATGGCTATTTGATTAGGACATATATACAAACCTGTCTATTTATGAGATAATAAGTCACATATCCATCAGAGAATAAGTGATATATCTACGAGAGAATAAGTCATAAATCTGCCAAAGTAAGTCATAAATCTACGAGATAGTAAGTCATTTATCTATGAGAGGATGAGTCATATGTCTATGAGAGAATAGCTAGGTCGCATATCTATGACAGAATAAGACATTTATCTATGACAGAATAAGTGAATAAGTCATATCTATGTGAGAATGAGTCATATATCTATGTGAAAATAAGTCACATATCTATGAGGGAATAAGTCATATATCTATGAGAGAATAAGTCATATATCTATGAGAGAATAAGTCATATATCTATGAGAGAATAAGTCACATATCTATGAGAGATAAGTCACATATCTATGAGGGAATAAGTCATATATCTATGAGAGAATAAGTCATATATCTATGAGAGAATAAGTCATATATCTATGAGAGAATAAGTCATATATCTATGAGAGAATAAGTCACATATCTATGAGAGATAAGTCACATATCTATGAGGGAATAAGTCATATATCTATGAGGGAATAAGTCATATATCTATGAGAGAATAAGTCACATATCTATGAGAGATAAGTCACATATCTATGAGGGAATAAGTCATATATCTATGAGGGAATAAGTCATATATCTATGAGGGAATAATTCATATATCTTTGAGGGAATAAGTCATATATCTATGAGGGAATAAGTCATATATCTATGAGGGAATAAGTCATATATCTATGAGAGAATGAGTCACATATCTGTGAGAGAATAATTCATATATTTATGAAGGAATAAGTCTTATATCTACATGTATCAGATAATCAGTCATAAATCTTTTACAGAATAAACGTCTGAAAAACGTTCGAAGGTAAGCTGCATAAATTGACGTCTTGTCGTAGTCCAACTTAAAGTATCTCATTAGATGGGCTTATGTAATTAAAAACCCGGTGATTTTTTAAAAAATATCACACGTTAATGATAACTTGTTAAATTAAATCAGATGTGTTATTAAAAATCTTACCGTCGAACCAATTGCCTAACTTGAGGCGAAGTTCATAGCAATAATTTCCATACTGTCGGAATAAAGGGTACGTGTACGTCGTCCTGTTGTACATTGACATTGCCAGGTTTTTGTAGGGGCACAGATCTACCCGATCTGAAACTGTATAACCGTTTATATTTGTATGTGTTATACCAATATAAGTTATCAGATTGTTCTACAAAGATAAAGTAAAAATTTAAGATTTTTTAAAAAGATATTTGAACAGGTTATTGTGCAATTTGTGCAAGTTTATAAAATTAAGGAATAATGAATTTATGTAATAAATAAGCCTCAATGTCAATAGTTATTTATCACATTATATGACATTATTGTTGAAAATTATTTTGTTAAAAGCCATATTTATGAGTAAAATATATGGCATCTTAGAAATATAAAATCTGCACTTATTTACCCATGGGTTTCTCCGTAGAACCAGAACTAGACAAAATGATAGTTATTGGCGTGGAGACAGAGGTTGTTTTCAATGAACTGGTATAATTGGAAGGAGTTAAGCTTGGTTTTGCAGTAGAAACGTTATGAAAATTCGATGAATAAATGCTAGGACTGAATGCAGTAAAATTCGAAGATGCTTGTTTTGTACTTGTCATTGCCCATTCTTGTGTTGTAGATGATTGTGCTATGGGTGTTTTCTCTGTCTCTGGAGTAGATAAAATTGTTGATAAGAGGTTGCCGTTTGTAGAGGACTGGCTCACTGCATTTGGGGAAGAAATGGAAGAATTTAAAGAACTTGAGAATGATATAATTGGTGTGTAAGTCGTTGACGATTTGTTGGAAGGTATTGTTTGTCTTGTAGACGTGTGATTTGTAGGCAAATGAGAAAGCAAAGAAGAATTTTCCATTGGAAATTTGGAACTTAAATATGAGCTGTTTCTAGTTATTATTTCAGAGGGAGTTGAAGCCGAATTTGGAGGTGGCGTCGTTTTAATTGTAATCGTGTTTACTCCAGCTGTACTACTAAATGATGATTTATTTGTTGACTGATACATTTGAGAATAATTAGTATAACCTGGTGATGTGCTACGCTCATTTGCGCTTACAGCAGTTGAATGGTTTGAACTTTTTAGAGACGTTGACACGACGCCTGCTGTCAAAAATGAGGACAGTATTGGCTTAAGTGAAGTAAATTCTGTTTTTGACGTTAAAGTTGAGATCGAAGATAAAGTTGTATTAGAGGGTAAAGTTGAAGCCCTTGTGTTGGACGACGAAGTCGAGGCTGTGGATGATAAAGTTGTTTTAGACGGTAAAGTCGATGTTAAAGATAAAATTGACGTTAAAGGTAAAGATGAGTTCGTATATAACATTGTTGAAGACGTTAAAGTTGATGCTGTTGATAAAGTTGTTTTAGATGGTAGAGTTGAGGACGCGGGTAAATTTGTTTCAGACGATAATGTTGATGTCATAGATAAATTTGTATTAGATGAAGAAGTTGGGATTGAAAGTAAAAAAGTACTTAAGTTGGATGTTGAGGAAGGATAACTTGATCGAGATAAAGATGTAGTAGTAGTAAAACTGAGGGTTGTAGAGGAAGATAAATTTGTGGATGAAGAACTTGATAAAGCTGAAGTTGAGGCATTTGAAGATGATGTTGTGGTAGAAGGTACAGCTGTAGTAGATCTTGTAGTTGTTGTGAGTGGTAAAGTTGTCGGACTTGATTTTACTGTTGATGTCAACACAGTTGTTGGTGTATGCGTTGTAGATGCTGAAAAAATGGGTAAACTTTATTTTTATAATGTTATTAAAAATAGTGTTGTGTATCCTAAACATTTATAAACTTTTTGTTCAGTTAAAAAGCGCTCAATAAAAATCAATTTAATAAGAAAGAAGATTTTCTACACGAATGAATGTAATTCAATGATATATTTATGAAATTTTACGTTCCAAAAAAAACCCAGTGATCTCAGTGTGTTCTAAAGTACGGCGTTTGTGAAACTTAGATTTTAATTTCTTGACTTTCTGACACTCTCTTTGGGGTTTTTGGTAACACCGACACTGTTCTGGTCATATGTCGACATTTCTGCTTTCCCTGTGAAAGAAGACCTTAGCTGTCCATCAGTGCATTATTTCCGGTAAAAACTGGCACTTGAGTAGAACCACCTAGCTGGATAGCTACCCTTTATTAAAGATCGTAAAATAATTCAAAGTCCCTGCCACACACAGTTTCAAGAGCCCGATGATTTGAAGACAGCAACCATAAATCACGATGATAACACAAGCCCTTGTTGTAATTGATTACGCCATGTCTGCCATAAGGTCAAAATATTGTATATTTCTAAAATGAAATATTCTACCTATTTTATCCGCAGTTGGAACACTTCCAGGACAGGTTTGAATTCTCACTTGGCCATTTGTTTTAACGAACCCCAACTGAAAGATATTTTTCTGTTTCAAAATATACCAGTGTGAAAAGATCTATATAGCTATTTAGTCGTTTAAGTCACCGAGCGTTGATGAAAATATATTCGATTGAAAAACTGTAGTTTGTCAACACAATGCACCAAAAGTGTCGTCATATCAAAGATATCAAAGTGCATGAAGTCAGTCAATTTTTCATAAATATACTGTAAAAACTTAATTTATCAAAACCAGGACCTCTTGTGTGAGCCAGCAATGAAAATACAATATGCAAATGTATATAATTTTCACTGTGTTGTTGAATTTCATCAAACTGAATTGATTGCTTTAACATAATTGCAACGATTACAAAAGAGGGACACTTGCACTTTAATAGGGGAGACAATTTCGGTTCAATGACAATTATTATAACATATATCTCAACGCGGCAAAACATGAAATGCAAAATCATTACATTAGTCTTATCCACATCGTCGGTTACCCACGGTTGACTAGCATGTAAATGGTTCGGCCGTGGGTATCCGAAGATGCCTTATCCGAATAACTTCTATTGAATTGGCTTTCTTCCGGGACGATTGAGAAGTCATACCGGCTGAAATAATACGGAGTTCAATTTCACGAAAATTGTTTGATAACAGTTGCGTACAGTGTATTTTATTTCGATCTTATTTTTTCAAAACTTGTACAGTAGACATACAACTATAATTCTTACCTTTGACCTTATTCAATTAACGAACATTTGTTGCCGTCTCAATTTAAAAAACAAAAGGAACTTCTGCAATTTTCAATAATGAAACTATAAATATATTGTAATCAATGCCTATTAGGCTTTCAAAATCTACGTTTTGTTATGGCAACACAAAGAAAAAAATCATAAAACAATTAAATATTGTCAAATCTTACTTGATGTTCAAATTCTATGGAAGGCCACTCTGGATTGCTTTCTGATAAAAGATTCTTGCAGTCGAACTCGTACATGTAGCCTATTACTTGAGCTCCCAAATCAGGGCTAGTATAGATAGGTAATTCAACATTATAGTTACAGAGACACGTATAATCACCATAGCAACACGTGACACAGAAGCTACTTATAATAATAATCCAGCGAAAATCCATCTTAAGTCAACTTAGTAATAATAAATCATTATGTAGTATATACAAATGAACTGAAATGTGTGTCAATGTACAATAGTAACCCTTACTGACAAATAATGATTATATAACGCACCGTTATCTGTTAAACATATATACTCCTCATGTTTGAAGATTACCGAATAATTGTGTTTAAATCTATGTTAAATAAATAAATAAACTCGTTGACAAAATTATCTGTATTATATGCAGACGTAATCTGATGTAAATTTATGATAAAGACTTAAGAAGTTTTAAATATTTATATTTATTATACTGAAACCTAGCAAAGCTCAAAACAAAGACATTTTCATGTGAAGTACAAATTATTAGACAAAGAACCCAACTTCCATACTTTGTTTCCCTTAGAGCATCAAGTCATGATAAGCATGTAGAAACAAGCGTCTATTTGTAAACTAAAAAATATATAGAGAATATTCAAGTGTTTTTCAATAAATTCAGGATTTCTTTTCATCGAGTGGTATGAAAATATAAATAGTTCAAGAGTAGCCACGAATGAAATATGATAATTTTCCTACCACAAAACATTGAAATATCTGTTTATGATATACATTTTTCTCTTTTTAGACATAATTATTTGAAAGACGTACTTCCCCTGAAATTTTGTTTAGAAAAAAGTAGTCCGGCAAGACACCAGTGAAAACGCATTTTATTTCATCAATATTTCTCAATATTTCATTCATAAATATATCAAATATTCTACATTATTGTAAATTACGGTTAAAATTTCATGATCTAATATATATGTTAAGGTGACAATGTAGTCAATTATCACTAAAATGCCTGAAAATAGATTTTTTGCTCTGTAGTTTGTTCAGACCGCCCTGAACACCTTCTTAAAAATGTGTTTTTAAAGTTTTTAAGCAAAACCTACACATTTTATCTGCTAAAACGTCCGGGAGAACCTTTTCCCCTGACAAAAAGAATGGCAATTTGTTAATACGAAAATGCTTAAATGTTCGGATTTCTTGAAAAAGGGTTTATCAGAAAAATATTTGTTCGTAACATGGACTTTTTTTCTTGCAAAATAAACTACTCCTGGTGGGTTCCTCAAATTTGTATATCGCTATTTTTTCGAAAGAAGTGGAGCGAAAGGGCAAGAGGCGGAGCTAAGAACTCGATGTTGAGTACAAGTCGATAATAAGATGCGTAGTTAACGGATTTCTAACTAAAAGCTTTAGAAGTTAAAGTTAAAGAATTCAAGTTTTCTTTTTGTTAAAGGTATATAGTTTTCCAAGAAATCCAAGTGCAGACCCTCTTCATGGTTTTAAAGTTCAATATTCAACAAATCGTCGTTCACTTCGTCAGTCCAACAACCAACATATACTCAAGTGTGAAAACGCCACTTAATATATCCTTGCGTTAATCATCGAACCTTTCGCGAAAAATTGCGATAAAGATATTTAAGGAATCAACTAGGAGTAGTTTATTTTACAAGAAAGACACATTTTTGTTATTGGTAGATAATTCTTATATATTTTTCCAAGAAATCCGAGGTGCAGAGCGTTTTCATAGTTTGAAAGTTCAATATTCAATAAATCGTCGTTCACTTCGTCAGTCCAATATTCCAACATGGAAATACATTGATCGATTAAAAAAAAATCTTAAATGGATTAGACGACACAAATATATACAAAATTCAAATCGGCATTCCGCTCTTTCTCGGAAATGCGGTTCGGTTGTTTTTCAGGAAACTAGTTTTAATATAGGGACATGTATGTTCTTATGTATCCGTTATTACATGGCCCTTGGACACAAGATGATAGTATATCCTAGATTTGCCATAAAAAAATAGATTTGCCATAAAACCGTTAGCTAAATAGGGAGAACCTAGGACTGTAAATAGGTCAACACGGGTTTCATACCTGGCGGCGAAGGTCACTTTCGTTGGGATTGATCGTGAAATTCTTTCCATGTACAAAAACTTATCAATTCCTTAAGAAAGTGAAGGCAACAAGTGCTGGTAAACTGTTTCACAAGCCTGACCAGGATTTATGTAAAAATCGGGTTTTTTTATGGCTCATAGCATATCTATAGCGGAACAAACCAGTTTTATGAATGTTTTATAGGATGTAAATAAAAATAGAAAAACATTACATTTTATTCTGACTAGTAGATTTTACACGCTTAACCAGCTTCGCTGGTTGCGGAACGAACGTGCAACCAAGTAGAACCATCGACCTTACTCAAGCATACTGGATTGCTTGAACACATAAAAGTATTCAAATTCCCTGTCGGGATTAGAACCTAAAGCGGTGAAGGGCAACTGGAATGAAGTCAACAACCTTAACCACTTTTTCACGGAAGTTTTGGTTTGATTAATTTCGATGAAATGCGAAACGTCTCTCACGCTTTTGCTGTACCGGCTTAATTAAACTGTCAGTTTTCAAGACTAAGATATCTTGTAAATAGTTTTATTACATAACGTAATATGTGTTACAGCAAACAGTTCTTTTCTACACATCATCCGTATGGTCCAAAGTGTTGGACTAGCCAACAACAAAACCGGGGAGAATCTTGTCAATTGAAGGTAATGCAGAAGACACATCTGAAAGAAGAAAAGACGTGTTCGATAAATGTAAACACCATGCTACAGGTTTCGACTATAGTACGATTGAGGTTACTGATCCCCTGTAAATAACTGAAACACAAAAACGATTGATTGATTGATTGATTGATTTGTTTGCTTGTTTATCTATTTTACGATACACTGTCATGTAAGCGTCCACCGATGTATGGACTTGAGACATTTCTGAAAAAGGAAATATCATTTGAGTAGGATTTTAAATTTATCCCGGATCGCAATATTTTGGGGGTTTAGGGGCCAAATTTTTTTTATTTTCTTTTTAAAAGAGTTTTTTTTTCCCGGCCATATTACGAAAGCTTTAAATTATTTTTTTAAAGAAAAAAAAACTTTAAATTTTTTAAAGCCCATTTATACGGAATAATTTAACAATACAAAATTTAAAAAATTGCACAATCTAGTAATTACAGTAAAAAATAAGGCGTTTAAGTGTAGTTGACGCATTATAAACGGTTGTGGAGCTAGTTTATATAACAAATAACAGTATAACCTGTGAAAAGTTTTATACCGGATTTGTTATACTGCAAAATTACCTAAGAAAGTTGCTCAACGGAAAGTGCCTTTACTATAACAACTAGAAATGTGTCCATAGTACACGGATGCCCCCACACTCAACTGTTGTGTCAAACTTATGACTCTTGATCAAATAGTTTTGACCTTCATGTGACACAAGTTGAACACTAAAAATCTTTTACTAAGTCCAGGGCAAGAAATTTACAAATACTGAATAAATCCATAGGGTCATAATTACACATGCTGAACAACATCCTTGTAAACTTTCTGGTTTGCAGGTCAAATACTTTTTGAGCTATTGTATCACCATCTTGGCGGCCATTTTGAATTTTGGGAATTAAATTAATTTGGAGCTTGGGGACTCGATGAAATATGATTGGTAAGATATCTGACTTTTAACATACAAAGTGGTTTGCTTGTAGAATCATCTTTGAGCTACTGCGACACAACATGTGAAGGAACGAACGGCCGAAATGAGAAAGGTAAATCTAAATGCCTCCCCACATAGTGGATGCACAAAAATCACATATTAGAGAGTTACCGAGAAAAAAAGAGCTTTCTAATCAATCGCTTATGTGCATGATTACATTGTAAGTATTTATGCATTGTAGTAATATAATAAGGTTTAAAACAATTGATATGAGTACAATTATATTATTTGTTTGTTTTATTGTGTTTACACCGACACAGTATATGTCATATATCTAGGTTCCAGCTTTACTGGTTGGGTTGGCATTATTTCAGGCACGAACGGGTACCTGAGTACATGTAGAACCACCGACGTTCCGTAAGCTAGCTGGATAGCTTCCTTACATGAAAATATTCAAAGTCCCTGTCGGGATTCGAACACACATCGGTAAGGGGCAAGTGATTTGAATGGCCTTAACCACTTGACAACGGACGCCCCTATAATTTTATTTCAACATGAGTATATACATACTGTATTGGCATATGTATGGGTGTTTTTCTCCAAAACCAGTTCCAAGAAAAAATGTCACACCACATGCTACATCTGTCCATTCCCCGCCTTGTTTAAGGATGACACAATCACTAAGTTTATGGTCGTTTGATGTATGTTGTGTATAATCGCCTTTGAAATTGTTGAATTTATACGGTGCTCCTGTATTGAGTGGAAAAATGTATTATCTAAGGATAATATATTGATCACTTTTAACATTTACATATCTTATTTACGTATGGGATAATTGTTCACAGTTTGAAAAAGAAACGTCAGAAAAAAATCAGTACGAAGCAGTTGGTGTAGTAACTGGTTCAACTAGATCCGTATTAATTCAAAATTTACTTGCAGAAATAGGATGGGTTTCACTTTCAGACAGACGACAAATTCACAACCTAGTTTTAATGTATCAAGGAAAATATAATTTATTACCACAATATCTTATGCAACTTTTTCCACCATTTGTCGAGATGGCTTTAGAAAACCATTATTCATTAAGAAGTAATGTATTACTTTAGTGACTATATACCGAAATTTACTCAAAATCAGTTATTCCATCAGCTATTCAATTACGGAATAATATTCTGACAAATTTTCGCGAATCACAGTCGCTAGCCACATTAAAAACAAGATTAAAACAGTTATATAAACTTCCAGTAGTTCCATTTTTTTCTTATATGAAGATCGTTTCCTCAATGTCCACCAAACCCGAATTAGAAACAATAATTATTTTTTTGGCAACTTAAAATAATGATCTTTTTATTAACCTTTATGCCAAAGCGGCACAGACATCGAAAATGCGGAGCACTATTTTTTCGATGTAAATTATATTATACTATGCAAAGACGTATACTTTTTTTTTAATACAGGTCATTTCATTCCTCTCAGTAGTAAGCAATTATTACACAGTATTGATGGACTTGCAAAAGCCGAAAATAAATAACTATTTCAAGAAGTGCACAAATTATCAAAAGTAGTAGATTATTTACCTAATTTTGTTCATACATGTACTATATTTAGTTCTATATCTAGTTTATTATTATTTATTTTTCCATATTATCTCATTAAAACATTTTGTAATTTTCTTTGTTTTTTGTTGTTTTTTAGGTTAAGCGATTTCTTTTTTACCAGTTTAAATACATGAAACTTACGTCGATTATCATATAAATATCTCAGAATTTCTTAATCCCACAGTCACTAACTATGTTACCACCATTAAGCCAACAAGATATACCTTTAGGGGAGAACCCTAGATAATGTTGGTATAACTTTTGGTCCAACCCTTTTGTATGTACATTATGTGTAAGCTTAAGATAATGATATTAGATTGTGTACATTTATCATGTACAAAATATACAACACAATATTATTAAAACTTAAGACAATAGATAGCTTTTTCCCGCTAGACTCGTTCCCTGCTTAATTCTAAAAAGGCAGCCATCATGGATGGGAACCATAATAGGAAAGGAACCAGAACAATATTCACACATTATTCATCACACAGGTGCAGATATATTTACAAATTGTACATTTAAAATGTTATGGTACATTTTGTTCAATTTGGCCTTTTTTGTTCTAATAAATCTAAAACTGTTTTCGACAAAACACACCTGAATTCCATCTCCACGTGCCTTCATTGGCATTTCCGCTGTCAGTTAAACCTAGCCAGACACTTTGAACATAGTTGTGCTTATTCAAAAATCTCACTAGATAATCTTGTTCGTCTTGATTTAGGACGTGTACCAAATGCCCTGTTGAAACAATGGCACAGTGTCTTTCAGCGTTAATGTACTGGGTAGCTTGATTGACTAGTTCGTAACAAAACTCGCCGTATTGCCCGAGAAATCCATTGAAACGGTTTTACATCTATGTCCTTGACATATTTCGGGCATATTTCTATGTGTCCTGTTTGAACAAAGATTTTATTCGTAATTAAATCACATTATAGGATGACTTAAAACTAAACTTGTAAATATGTTTCAGTTCTGGAAAGTTCAATATTAATGTATAACCATCCTTTAAAACACATCTTGTCATAGAAGGGTATCATTTTTCTAAGATATAAAAGTATGCAATATAAACCAATGTTACTGCGAAATTATAGAAAAATTACTTTCTTGTGATCTGACCTATTCTAATTTTATCAATTTCCAGGCTGGCCATCACTCAATTTTGTCACTTGGTTAACAGAGACCCTTTAACTAATCATTAGCTGTCAAATTTATCCCGATTCTTGAATATAAAGTTCGTTTTTATAATCGACTTGTTTACTGGTTACATCGTGTTCAAATTTATCAAGATTTATTTAATGTTTAGTTCGTTGTTTTACTATCCGCCGTTTTTTCAATGGTTACTTAATTAGTGTTTAGGAGGTGACTGTTGTAGTTTTCGTGTTTTCGCCTGGCGCCCGCGATGCAAAAATACGACATGGCATAAATAAGCCACCATAAATTCTATGGTTTTATTAGTAAGAGTCAATACAAAAGTTTAATCATATGGCGACTATGTATATTGTTATGTCTTTTCCTAATTAATTAAAAAGTAATGTGATAGTATACCTTCTGGGATTCCTGAAGATGGTGTCGTGTTTGCAAGTGTTGTTGTAGTTGATTCACGCGGACTCGTTGACGGTGAAGGCGTTGTATCTGTCATAAGAATGGGCGTGGTTGTTGATTTGGGCGTGGCAGTGGTGCTTGTTGTCGGTATTGTTGTTGTGACCGCGCTAGATTGTACTGTAGTAGGGACAGTTGTGGTAGACGGCGTAGATGTGGTTGTAATCTGTCCAGCTTTTGTTGTTTACTTTTAAAAAATTATATGCAAAAATTTATTAAGTAATGACTAAATGTTTAAATTCATCGATTATATCAGAAAAAATACTTGGGTAGGTGTTTTCAAAATACTACGTAACTTGTGACGTAAATATATTTGACGACAACTTATCATAAAATTTACGTCAGGTAAAATTACGCAGTCGCAGGCCAGTAAATCTGAGAATATACAGTGTTAAAGCATGGTTATTTTGAAAGCTATCATTAATAATAGGTATTGCCATCTTTACCCAAGATTAGTATGAGGTTAAGTTAATGTTATCTACAAGAACAGCCTGGAGAATGTCATCCTTATCGTGACTCGGCATCTTATCTGGTATCTGTTTGAAATGAATCTTTTTTTCATAAAATAAATGGTAAATATCAATAATTGAAAGGATATAATTTTAAGATATAATTTTATCAGATTATACATTTTTTTCCAAAACCTTCAAAGACTTATAGTTATTGCACAAGGAGATTTCTTATACAATTCATCGTGTGTTATAGTTATATGCATTTGTATTCATTGAACTTAAAAAGACTTACATTTGTCTTCATCTGGAATGTCGCCTGGGCATGTCTGTAACTGCACCTGGGCATTCTTATGAATATATGCTATCTGCAATACACAGGAAAAAATAAGTCTTAAAGGCTCATTATGCCACAAATATTCTTTTATTTTCATTCTCAAAAGTTTTTTATTTGTTTTTGATGTCCTGTTATAGTTTCCAAAAGAGTTACATATTGGCAAGCAGGTCAGCATTTTCTTTTTGAGTGGGCTAGTTTGGGCGCCTGTACCATTTCAAAGTGTCACAATGGGTTTATATTTGGCTTGCGTGACTATCAGTGACGAATGTTTCTGTGAATAACAGAGAAGAACCATTCAGAAGCTGTCACTTGAAATTGACCCACTCAAGACATTTTAGTATCCAAATTGCCTCTAAGAATCTCTGCTCATTGGACAGTAAGTGCATTGCAATGATAAATATACCAACCTAAGTTATAACCTGCCTGTTCTTATCAGATAGCGCAATCTGTCATCACTTGCACTGGTAATAAGGTGTGCGTACCGATGTTTAGATTTTTTTTTTACACTTGAGGGTAAATATAATATTCCATCAGCTTCCTATGCAATAACAAAATGTGTACTTTGACAAATGAAAAAAAAATTGTCAGTTAACTTACCTGTTTTTCGTACATGACCTGATAATAGTCTCCGCTGTCCGGACCTGCTTGTGGTTTACAGTCAAATTCATAAAGGTAGCCTATAGGCTGACTAACACCTGGTGTCCCGAGCACATTTTCCTCCACGTTGTAGTTACAGACACAATCATAATCAGTCAGCACGGGAACCACGAGCAAGGGAACAAATAAAACCCTGAAACTATTCATAAAAAGGGGTTGACAGGAATGGAGATATGTCGAGAACGATGTGAACACAAAAAGAATAACTGGTAAAAAAATCACTGAGCTGGTTTGATTCAGTATGTTCATTACAGAGACCATATATATGCCACTTCACTCAAGCACCATAACACCGACTCGAACAATATCTATTTTGTTGTTGTTTTTGTTGTTGTTAGGTTTTACGTCGAAGGGCATTATGGCGTTATCTTCGTGCATTATTTACGGCACGCACGGGGACCTGATTTTTGCAACGACGTTCCGTAAGCTTCCTTACATGAAAAAATCCAACGTCCCTGGTTGGATTGATCCCACGTCGATGAGCGGCACGTGGTTAAAAGCCAATGTTCTCGCCCTCAAGGCTAATTTATGTCAATGTGCTGACATGACGTAATTCGCGTGTAATTTAATTTGGAGTACAGGTTCAGATATTCTATGTTTACCGATATATAATTGCATGACTTATAAAAAAGGAAATATATTGAATAAAATGCATGTGAATCATATAGCAAATAAACAGAAATGCTTTGATGTACGTATTCATTCATTAGATATACATATATATGGCACCATTATATGTCGCCACAACGCTATAAGTCGCACTTGCCGCTTAATGTCGCACATTTGTCGCTTAATGTCTCAAAATATTTTGACGTTAAATGTCGTATTGACGACGTTTAATCTCGCACCATTTTCTTTTACCGTGAAATGTCACAAGGGATACCGTTAAATATCGCAAATATCTAAATTTGTTTTAACGATATCTATCAGATAGGAAAGAATTTGCTGGGATGTACAAAGTAATTGGTTGAAATTTAAGTCATCTTAGGCGGTATTATAAATTAACGAACACACTTTTTGCAAAGAGTCCAGTCCCTTGGTGGAAATACGCATTTGTATGCATGTTTTTCACTTTCCTTACAACATGTCCTCGATGCGTGTACATTTGTATGTGCTCGCAGGATCGGAAATCTCTAATAAAATGACAATTTGGTACCGAACCGTCTGGTCCAAAATTTTACTGATTCCAAAAAAACCCTGCTTAATTCGTAATATTAATAAGGAGTTTAGGACTTTATTACTTCTTAATAAAAGTTATTAAACCATAATTAGAACCTAGTTACTTTTTTAGGAGTTATCAAAGAATAATTAGGACTTATAAAAACCCTCAGTACAACATTGTTAGTCACAGTTACAACTAATTAGATGTTTTTACTCATAAAAAGGAGAAATGAACCAAAATATAACTCGAAATAAGGAAATGAAAAGGCCTAACTAAAATATTATTAGGAGTTGAGATATGAAATCTGAATAACATATAGGTTTTTATAAGGAATATATATGGGAAAAAATCGGGACTTTCATTTTGCTTCGACACATCGAGAAAATCGACTAATCGAAGTTCGACTCATAGAAGTTCTACTGTAGTTCTTTCCAATACCAGTGAGGAGCTTCAAAAGCCTTAAAATGAAACAAAAAACCTAAATTCGTAACTTCTGATATATATTTTATGGTAAAAAAAAACATAGAAAATTTATATTCCTGTAAAACTCATAATGAGGATATGCAGAATTCTCAAAATATTATGTTATTGAAGAGAGATTTTGAAATGTTTGTAAAACGGTCGTTTTTTTCTGTTATCTTCTGGAGGTCATGCAGCTGCTTTAAACGCCACGCCAACACTATTTGATAGTTCACTACTCTGACCTAGTAGTTGCAAACTATATACTTTAATTAATCAATGGTCTTAACATTCTAATTGTAAACAAAAATGACAATTATTTAAAGTGAAGTGGTCTATGATGGAATTGTTTTCCGAATTATACGTTTCTGTGGTTTTTATCAATATTTGAACTGCATGTTTTCTTGAAAAGTTCCTATTGAAAAACCAATCCACTTTATAAAGTATTCTTTGAGCCGTGTCACGACAAAACCAACATAATGGGTTTGCGACCAGCATGGATCCAGACCAGCCTGCGCATCCGCGCAGTCTGATCAGGATCCATGCTGTTAGCTATCAGTTTCTCTACTTGTTATAGCGTTTGTAAGCGAACAGCATGGATCCTGATCAGACTGCGCGGACGCGCAGGCTGGTCTGGATCCATGCTGGTCGCAAACCCATTATGTTGGTGTTGTCATGACACGGCTCAATTTTCATCTTGAGTCAGCAGATGAATCGGGACATTCCTTTATGTTCAAAGCTACTAAATATATATATAGAAATGATTACTCGTTGTTAATTGTAATTTGATACGACTAGCTAAATTAATTTTATCATGCGTCATTAAGCAGTAGTGATGCGACATCTTAAGTCATGGAAATTATGCGACATTTAACGTTATCATTGTGACATTTAACGCCAGAAGATTTTGCAATATTTAACGGCGGTTGCGACATTTAACGTTATCATTGTGACAATAAACGCCAGAAGATTATGCGCTATTTAGCGGCGGTTGCAACATTAAGCAACAATAGTTTGACATTTGGCGGCGTTGCGACGATGCCCCAATGTGTAAGCCGCTTTATAGTTCAGTCGTAGAGCCGCGGAACGGATTTATATGTTCCTGTGAAATTCCTGCGACAAGTGAAATTCCTGCGACAAAGGTACATATATGTATTTTAAGATGCATAACAAATTTTATTACAGAAAATGATCCTGTTTTTATCACTACTTTTAAGCATTAGATATATTTTTTTAAAGCATTAGATATTTCTTTATATTCCACACGTTTTGTAAAACATGCATGCCAGACGATAATTATGCCGTATTTTATACATAATTTGCTGTACAAAGGCAAAAAAAAGAGTACAAAAGGCAAAATGTATATATATAGAAAATACTGTGTTGCATGTCCGCTGTTTGCAGAGATAGGCCTATCTATTCATTTATTTTGAGTTTAACTTTTCAAAATAGGTTATTTTAAAGTTATCTCAAATTAAAATAATGCAAAATTATTGAAATTCTATATTGTCAAATTGTTTACAATATTTTGAGTTTATCAGCACTTTAATTACAAGCAAAGTTCCATACCTTATCATCGTTCTGACTTGTACAAAAAGAATGAAATAATTGATAAGAAGCTAAATACCTTAGTTCATGATGTATAAACGTAAACATTTAAATTTAGATTTTTCTGGTGTGATGTCACATAAGTGATAAGGCAAGCGGAACTACTTGTTAAAGTTAATGGCGATATTCCATTGGTACGTAATCCGCGATTCGCGCGTACGCGACCGATTTTCTATTCCGTTTGTTCGTTTATCATCCGCGTCCGTGACGGCATCCGTGACGCGGACAGCCACCAGATAGGTCTCTTTGCCGCAAGACGCCGCTTTATTATTTTCGAAATAAAATAATAAAAACCTCATTGAAATAGCGGGAGAATCCACAACTTTTATATGCATCGCTGACAGATTACAAAGACATGCTGGCGATAAAAAATCTGACAATCAGTTGCAAAAGAGAAGAAAATCAAAAACCTAACTGGTATTTAATGTTTTTTTCTTTTTTCTTTCTACCTTAATCCTACTGTTTAGGTATTAGAAGGAAATTATCTTTATATAAAAGTGACAATTAAATTC